ACAATTAATTGCAATTTGATTTAAATACGAAAGCAGCTAGTACAAAAATCAATAAATATATGATTATTTTATTATTGCGTTGAAGATAATTTAGATTTCAATCAAATCTCTTTTATTTTCCTATTATCTTACAAATTTGAAGAAGTTAATATTACTATTAGTTTATGATATAGAAAGCATTTTTCCGAGTTCCGTACACATCTTGTTTTGTAGACAAATGTATTATTAAATAAAGTAATTTCATAATTTTAGGTAACTTCATTTTTTCTCTTCCAACTAATCCAACTAACCATATCTGCTGAACTCATATTAGTAATCTATACTAATGAAATTGATCTTAACTGTTATTCTATCTTATCTTAAACGTTAGCGAAGGATCAATTGAAAACTAATTAAAAACAGATTGCGACGTCGTGTTTTAAACTTCTCAGCTGTTAGAGCGAGTAAGACTAACAAAGAAGTTCTAAGATCACCTTGGAGCCTAATAACATAAGATTCTTGAAAGGGTTACAAGTAAATATTACCAATAGAACAGATCCTTTCAATCAGACCCGGGGTATTGCGAAAAAACTTAACATGGTCAAAGTCACCCAAATCAATTTATTAGTTTCGGTTTCATTCTACTTGATCCAATCGACTCGAGTGCTACAATGTTTTCTAAGTTTAAATGTAGTATTTTTCTGAATATTTATATATTAATCTATAATAATTGATTTAGAAATCTATATATTAAAGTCTATAATATGTTATAAATGTGTAAAGAAAATATAGTCAAAATTAGTACTCCTCTGTTCATAGCTAATTTTCTCTTCTTTTGATCGGTATCCTTTTAAATAATATTTAAGGGCGATTTTTTACATAAAATTTTGAAAATAAACGAACGCTATTCTAAAACGGATTGAAGTATTATTTCAATTCATAACGTTTCTTTATGTATTGAACAATCAAATAATCAAAATAACAAACGTAGCCTAAGATATACTAGATCATTAATACATGTCAAAGTCAGCGGCCACAGACTATTTGTTTCCTTAATTTGGCTTGAAAGCTGTGATTCAGAGTAGAGGCTCACCGGGCCGTAAGTACGTCATTATATAAGTACTTAACGGGGGTATTGAAACCACGACCGAGCCAAGAGCTCACAAGCCTTTTACAATTCTTCATATTTGTGAATTGAACGAAAATATTTATTTTGATCATATTATTCTTTCATAATTTTACATATTAAAGACAGTTTAGAGGTGTCGTGATAATTAAAGTGAACTAATTGTTATGTTTAATGAATTTAAGGTCAGTTCCACTTTGTTTCTTTCTTTTGTGTTTCAACTGATGAGTGGGTTTATTTGAAAATAACAAGTCTGTCATCAACTAACTAGCTCCTTAATAGCTTCATGTCTTAGAAACACATAAATACGTCTTCATACAAATAGGGCACTGATTTCTTTTTATATGATATGCAAATATTTTGCACTCTGGTACTAAACAAAATCCGTTAAATCATACGAATTGTAGGAATCAACGTGTACATAACACAAGTATTTTTTATTATTTGAGATCACAATTCGCAAAACATTAAAACCGATGAAATAGATTTGAAAATTATAACAATTTTTTTAACTCAAATAAAGAATTAAAATTATAGACAATATTTAAAATATATATGTATATATATGTCATATATGTGTAAAAGTAAAAGTAAGACAAGCGCTAAGGAATAATTTGAACACAAATAGTTTAACTCAAACTTAGATAACAACGTACGATTGACATAACAATTCTCTGAGATTATGAAATTTTTCTTGCAAACTTTCCCTATAATATATTTTATTTTCTATATAGAGACACTTACATATAAATATATATACTACGTAGTAGTATCAGTAAAAGTGGTAGTTTATAAAAGTTTTCTATTCAGATATATATACTGTTGTAATAAGGTATTGGCATTTTTGTTAAATAAATAATATTTTAAAATACATTAATGTATTCCTCTATAAGATTCTCTAAACTTAAATTTGCCATACTCGTATGTATGTGAAGTAATTTATTTATCATCTCAGCCGGCTAAGCTTTATAACATACCTATTTCTTTAACTTGTGATCATAACATTGTTATTTTGTTTTAAGTTATCATTTACTTATTTCCTCCAATAACGAATTTATCAATTAAAATTAAAATATGTTTCTGAAAGATTATAACAGAAAATTGAAAAGAAATTAAAAGTACCATTTGTTGTAAAGTTGTAAAATGAAGAAAGTTATTTGTGAAATCAACATGTTATTTAGATATAGATTCATACAAAACTTAGATATTATTAATTTTCCTTAAGTTGTTATTTACTATCGGAAGCAGAAAGGAAAACCATGGAATGTTCTCATATTTATTTAACTGATAGTAATCAGACTTACCGATACTTTTTCCGACATAAGATTAATAGCTTAATTTGGTGAAATAGCCCTCGCATCATTTACTAAGACAATCAAGAGATAGCTTCCTGTGGTAGAAGTCAATGACCTTTTTCGTAAGGCTTGTAAGAATATAAATCCTTTTTAGCTTTAACTTCACACAAGCTATAAGCAAGTAACATATGCATGTATGCTGTCCCATTTGACAGTTTTTAAAATATAAATCTTTATTTGTACTGTCCTAGAAGCTATGTATAACTTAATCCACACTCAACAAATTCCAAGAACAACAATCGGCCATTGAAACTGAGAAGCTAAATGCTTTTATTTTTGTTGTCGGAGACAATACGGCATTCAATACAATCATTTTCAATAGATTTAGCTGTAGAGAGTCTCCTATAAAGCTAGATACCTTAATAATAATCATGTACAGAAAAACATTTGTAACAATAATATTATTAGCTCTTTTTCAATCACATCACATATCCTTTCTTTACGTTTATTTAAAATCGAAATTTATACTTACATAACTTTAATCTTCATTTAAAAAACTGTTATGACATGACCACTTATCTTTAACCAGTAGTTATTGTAACTAAAGTTTATACGACGCCATAAATAATGTTGAGAACTTTAACACGAACTCAAGTATAGTTGGAACAACTTCGATGACATAAACATACCACTTTAAAAAGTCATCAAATATTATAAGATATAAAACTCGTCTGTAATTGTCATCTTAAACGAATTCTAGAATAGAATATTTATATGACAATTTTAAAATCGTGAAATGAATGTACTCGTTTAATCAAATGTCACTCAGTTTTCAACTATGTATTTATTTATAAAATTTTCATGTATTAACTCCAACATCAAAACCAAGCCTCTCTATCCTTCCCCTGTTTCCGAGAAGTGACACAAGGCTCCGTGTTGTTAATTTTCAATACATGCTTTTACCCAATTATAGTTTGAGATTTTATGAAGCAGAACCTGACAAAGAGTGTAGTAATTATACGAGTACGGAAAATAACAAGTAATAAAAAACTGAAAACAGCGGACGTGACGTAGTTTTTCTTTGGTATTTTTTTCTGAAATAGTCTTTACCGGTGCAAAAGTCCACTTGAAAAGAAATATATATTTTTAGTATATTTGTTTAGGGATTAATGCGGATACCTTATACATATATACATACGTGTGTGTGTGTGTGTGATATTTTTAAGGTGAGAATTATCTTTGAACTCAAAAAGTTATAAGATTAAAAACCCACCTTACAAGTTTCTCATTATTTGTTTTTATTTAACTGGTTTAATTTTATACAAAACATACTTCAGCTGTAGTATTCTATTTTATCTTAAATTTCAAATTAAAGTATTTAATTATAAACATATCTAGTAAATAAGTTATTTATTATTTCATTAAAGTGAATTGTTATGAGTCAAAGTAGCAGATAATAAAGAAACAAATTATCATCGCTCTAAGAGTTATATGACTTAAAAACATAGATAATATTATTAGGGAATATCATACAACAGCTTTAAAGTAAGACTTTATACAGAATACATTCGCAAGGGATTACACTAGCAAGGAAATACGGCGGTCGCTGTAGTAGGGATGGCACTGAACTCGTAACTAGATTTGTACACTTTTGGTATATTTTCACAAAGTTTGTTATGCCACGTAGTTTTATGTAATATGTTATTTGATAAACAAAAATCACACACATCGCTATCTTATATTAGATATTAATACTTATTTGTCAGAATAAGATTGTTATAAAGTTATTCGAAATGTATGAATAATTTTATATTTCTTTAGAGAAAACTTTTTATTAATGTATCTATAATAGCGTACGGATAAGGTTACTAATTGCGAATAAATGCGTAATAAAAGAGGCAGTTCTCGACAATTTTATTTTCCTATACGTTAATCACATATCAATTTGTAGAGTTATTGTTCTTTTATGAAGTAATTATTATACTACTGTAAGCATTACTACTGAATAAAAATCTTAAACAAAATATTCCTAAAGCCTCTAAGCTCCTGAATTAACTAATATTCGCCAGCTATAAATTACAAACTTTAATTTGTTAAGTAATCTACTCGTAAACAAAACAAGTAAAGCCGTTAAACGAAATAAGAAATCAATTCTATACTAAACTTTAAACATTGAACCAATTAAGTGTTAAATTGGAAATACTAGAGAAAGTTTTAAATGTTATTCGAGACTTTCAATACTTTTATTAAGAGATTTAAAATGTTGATCTTCAATACATTTGTAGATTTCTTTTTCTTTGTTCTTTAAAAACATAGCATTTAATAACTTCTGTTTTTTGTTATATAGTTCTGTTCCTGGATATATTTAATAAGTTTTATTATATTTAGTATATTTCTAATGAAGATTTTGAAATATTTGAATATATACTTATTTGGACAAGTTTATTTAAATACAACATAAGCTTTCCAATTAGAAGTGAATTCACATCTTTTGTCATATACTATTTGTCATTCTCTCAGAGATATTGGAAACTATGTAAGTTTAAGACAAGATCAAAGAAACCGTTTTTATGTTAGTCAAATTATAGATAATGTTGAAAATGAGTTACGCACAAAAGAGTCCCAAGGAAATAAATGGAACTTATCAGGTTACATGGAACTATTTTTAGAGAGAAGAAAAATATAGTTGATTTGTCCGTCAAATCTTATCTTGCTTATTGAGGTCACGCCAAGAATGCGTGTGATTTCTCAACAAACAATCCCGTATGTTTGTATTGGACCTTCCATAAAAAGGGTCTACCAGCTGTCAATGATTAATTACAAGGATAGTTCAGTCAACACTGAAGAAATCTTTTTGACATTACATTATATTACACGCTGGCTTCCACAGTTGGAATTGACATTCGGTAAATATAAGACCTCACTTATTTACAGGGTGACTGGTGAATTACTATCAATATTTAAGGAGCATACTCGGTACATGATTCTCATTCAAATTATGTAAAAAAAATAGGTACTTAATTTTTGACCAAATTTCCGTATAAATAAATAAAGTGTTGACACGTTCCAAGTGTGGACGCGTGCGGCGGCGTGCTGATACAACACTACGCCGCCACCGCGTCTGTGTGAGTGTGTGTGTGTATACCTAATCTGTAGGGTGTTCATACGATGCGTAATTAATTACATAACTTTTGGTTAACTTTACTTAGAAGTTTATTAATATTTATGTTATATTAATTTTTATTTTGTCATATATGATCGTCAAATATCACGTCCTCAAATATCGATAGTAATTCACCAGTCACCCTGTATAACAAATAAATCAGATGTTTTATGTATATATCGTAAGAAGCAGATACGATGAGATGTGTAAGATTTTTATGAAGTAATTCATTTATTTCCTCGTTGATGATAATCAAATTCGGATCAGGAATTACATTTGAATGAAATCATACATGAATTCATAGAAATGTCAAAATCATATATTAATCTCAAGCTCTGATGAAAAATATGTATATCCCTACTTTTATACAGCTTCATTTAATAATTATTAAAGTATAGCCTCATGAAATAATATTACATATTTTCAGAGCTTCTTAAGTCTTCTTCTTCTTCCTGGCAATTTCCCAGCTTTAGCCAGGGTCTACCTTACATGTTGTGAATAGTTTTTGGCTAATTATTTTTACGACCAGCCACATGCCTGACATCAACCCCTCTTTGGTAATGCATTAATCAGTGGTATCTAAATACTCTTAGAAAGAAGATATGACTCGGAAAAATCACAATAGTACTTGCCAGGATCGAACCCGCGCCCTCGTGCACGAGAGGCGGGAATTTTAACCACTAGGCCACCACTGACTTTAGAGCTTCTTAAGTATTTAACCATTATTACTCGACAGTAAACAAGAGAGTTAAATGTCACTATCTCAGGAATATACACGTTATTTTTCTGACCAAAATATAACATCAACAAAAGTGACATATTATTCAACTTTTGCTACGTAATACTTGGATATAAGCCATGAAAGTTTAGAACAATAGAAGTTGATACGAGATGCAATTATTCTTAAAACCTGATATAAATAAAGATGCATTGCAACTGCGGCGATAGAACGGGATTTATGGCCTGCATAATAACTAGAGACAGCGTTAACAAAGAGTTACTGGCCTGGATATTATACGTGGATCAAGATGATTAAGTTTTAGTGGGGACTTAAATATATATAAATGTAATTTTCTTATATTATACTCCGATTATATTATAGAAGAAAATAAAATCAAAGTATTTTTCTTTCTTTTTAGCTTTTTGAAAACCATGTACCTTATTAGATAATTATCCATGCTTTTGAAGCCATGTGAAAATTAACTTTTATAGTTATGTTGAATAAAATATTCTGAAAACTTTATTATACAAATTATAAAAGTATTCTGAAATACAGTCCTCCTTTTCGCACTATACTGATTATAAAATGAGTTGATACTCGTGTTATAAAGTTAAAAGTTGTGATTTTAAGAAACACATATTATATAGGACAAAATTCATGTATTTATTTAAATATCAAAATATACATAAACCTATGTGTAAACATAGATAAATAGTACGATTCTTTTTGAAAATCGAGATTATATCTGCAAGAAAATTGGAACCAATTTAAAAGTGTAACACTCCTTTTGTCTCGCTGCCAAATTAACGGGAATATTATATTCTGATATAAAATCAAACCAGAAATCTTTGAAAGACCATAATTCCTCCAACTCTTCAGTAAATATATACAAGAATTTAAAAAAAGGATTCTCAATTACTAATCAGGACTGAGGTATAATGTATAAGCAATGTTATACGTGTTATATATGTATATTATAGCTTGTTGTTTAATTATATTATCATACAAAACAAAGTCAAAGTTGTCAAAGTTCTCTCATCTTTTCCCCAGTTCTAGTCATTGAAATAATCTAGTTTTATTAAGACACGAGAGGCTTCAAAACATTTCAAGGAACTTCTTAAATATAACTGAGACGAGGTCAACTTCTCATTAAGGTCCATTCGGAGTCATGATTTCTATTTTTGTATAATATATTTTTCTCTGTGTTTTTCCATAATTCCCTTTGGGTCAAGATTCTATAACAGAATGAATCCTATAACGAAAACATGCCATCTGTCCGACCTTTCTTTATCGAAAGTTTTGTAGAAAAATCTTATATTACATTATCATTTCATAACTAAAACTATTTATACAAATACAGTGACTATTGTTGAAAAGAAATCCTGTCACCGAAAGTAAAGAAATAAGGTCAACAACTCTGAATAAATAAAAAGTATCTTAAATTTTACATACAATTTATTTATTAGATTCAATGTTTATTTAAAATAAAATTTACAACAATGAAAAAGAAATATTGTTTTATTGAAATAATAACTAATAATAATGAGTTATTTTAGAAACATTATTAGGGTGAAATACAATTTTTAAATGTAATTTAAAGGTTAAACTATCAACCGTCTTATAAGGTAAAAACCTCTTTTATTTATCAAAATGTTCAGGTGGAGTAAATCTGATTATTGAATGTATATATTCAAAAGGACGTTGAAAGTCGGATATCTGACATATAAATATTAATTCAAAATATAGAGGACTGCAATTCATCATAACGTTTCTGGATTTAATGTCTTCGAACATGATTTGAACAAACGACAGCTTTAACAAAATGAGGTCCGCAAATTGAATTAGGATTTAGATGAGATAGGATTTACAACGTTCCGACGAATCCCGCCTCAAGACACTAGACGAGGAGCGGAGCCTGATGGTATTTCAGAAAAAATGTCGTAGCTCAAGTGTCCGAGATTAGAGGATGAGTTAATGTTATATAAAATGAGAGTATAAAAGTTGAATGACCCATGTTTAAACCAGCAATCTAGGTTATTAAATTTCCTTTCAGTACAGAAATAGACATATAAAACAGTGAAATTGCCATCGGCGGAGTGGATTGCTCATTAAGTTCAATACACGTGCTCATTAACTAACAATATTGGTGTTGTTAACATAAATCTTTACTCAAGTTCAAGGTTTTCGTGTCGCAAATTAATTGGCAAACCTCGCTTTTACATTTGCATAATTAATTTATATTGTTCACAATCTATTAAGTACATATCCGATATATTATATGTATACCAACAACAGCCAATCAAAAACTAATGAAAAAGTGCGCTAGTGACGTCATATTTATGGCTTTCAACCCTCTTACGAATAATACATAAAATATTAAATAATAGACCAGCGTGTAATATGTAAATTGTGTGTATCTATTTAAAACTATCCATGAACAACATTTCAACAAACCCGCGGGCTAAATCCGATCTTCATTTTACTATGAATATTTCAAGTTGTTCCAACATCCTAGAGGCTTCGATAAATCATAGATATAATAAAAACACCACCTGTTACTCAAAACACTTCAGCTCAGGGTTACAGAAATTTGATAAGATCGCTTTGTAAATCTATTGAATACCTGTCAAATTGATTGATTACGCGATCCGCTTTCCTACGGATATTGATAAGGGTAAATGGATGCTACGTGGAGTGTTTAAGGCATATAATGCAATGTATCCATTTAAATAGATGCCTATTAAATAATACGTTTTAGGATAAATAAATTATTGAATTAATAACAGAAATATTTATAATAAATTCCTGTAATTACGACTTAAAATTGAAGTTGAACGCCTTAACTTTATTTGAAAGAAAGATGGAAAATGTTTTATTTGTGAACATCTTTGCGAGACAGCACTAACATGAATGATAATTTAAATTAATCGACACGAACGGGACTCAAATCTGCGATATCCGAAGTATGACGTTCCAGTTACTTTGCCATTCAAGCTATAGTAATATTTTTAAAAAATCATTGATATTCCAGATTTGAATCACTCTGGTATCCATCAATTTCAACCTATATTTTCTATTTGAATACTAATTCACATTTCTAAATTTTCCAGTAAATAATGAGTCCATTAATACATTTTCTGGGACATATTTGTGAATATCCTATTTCGTTTATATAATCTGAATGCTTGCGGGTTGTGTGTCAACATTTATTCAAATGGACAGCAAACAAGATGGACAAATTATATCTTTTGTATTGTATTAGTTTCAACAAGACCATTAATACGTCAGAAATAAGTTTAGTATATATTTTATTACATTATTGATGGGTATCTATTAATTATTAATTCACAAAAGTTAGGAGTGTACCCAATGGAGATTTATAAATAAACTTAACATATTAAAATAAAATAACTATTTGTCCGACATACTCTGCGACTTTAGTTTTGTAAAAAACTAAATACTCCCGACGTTTCGGCTACTTTTCAGCAAACGTGATCACGTGCACATGAGATAAATAATATTATTTTAGTTTTATTAATTTAAATGAAATATTATTTTTGTTTAAATGAATAAAACTCGCGAAAATCTTAGATCTCATTATATTATAATAATATGAACGAATAAAATAATTTTCTATTTGAATATTTATTAGGTTTTATGGAATATATCTTGTATCTTATTATAGAAATCATATTAGTTTATATTTGAAAGAAATATGAATAATAATACAAGACTCAAGTGTACATTATTAAATATATTATTACGCTATTTTGGATGAGAGCATAATTGTAGCACCGATACGAAAATTGCTGAGGAGACTTCATTATAATCATATATTTAGATGATGATTAAATACATTTATTTATAGCTCATCATAATTATTGATGTAATTACATTATGACTTAACATTCATGTGTGTTCGTAAAATTCATTCATCTCTCCAATAAATTTGAGTGGCTTCATATAATTAATTAAATTATTATTCCAACTTAAATAGTCCTTTGTTTTAATAGACGTATGTCAAAGACCTAATATGACTTAGTACGGGTGACCCATACGTTTAAAATACTTGGTTTGAAACTATGGACAAAAAGGCGTAGTTTGCTTAAAACCCATACTTTTTTTATCTACAAACAGTCAGCGAACACATAATTCTCGTAGTGCTATTGTCAACGTCATTGTTAATGAATTAAATATTATTTATTCTTTTATGGGTTTGCAAATATATTATTGTTTTAATAATGATACATATAAATATATCCTTACATTTATCAAAGAATTGTATTTAGTACAAAGTTTGTTTTCAGAAAAGGGGTCTCTCCCTCTAATAGTAGACGTTTTTTAAAGCTTTTGTATGTATAACATAAGCACAAATGTACATTGACCAATAAAAAAGTCGTCCTATCAATATCCAACATTAAAAACAACCAAGTTATATGTTTTACAAAATATTTTTATATTTTGTTGAACAAATTAACAATATAACAAAATATGTTATATTATCACACATACGCTTTATAATTACAATTCCAACCTTTCTGTACCTCTATTATAAGTTTTCGTCATTAACAGTCTCACCTTAGCAGCGATAATTTCAACATTTGCATTAATGAACTTCAAATTTATTCGAATCGCCAACATTCAATTTCAAAAAAAATAATACCACAAATATTCCTGTCTATTTCAGAAAATGAAGATTGACTTGCATCATACATAATCCTAAATTTACAGATGAACTATCAGCAGTTCCAAGAGGGTTTACTTTCGAAAGTCAGATGAGTTGTTTTTATGACTTATTGCTATAGTTCTACTTTCATCACCCACTCGTGGCTGAAGAATTATATTTTATCCACATCACCTGAATGCATTTATATGCTCTGTTGAGACACGATCTATCTTTTGACACATGGGTATATTGTAGCATGATGTTCCTGCTGAGGATTTTCTTTAGTGTCGTATTGTGGGATCTTACAAGTTTTACGTATAAAGCTGTCTTGTAAAGATTTGGGTCTCAAAGGTACGGCATTTATCCATAATTTGTAACTTACTTTCGTCAAACCATCTTAAGGTTAACCTTCAACTACCGACGTGGTTTTTTTGTATCACTAGTACCGACGTGGGGCCTGAGAGGCCGCATATTAAACACTGAGATGTATGGAAAATATGTACAATAGACATCTATTTTTTAAGTTTTATCGTTAATTTGGGATCTATAAATGAAAACAAAGACAATTATTATAATCAACTTTATTAAACTTTGAAATTATATGATCTTTAATCTTTGGCTCTGATTCTATAGTTAAAAATGGCACTTCCCGAAATAAAAATAATTAAAGAAATAATACTTCTTAGGAACCATGAAATAGATTTTTTTCTGATTCTTAAAGGTTATATCTATTCAGAAAAAAATTAAACTTAAATTGTTTTCATAAATTAAAAAAAATGTCCAACAACAAAGTTAGTCACAATTAGGGCAGATTTGTTTAGCGCACTGTAAACAAACATGTTTTTTTACATGAGTAACATTGGTATGTACATTTTCTATTTAATTTAGGCGGACAAGAGACACATATTTTTCTTGTTTTTTCTTCTTTTGTTTGACCTTGCTCTATATTTGGCATATCAGGACCGAGTATTCTCTCTAAACTCATATGAAGTTCTCGAGGCAAGCGTAACACCCTTCTCTTCATGTGGTCTAATACGAGTTGTCGAGCTAACTGCTTTATAAACACACCGCAATCAGTGCCTTTATTTAGATGCACATCATGCAGTATATGTGAATTGACTGAACTTATATCTAAGATCCTATATAAAAGTGTCAGAGGCCAACGTCTTGATCGACGGCTGCAAGTGTATACCGAACACTTTCTGTCGATTTCATCTACTCCGCCTTTTGTGGAATTATAGAATTTTATTATTTTATTAATCTTCTCCGATATCATCTACCTCCGATCCGCTGGAGTCTTCTGCAAGCAAGGTCTCAATCAACGCCGCGTTATTTTCATCCAAGAGATTTATAGGACGCCGTGGTCTTTTGGAAAAACGTAATTCATCCGTAGATAAACTACGTTTACCCCTTGATGTCCCTGGTACATCCATTCTTCAAATTATCCGATAGATTTCTGGAAACAAGCATTTAATTTCATTCATGACCCAAACAAAAAACTAACGTTAGTACCGACGTCGGGCCTAAGAGGCCGCGTCGTAATTTCAAAACAACATAACTTACCGAAATTGTGTTCGCCGGCACTGCTACCACTCTCAACGGCGTCGGCGCAATTAAACTCGCAGCTACTGACGAGCACGGGGCTCACGTGCGCGGGGAAGCGGTAAAACTAACAATTTGTCAACTCGCCGCGGCCTCTCAGGCCCCACGTCGGTACTTAAAGGTTAAAAAACAAGCTCCCGACAAAATTGTTTTTTTATTTTAATATTCTTCATGTATGGGAGCTACGAGTTATGATTAAAATTAATTTTTCATTCATTAATTCGTATTTCGTAAAAAAGTTTGTATGACTTTCATTAAATAATAATTCATACATATTGATGATATAATAAGTACATATAGCTAAAGTAGCTATTTTAATTTCAATGTGAAACAGATAGCTGTTTCCACTGTTTCACTTCTCTGATTAATCTAACTTGATTAGTAGGCTTGTTACAGCGTTTTTGTTGGAAGAGGAATATCAAACCATATTATTAGATGAAATTAAATCAAAGATGATCCGTTATACCTTCTAGATGTTTTGATTCATTAAGATAATCTGATTGACAACAGAGTAATTGTATTATTGCTTTCATAGCATTTATCTTATCAACATTAGAAAGTCTTTAGAAACTTCGAATGATGTAAACAAAACAATTAAAGATATCAAACTAATTTTAAAGCTATCTTCATCTTAGGAGATGAAATCTCTACGATCTTGATCCTTGTGTAGCAATATCAAATTCTGTATGAAATAAAAAGATATTATACTGTAAATGTATATAACAATACAATAAGTGAAAATTAAATGTGAGAATCAAATGTGAAAAACGTTTATAACAAGATTGCTGCTGATTATTTTTTTGTTTACAGTTTACGAGTGTTTTGTAGAATATGAAAAATCAAGAGCAATATACAGAGAAACTGTAATAATAAAAATAATAATAATTAAACGATCAAAATCAGAAAAAAATCAGAGCATTTTTATTTCGTAATATACTAAACATACTTACATTGTTTTATTTAATACAAAAAATATTTCTCATTTATTATAATGAACCATTACAGCAAGTCAAGTCATTCTCAGATCCATTCAAACATTCATTCAATTAAAACAATTCATTCAAAGAATACAAAGGTTCATTTAATATCGCAACCTAAATTGATAATTGTATTATATCTTAATTTAATTTCTTTCAAACTACATATTCTCCCTTACAAAAACCAGCCGCGAACCGTGACTATATATTTTGAGAATGCTCAAAGTTTATATAATCATGTTCAAGACTTAAAATATGTATCTCCAACAAATCCGTTTTTAGTTTATGAAGTATTACCTCTAACTGAAATTATAAAAGATGGAAATTAGGGCCAAGAAACCCTCCTTGAAATTAAAGACGAAAATCATTTTATAATTTTAATCCTATAAACGTTGTATAATAAATTCTCAAAGGTTCAAGAATATTGTTACGTCGTATAATTTTACTCAGAATATTGAATATGAAATAGGTAATCAAATGGTTACCAGATTTTGAACGTTATATTAATGTGGTTTTATATTGAATATACACATTCATACTTCTTTTATAAAGTTTAAGAAACACAAGTTTAATTGATTATACAGGGTGACTGGTGAATTACTATCGATACTTGAGGACGTGATATTTGACGATCATATATGACAAAATATAAATTAATATAACATAAATATTAATAAACTTCTAAGTAAAGTTAACTAAAAGTTATGTAATTAATTACGCATCGTGTGAACACCCTACAGATTAGGTATACACACACACACACACGCGTGCGGCGGCGTGGTGTTGTATCAGCACGGTGAGTATTCTCCTTAAATATTGATAGTAATTCACCAGTCACCCTGTATATTAATTATATGAAAAAATTTCTAAAAACTATAATATAATGAATTTTGGCATAACTTTAATAAATCTTGAATGTTAGTGTCGTGATTTACATCCAGCCAGACGCGAGTCAGCAATGTGTCGAGAAACTACTCAGTCTCTTAAATAAAGCAAACACGTGATGTGTCTGAAAATTTATTTATTTTGAAAGAAAATATAAATTCATTGACGAAAAGATTGAAGTATTTTATGAAGGTATCACAAAATAAATCTCTTATTTTGACAGTAGAATAGGTAGGTATATAACTTGACATATAAATGAAGGGAAAATATGAGCTTCGTATTAAAATTAGTGTATTATTTTAACAGGTAATAAGATATGAAACAGCGGCCATGGAAGACGGCTGTGAAGACTGCGGGCTGCTAGCGGCTCTCAACGACACCGGACATTACAATGAAACGAGGAACGTCACAGTCATCGATAAGTTTTATTTCTATCAGGTAAACTACAACCATTATATACTATATCATATTAATATAAAAGTTTTATAATAGAATTGTATTTAACCCATTCTAACAACTACATTTTAAGGGAATTCAATTTTAAAGATCTCAGTAAGAAAACTCTGAGACATTAAGATGTTTTAACTGTCAATTAATTTCCGTCCGAGGCAATCAGCGAACGTTTACAGATGAAAATATAGTTTTAATACAAAATTTTAGAAATAGGAGGAGAGACTTGTCTGAAATAGCGACGGTTCTTCATTGAGTCTTTAAAATAGTTGACGTTTAAGAACGTTTATTTAAGAAACATATTTTTAATACTTTAAATATTTGCAACCTGACACGTTACTTAATAAATGAAGTAATTCATAATGTGAGATATTTTAATTTAATACATATTTTATGTATTTTTTAGCATAATCGTTAATATTTTAACATAAAAATGATTTTTATTCATCAATATATGTTTTTTACATGTCTTTTATGAACAGGAGCCCTTCCACCATTAGTGCCAAGAGCAAGTCCTCCCTTAAAGTATGCGTCTAGACATCTTTCAGCATTCTAATCTTGACTTAATTGTACCATCAAATTATGTAATGGCCCATATCAAGAGATATTAAGTTGGACAGTCGAAATTAATATTATAACCTTCATATATATAAAGATGTAGAGAGAACGGTATTTCTTAATTGAAGAAATCAAGCGTCATAGAAATGAAAGAATTCTGTGATACTTTTTAAATTGTTTGACAAGAATAAACTCTTAATAATAATTATTAAATAAATACTAGGAAGTGTTTTAAATGTATACATACTTATAGTATAATTTAGAGAAATTCGTAATATTATTTTTAGTCAGCCTAATATTTATTTAAAAAGATAGTCATTATATCAATACATATAGTTTATATTATTAGAGAGCTGAAAATAATAGTTAGTAGTTTATTAATTTTTAATACTTTTAATAGAAATAGATTGAAATATAGCCCGTCATTATTCTTGTAAAGATTTCGTTATATGTAACCATATTTTATATGAATTCTTTCGTCTTTTATATATTAGTATGAGGGTATCCAGGGGCCATAAAATACACTCCTACTTGTGTTATTTAGGTTACAAGGTTAGAAAATAAGACCTACATAATATTCGCTCTTCTAAAAATACTTTAAAAAAAGAAAAAATAAGGAAAGTAATTAGAATGTTAACACCATAGAAATCATGATTTATTCATAACTTGTTAACAAAAATATTTTAGGAAGAATTACAGAAACCACTGAAAAAGAATTCCCAATAGCAGAGGCTGAGTATTTATATTTGACTTTTGTCCCTCATAATATATAACAATCTTCTTCTTCTACCTGGCAATTTCCCAGCTTTAACCAGGGTCTGCCTTAAATGTTGTGAATAGTTTTGGCTAATTGTTTTTACGACCGGCCGCCTGCCTGACATCAACCCTCTTTTGGGAATAATATATAACAATATAAGTGATAATTTTGAATCACACCAAACTATGTCCAAGAGATTAAAAGCTTGTATTTTTCATGTACCCTCTTTAACCATAACACTTTATGTCCAGAGTATTATTAATTCCTTTATAAACTGCCACACATTTCTTGTCAGAGCGAACTCTTATTGTTATGCAAAAAGCGATATTAATTTACAGCAAAAACCCACTAGCGACACTTGCTTATTAAAATCATTATTTACTCGCCGCAGAGCCGACCCCGTTCTAAAGGATCGCCATTAACAATATACAGGTTTGTTATCGGCTATCAAATACTTCAATCCAACTGTTTTTGACGTCTTTGGATCTGTCAGACGTCAGACGTTTTAATTATTGTTTGCGGCAGTTTTCAATTTAATATTATATTGAAATATATCCGATAGATAAGCTTCATCTCGTTTTAAATGTTTTATTGGAAATTTAATATTCATTTTCGTCCTGTTTCTTTGATGAATAGCCTCTTTTTGTTTGTTACTTAAACCATACATACCTACATATATTCTACCGTTCTCTTGATAATTATTTTTAAACTTCGATTTACGATAGACAGATGTCTTTGTAACTTAATATAAGAATAGATTTAATATGAAGTATATAACCAATAATATAAAGGAACTTTTATACAGAGTGCTCAAGTGGCTGTTCTATGGGTGTTGTTGGTGGCGATAGTGGCAGGAAATGCCACGGTAGTGTTGGCGTTGTACTTAACGAAATCACGTAAAAGTCGAATGAACTTCTTCATCATGCAACTGGCTATAGCAGGTTAATATCAACCAATACTATTCTGTATTATATTTAGCAATACAATATTTAAACAAAATTTATTAAGACATTTTCACATCTGTTAATTTTTTCTAGAATTGTAGCTATAATATGAATTAATGGTATAATTATTTCGCAGATTTATGGGTGGGTCTGATAAGTGTTCTACCAGATTTAATTCAGCGCATTACGATTTCATGGTTGGCTGGATCTGTGGTCTGTAAGCTGATGAAGTATTTACAGGTGAGACAATTTAGAAAACTTAAATAAAATAATAACTATTTGTAAGCTGAAAGGTGCTAAAATAGATACAATCGAAAATAGAGTGAATGAAAAGTAGACATTATAATTAAAGATAAAAAAAAGAGTAAGTTGCAGCTTTATGTTTAATATCAACATTTAATAATCTTTAAATTCAAACTGCATATTTTTAGACTTAAACTGATTCAGAATATTTCTAATATGTTAAATAGTATCTTTAAAATATAAACCTGAATAGCAGATGTATGTTTACAAACAAGCTGAACTATTCAAAATGATATTACTGAAATCAGTATAACATGTACATAATAAATCGTGAACTATAAATTGCGGGTAAAATAAAAAAGATCCTAAACTGTGTCTTGACGTTGGCGGCAGATTCTGTGCCAACAAAATATATTAATGGTGCCGACGTTTTAACAGACACTGTTTTTTGTTAGTGTAAGATATTTAGCATTTTATGGCAAAGTTTAATCACTTCGGAGCATATTACAGCGGCGGAGTGTACGAACTGAAATAACTTAAATATTTCACCTTAATTTTAGAGTCAATAACATAAATTTTGTTCAACTTAATTAACTTAGCTCATATAACGTTAGAAAGATTCATCATAATCTAAAATTAAAATGTTCAATGACCTTTAAGATCATCTTTTTATAATAGTTTGAATCTTTGTAAGGGTAATTTATATGAAAAGATTTTATTTATATTTTCTTCTGTCTGTGCTTTTATAATTATTATCCTTATTTAATATTTTTTTATAATCTCACTAACTAGAAAAAGACGTAAGGAACAATTAAGCAAATTTCATCCAATTATGAAACAATATTATGTTTTACTTTTATGTGATTATAATTAGCATAGTTTTAAACTAAAAGTCTAAGAGTTACATCCTTCTAATTAAAAGTTTTCCCTCAATCTTTGGGTTATCTCTTGAGTAGCGGCTTTATTAGAACATTCAATAAATTAATAATACTTTTATAACGTATTTTAAAATAAAATAATAGTCTTTATAAGGTTCTTTGAAGAAATAAATAGAGGAATTTGAAAATAATCAACATTTAAAAATATACATATGAAGTTTCAGAAACGTTTACAGTTTTTTATGTTTCTAAACATATTCTTCATGTAGGGTGTAGTAACGTATTCCTCTACATACGTGCTGGTGGCTCTCAGCGTGGATAGATGCGATGCCATCACACATCCTATGAACTTCACTGGAAGCTGTAAGTAACACACGAATTAAGAATTTCTCATTCATAAAACAAAGAAACATACTATATATTTTAATACAAATATGTATTTGGATCTACTTCAGGATTTTATTGCTTTCCGTTTCATCAGATTCTTCTATTTCATCTTCACTTGCTAACGGTTACTGAAAAGAAGTCGATAAAGTGTAAAGTAAAGACATTGACAAGTAAATAGGAAACCTCTGTTTAATTTAAACTTCTAAAAATTCAATTTTTCTTCTATGAAGTGTACTTTAACTTGAATTCTGTTCTAAATATTTTAATTTTCACAGGGCGAAGAGCACGGGCGCTTGTTGTCGGCGCATGGTTTCTTAGTTTCCTCTTTTGCGCTCCGATGTTATTTTTATTTGACGAAGCTGATATAGAAGGTATGATGACATGAGATTATGCACATTTTAATATTAATAACAACTCTAACAGGAAAATAGAACCAGCAAGAAAAAATCTTCCTAACGAATGGTCAATAAAATAAATCTGTGTACGGAAATGTATCCAAATAATCTTACTTTTTATAGTAATAGGAGTACATAAAGACCATCAGTTGTATAGAAGTAATGATAGTAGTCCTATATATAATAATGTCAGTAAATAGAACTGTTAGACTGATTGTAACGAACTCGCCATGTCCAATAAAATGATATTTACTGCCTATAAATCCGAGACTATCAAATGTAACGTTAGCCACATGTGGGTCAATAGACTGGAGATTATAATTGATGAGCTGTTTACAAATATACAAGGCACAGTGATCCTACTCGTAGATACTATCTGCATAAGATCTGTGATTGCATATTTAACAAATAGAAAATTGCAATATTTTCAATATGTCAATAATTATACTAAATATTTATTTGTTTTTCCAGGACGTTCTTTGTCTTTAGAATGATTTTATTTATCCATTAATAAATATATGTACCCAAAAAAATATATAAAATATTATTGCTTTAAAGTAAACAAAACAGTCTCATCCATTATAAGTCTTCCCTTTTTATTAAGCTTGAATCTTTTCATATCAAACATATTAACTTGTTCCTAAGTAAGAACAGTTCTTAATTAATGTAATCCCCTAGGAACCCCTCAATGCTGGTCTTCAATTAATGAGCTTCAGTGGCGTATCTGGATGACGAGCGTTTTTCTATCCTTATTCGTGGCACCGGCTGTGACCATCTCTGCGTGTTATGGAGTCATCGTGATAACTATCAGACAGAAGAGTCATAGAGTACTCGGGAAAAGAAATGCTGCAAGGCAATGTAAGGTTTAAATATATAAAATTAGTGCAAACAAGAATAAAGTCTACTTATACTACGTGATTGTAAAAAATATTAACAGAAAATTAATAAACGCATGTAAGAAGCAGTGTAATGAATTTTTGCTCAAAGTTTTGGAGATGATAGTCTTTATTAGAGTGGTTATGTTATGGTTCTTGAAATAACTAGGATTTTAATAGTCTATTATAGTCTACCATATAATTTGAGTTGTAAAAAACATTATCACTAGTATTAATTAAACATCTCCTACAAACAAAAGAATCTTGGGAATTCATATCCATTCAAACCGTGTTGATTACACAAAAAAATTCGACTATTTCCTTCATAGCAATATTAATTAAAACCCAAAAATGTTTTGAAATAGATTTAACTTATAACACTGTTTAAGTATTTGTACACAATACATTCAATGTAAAATATCCTCTTACGTAGCTCAGAGTGCTTCTTATTCATAAATATTGATTAATTAATTATCAATATGTGAGCATGTTAAATACTGTATAATTGTTCTGCTCTCCTATGTACTAGTTACTTAGTTTTATTCTATTCATTTTTTTCTATTTCTATAAATTCTTCAAAACAGACAGCGACGATCTTGACAGTCGACGCGCCAGCAGCCGCGGGATAATACCAAAGGCGAAAATAAAAACTGTCAAGATGACCTTCGTCATTGTGTTCGGTGAGTTCCAATGAAATCAATTTATTAATATGTCGATCGAAGACGTAAACATGTAAAGGACGAAATACATTTTCCCTCCCTTCATACCTTAGAACCCACGAGCAAAAACAGAAATAAATCTCATCGTTACCGGCTATTTAATTTATATTCGCCGGCTTTTCTCATTCAAAATCTCCAAGGACAGGTCGTTGACCTGTTAAATGTATCGTACATATGAATAATCCGTTTATATGAGTTTTATGAGCAATTTACAATTAAACCAAATTAGATATCATATTTATATTTTAGTAAATACCGAAAATTTTGTCATACAATATGAGGATATCAGTGATTTAAGTAAAACTATATTTTGGGTTTTAACTGGCTTACTTTAACCGCGACTGGAATAACTGTGTTCAAGGAAAGATCATACTATAGTAAAACTTTGTAACAATTTCAACAAAAAATACTTTTATTTTAAACATCCAATCTTATGATTGATAATATCATCCAATCAACTTACCTGATCAATCTAGATTCGCTTTCATACTAACAACTGTTAAATCTGTTATTAAGTAATAAAAATATTAGAAACTCTTCAAGTAGATAATATATATATGACGGAGTATGCACAATACGTTGTGTAAAGTGCCTTATTTTGGGAAAACTAGTTGATATATTGGTTTCATTTCTTTCATGTTTGTATTTAAATGTTTTCGTTTATTTGAGTGATTATATTTGGTTGATAAAGGTTAAGAATTTGAAGAGAAGATACTCAATTCATTTGACAATACATTGACGATATGTCGTTTGAACTATGTAATTTTGTGATAGCTGTTTGTTTGTTTGATTAAGATTATTTTAAGTTTTTAAGTGTATTCCTTATTTCTTTTAATTTGTTTGATTGTATTTAGTTGATTAATATTGTGAATGTAATTTAAAAAAGTAACTCAATTTATTATAAAGAGCCGACGCTAACGTCAGTTAGATTGTCGAGTGGGGTTGCGAGAGGCGCCAACTTCATAGTAGTGGGCAAGCATATAAACTGCAGCAGTCACACTGCAAGGGCAGTGCTTATTTGGACGTAGTGTTGGACGCACCCTCGGAAATCCACGTGGCTCGGTTTCATGTGTTAATCAAAAAGCAAGAAGTGAAGTAAAGTGAAGTGAAGTGACTTTAAAGTGTTGTGAAGTGTTTTGTTAAGTGTTAGAGGTTAGATATAAAATAAGAGTGAATTACAAGACCCTAATGGACTCGGCGATCCGACATCAGAAGTTGGGAATCACCCAGATACGCACACTCGAAGTTGGAGTCCAATTCTCCAATCCGAACACGGCAAATGGAGGAAACTTTTTTTCATTTACAACATCGTTACATGCTTAAATTGGAGGGCGCCCAAAGATGATGCAACGAAGAGTACCGCCACAGAGGACTGCCATATGTTACCGATGTGGACAACCGGGGCACATAGCGCCTACGTGTCCAACTAAATCTGGGAAAACTGTTTAACAACCAGATCCGACCGAACGGCTGGTAGATATCTGCACCGTCAGTCCTGCTTCAGGAGAGCATTATAATCTGGGTGAGAGATTTCCTTTTTATTTTGATTATTTGATATTTGATTTGATTTTGATATCATAATACTGTCAGGTATAGGTAACAAAAGTTTGGTGTGTCACTTACACGTTTTGTAAACGGTATTGATCCAAAACTACAACATTGAGTTATTGTTTCACGTTGTTCCTGATCAGTCACTTCCTAATAATATTTTAGTAAATAAAGTCGTGTTAATTACTCGACTTATAACTCAAGAACGGCTGAACCGATTTTACTGAAAATTGGCAGGGAGGTTGTTTAGAGCCAGGAAATTGCAATAGGATTTTACTTTTTATCCCTTTTGACAGCATTCCCGTGGGACTTGACATGAAACGTCAATAACTATTAAACGTGGAATAACGAAACACAATTGACAGCTATGCAATTGACGTATAATGACAGATATGTAATGACGTTTTACATTCGTTGGAAAGGTCTCGGGCTCCGTGAGGTTTATAACAAAAAAAAAATTAACAGAAAAGCGGGAAAATCTTTTTTTTTTCACATACAGCATAACATGTACTACAAATCAATATTTTAAGTAGATGGCGCCGGTTCATGATACATTGTTCGATAGCTAATCATTGTTCTTTGCTCAGTTAATTTCATGTCACAAACCGGTATTGTTTGTAGTTTGAACTCTTAAAACCATTCAGTATTTGCGGGATAAATTTAGAAAATCATTGTTTTTCACATGGACGTAATATTTTGCGTGTTCACGAGTTTGGAAACCATCCGCTTTATTTGTGTTAAAGTTAGACCAAAAAAAAAAAAAAAAAAAAAGATAAATGTGGTTTACGAAGGACCACTTCAATGTAACGGATAATTTGCGGGTTTACTAGTTATTAATAACACTAAAGTCATGCAATACTGTGAAGTCGGCAGAAATTCAAAGTATTTTGTTGAAGGTGTCCCCACAAGTAGAGTTACATCAGGCCAACTAGAAATAAAATTAATTAATCCAAATCTCACTGTTCAACGTCGTCTCTATAGATTGAACATAGATGAACGAATGGTTGTAAGAGAAAAATTTCGTGATCTCTTAAATGCCGCAGTCATATGTGAAAGCTATCCTCCTTTTTCTAGTCCTATGTGGTATACATCTTGTCAAGGATTCTGTGTGACCTTGGCAAAGATCTGTGTGATGTATCTTGTCATGGATTCTGTGTGACCTTGGCAAAGATCTGTGTGATATATCTTGTCAAGCATCTGTGTGAACTTGACAAAGATCTGTGTGGATTATATATTGTCAAGGATCTGTGTGAACTTGGCAAATATCTGTGTGGTATACATCTTGTCAAGCATCTGTGTGAACTTGACAAAGATCTGTGTGGATTATATATTGTCAAGGATCTGTGTGAACTTGGCAAATATCTGTGTGGTATACATCTTGTCAAGCATCTGTGTGAACTTGGCAAAGATCTGTGTGGTATACATCTTGTCAAGCATCTGTGTGAACTTGGCAAAGATCTGTGTGGTATACATCTTGTCAAGCATCTGTGTGAACTTGGCAAAGATCTGTGTGGTATACATCTTGTCAAGCATCTGTGTGAACTTGGCAAAGATCTGTGTGGATTATATATTGTCAAGGATCTGTGTGAACTTGGCAAATATCTGTGTGGTATACATCTTGTCAAGCATCTGTGTGAACTTGACAAAGATCTGTGTGGATTATATATTGTCAAGGATCTGTGTGAACTTGGCAAATATCTGTGTGGTATACATCTTGTCAAGCATCTGTGTGAACTTGACAAAGATCTGTGTGGATTATATATTGTCAAGGATCTGTGTGAACTTGGCAAATATCTGTGTGGTATACATCTTGTCAAGCATCTGTGTGAACTTGACAAAGATCTGTGTGGATTATATATTGTCGAACCCGTATGTAAAGTCTATGTTAAAATCTTTGTACTGTGATTTTGATTTTCATATAAAAGATAATTAGTTCGTGTTGAGTTAGATGAGATATAATGTTTACAGTCTAATTAATTTAATTAGTTCAGTCAGGATAGCCGAGCGTTAAAAAAATACCAATATTATTTGATTTTAGTTTCTGATGACACACACACATAGACACACGAGGACGTGTGATATTGCAGGATGGCCGTGACGGAGTATGCACAATACGTTGTGTAAAGTGCCTTATTTTGGGAAAACTAGTTGATATATTGGTTTCATTTCTTTCATGTTTGTATTTAAATGTTTTCGTTTATTTGAGTGATTATATTTGGTTGATAAAGGTTAAGAATTTGAAGAGAAGATACTCAATTCATTTGACAATACATTGACGATATGTCGTTTGAACTATGTAATTTTGTGATAGCTGTTTGTTTGTTTGATTAAGATTATTTTAAGTTTTTAAGTGTATTCCTTATTTCTTTTAATTTGTTTGATTGTATTTAGTTGATTAATATTGTGAATGTAATTTAAAAAAGTAACTCAATTTATTATAAAGAGCCGACGCTAACGTCAGTTAGATTGTCGAGTGGGGTTGCGAGAGGCGCCAACTTCATAGTAGTGGGCAAGCATATAAACTGCAGCAGTCACACTGCAAGGGCAGTGCTTATTTGGACGTAGTGTTGGACGCACCCTCGGAAATCCACGTGGCTCGGTTTCATGTGTTAATCAAAAAGCAAGAAGTGAAGTAAAGTGAAGTGAAGTGACTTTAAAGTGTTGTGAAGTGTTTTGTTAAGTGTTAGAGGTTAGATATAAAATAAGAGTGAATTACAAGACCCTAATGGACTCGGCGATCCGACATATACATCATTACATATCTTATTAAATAACTGGGATCGAAATGTTTCAATGATTTTGAATGGAAATAACTGAATTTTCTCTCAGGCGACCGTTTGCTGAATGTATGTACTATAATACGTCTCCATCGCGTTTCTGTTTGATAACATTTAAATCAATCTTGCGAGAATTTATAATAATATTATACGTGCGAAGAAACACGTCAATAATGAACATAGTATAAAATATAATATGGGAGTAATAAAATATATTAGAAAGTACATTTCACTTTTGAAAAAAATATAAATTCATTTGAATATTGTATGACCTCTTTTTATATTTTATTTATTCTATAAATTATTCTTCAATTATATTAGTTGAAAGTTTTATAGCCATTATAATTGGTTAACGATCTACTATCACTATTTCTTTCACACCTCGCTCTGAATGTCGTTGTTAATGAATAATAAAATATAAACTAGAACAAGTCTATTTTATTTTTCTCTTTAGGAGAGCAATATTTTAGAAATACTAAATAAATTTGGATCTAAATGGTATAAAAGAAAATATAACATGCGCGTCATTATATTGTCCAAAGTCAAATTAATTCTGATTTATTATGAAAGGTCAATAACCTTATAAAATATTATTTTTAAAGGCTTTAAAAGCAACATGTTGTATAAGTATGGACCCGTCTATAAAGCACTTTACGAGCTCATCCATTATATCTAAGTGGACAAAATTGCTGGCCCTACATCTTATTACATTTATTACATTGAAAATTTAAATAAAATCTCTTGCTTTAGATACTTTATAGCGAAAAAAAATATTTTAATGGAATTTCATATTAGCAATATTTACTGTAACCATTTCTTAAAATATTTATATGTAAAAACATTTTCAAATATTTAAAATGTCGTATGTATCTTATAAACGGAAATTAAAACCAGAATAAAAGCTCAGCATCACGTCTCCCCACACAGTGCTCTCGCATCTTATAAATTTATAATTTGAATCGTGACCGGACTTGAGATGTTTAACCTAACACATGATAGCTTTAAAAGTTCTACAGTTCTTCTCTGATTGAATTATATACAAACAAATAAAAAAATACTGTAATAAAAATATATAATGTATTCGTACTATAATTTCTACAATTAATATTATAATAATAGAATATCCATACTGAAACTCTTAAATCTATCTTAAACAATTTTTATTACACTAACGCCTACATCCAAGAAATTTATGAAGAATATTTTTAAAAATATTCTAAGACGTGACATTTCTATTGACTTTGTTATATAGATTTAGCGAGGGTGTAGTAACGAGGTGTACATATATTGTAGGAGTGTGTGTCTGTTTGTTTGTTTCAGTGTTCGTGCTGTGTTGGTCTCCATACATGATATTCGACCTACTACAAGTGTACGGCTACGTCCCGGACACCCAAGCCAACATAGCCATAGCCTCTCTCATCCAAAGCCTCGCACCGCTGAATTCGGCTGCTAACCCAGTTATTTATTTCATATTCTCCAATAGAATATTTATAAGTCTACGGTAAGTATTACCAATCAATAATCTACCTTCTATTTTATGGATCTGTGTTAAAATTGACTGGATAAACTCGTATTTATCTGCTTCAACGTCAAAATCATATAACATTTTTCCGCGCTCACATCGAAAGTTATATAAAGAGATGATTATATGAAAAATATCCTTTCACTCGGTATTTTATATTCTAGTGGGGTATTTGTACGTCCCCAAAACATTTTCTGTGACAAATAGCTATGCGAATTTTATTCCACAGCGATACGAAAATATCCTGCGACATAATACGAGGCTTGAAGTTTGTTATCCGTCTTAGAGCTATTGTACTCGTAAAATCTTAATACTTTCAAAATTTTTGACAAAGATATTAATGACCGTTGCTGAAATAGAATGAAAAACATTAAAATTGCCATTAAGCTTATAAATATCATTATATATAAATTAAATTATAATAAAATATATAATTATTAAAGTAATATTTATAGTATAAGAGATTTAAAAAGAATCCTTTAAACTATGACCTATTCTCTAAATCCCTAAGGACGTTGGGTAACAAGAAAAATAATATGATCGTTCACAGAAGAATGGCATTTCGTGCTCTTATAATAAATGAAACCTTGGAGAATATTCTATTAGATAGTCATAAATGTTAAGCTTATAAAAGATACAGTATCAGAACTATGAAATTAGTTGTAGCGTGCTGCAGGAATAATAATCATGTTGCGCGATGAATGAGACGAACTAACATTAATCATATAGAAAACCTCCCAAGAATACATCGCCTTGTAATTAATATAAGTATGTTATAACGACAAAGTACCGCTTTAATAAAGAGGCAGCTTGGTTTATTGAGTTAAAGCTATCAAATAAAAATACCACCGTTTCTATTACACTTTATATGTTTTGTTTTCGGTAGAGGACGGCAATTAATCTTGTAACTATTTCAATTACAGTTTAAACTTCACTTCCAAATGAACAAAATTTGTGGCGTTTAATTCCAAATTATTTCTGATACTTTGTAAACTTTTACCTTCAATCATTTGAATCTTGTAAAATGTTCAGTACATTTATTTTGTCTTTTCTCTTCTGTATGACGACTTACATTGTTGAATGGCCTTTTAAAAGTTTAACTATCTTATTTGTTACAATAAATACACCTGATTGTTGTATAAAATATGTATATTCTACTTAGTTGGATTACAAATTTATTTAACTTAATGTTCGACCAAAACCTATGTAATGTATATAATCGATACTGATGTTTGCATAAAATATTCATTTCTTAAAACATTACATAGTTGACGATAAAAAAATCATTATAAATTTTAGTATTTTCTAGCTAATTCGTCTTCGATTACTTTGAACCTTATTTAATAGATACTTAAATGTTATCATAAAATAGTATTGTATGTATAATTACATAATTATACTTCATAAGCTATTGACTCTTCTGTTTTTACTTAATCTATGAGTCGAAAGTAACAATCATTGATTCTATCGCTTCGGGACGTTTTTGACTCTCGTCTAAATATTCAGTGAAAGTAATATAAAGGAAAAACATGAAAAATTACTTTGACTTAGTTGAGCTTTATGATTATGTTTAAAGAGCTCGCATGTATTGCTTATAAATGTTCGATTCATCGAATATAAAGTAGCATATCAAATTAGAAACAAATCAAAAAGTTATATAAATATTGTAAGTAGGGGAAAGGTCCAAATTAAAACAAATTATTTCATCACATATTTAATTAAGACTATGAATATGAAAGGTTTGATATTTATATTCGAAAGAAATATATTTTTTTTGGTAATGAAGAATATCAAGAGAAACACGAATCCAAACTCTTTGGCCTAGATATTACAGTATAAATTCGTTCGCAGGAACATTCCCCCATACAAGTGGCTGTGGTGCTGGATGAAGACCGGTGACACCACCACCGAGTCCAAGGCCCACACTGAGCTCCTCACCTCGTCACACAGAAAAACAAGACACGACCTCACCATCCGAGTAAATATTCACAGCCCTAGTTAATGAACAATAAAATGTTTATGATAATGATAATGATAACGGTCCTCCTTTTTTATCATTATCATAAACATTCATTCAAAACATCTCCAAGACGCTAATTTCGTTGGTCAAATGCCAGCAGCTATCACAGACGGTTAATGTATATTAACTGCTGGCCTGTAAACATTCGCATTCCTTCTTTGTATTTATATTTGAGAAAATAATGTTAATTTTACAAACAATTTTCCCTCAGTGATATGAATCAAAAGACTAGAGACAACGTCACTAATATACGTAAAAAAGATTATCTAATGATAGCAGTAAGCCATATGCAGAAGAGTTAGTAAATATATACATTTCTATATCAAAAATAAAGGTCCTAATATATCCATCGTCTGAACATCACCTCTTACTAGACTCGGTCTCTCAAATGTCACCACAGACCTTTCTCTTGAGACGAGTGTTATATACAGACAACACTCACTTATAATATACATAGAAGCTAGGAGACTTACAATAGGAAAAATAAGACCTAGTTAATTAAACAGATATCATAATGACTTTGTTGGAATTCCAAAAAAAATACATATAAGCATTTATATATATAATTTGTAGTGTGTGTTGGTGAAGTCAAACCAAGTTTCTTTGGCATTATATTAGTAATAGTAATTTTAAAAGCATCTCTTAAAACGTTCATGTGTTTAGGTTAAGAATGACAGCTTGAAGGAGCAGAAGCAGAGGCTTCATCAGTGTAACAGTTCCCGGAAGGTTCGCCTCCACCTGCCAGGACAGGCCATGAACAATAACGTGACACAAGCACGACGTGCTGATACCTTCTTATAATTATAATGTATACAGTAAGGCCAACGAGAAGAGATAGAATATGTTAAAAAAACTTTAAGTGGTTCAATACGAATAAAAAATCTAAAGATAAAAATAAATACGATAATTACGTTGTCATGGCTCTCCTCAAAAGGTATTATGATCTATAGTATGTTTGTTTTGTAAAGAGATTTCATTAAAATTGTAAATTCCAAAAATAAAATATGTACCGTCCTAGATAGGTAACCTTTTTTATATTTTAACTTTGATATGTAAAGCAAGTAACGCTAGCTACAAAGGACAAATCCAAAGTTGTTGTTAAGATAAAATTATTCATGTTTGTCGTGTAACAAGTGACCTTTTTGGTTATTTTTTTATGAGGAAGAGACACAAGGATGAAGAAAAGAAAAATAGACAGACTTCAAATTAGATAAAAAACTAAGATTGTAAATTATTCATTTTAGTCGTCTTAAGACGACTTTATATCTGTTGTATGAATGTATTATATTTAAAATAAAAAATCCACTGTTTTGTAACTGTAACTTTCGTATAATCGTATGAGTATACAATTTTATAAGGTTATATAATAATTATCATTGTATGTGTTCGTAATATAAAAAGACAACTTCACAATCAGAGAAGTATGTTATCAGAACTAGAAAACTACGAATAAAACAGTCACCGAAGAAATGTCTTAATTAATAATTTTGTAATGTGCATGTCAACAAAATGTTTTACTTAAAGTAAATTAAATATAATACAGGGATTAAGAAGTCATTACGCTGCGAGAAACAGAGATCTCTTGTACCAAAATATGTAAACGAAATTAAATTATTTAAATTATATGAATAAGTATTTAAGACCTTAGATTTAATGGATTAAGTACAGTGTTTAATAATTCTGAATTAATTTCTAGTGAGGCTCAAAGAAAACTTGAAGTCTACGACTTCATAGCACATATTGTAAACAACTATTTATCAAGACAAGATTTTCAAACTGTTGTAAAGTATTCTATTGATGCAACTATGTACGGTCACAATAATTCATATTATAATCCACTCTTTGATCTGGTTAAGACGATCACAGACTGTGTCAAGTATGGAATGTACATTGATTTTTTCATTTTGTTTCTCTATTCTTCGTCTTCTATGTACACTTGATATAAAGACATAATATAATTAAAGACATTCTTAAGTGTACGTATAGATGTTAGTATTTAAAAGAAACGCGCCAAATGATGAGGAGTTAAACTCTAGTCATTTCGAATATTTCATTGTAAATGTTGATTGAATTTATTAGGATATAATTTCATAACATAACATTTTTATTTTATACTATTTTTAAGATTATTTAATAAATGTACGAAATTGTGATAAGATGTTTCATTTAGATCCTTCTTACGTCTGATTTATTAATAAATATATTTCAATGATAAATTCGAAATTTTTTACAAGAATACTTACATCATAAGAAATGTGATAGAAAATTGAATGGAGCAGAAAGGATATAAATGGTTAGTTCGTATTTTTTATCTCGTAATTCGTCGTCGAGATGGGTCCAGCTGTGTTATGTATCAGACCATTTGACATACAGACTACTACTGGGAGGGTTCACATTGATTGTGGCGAGATTACGTTCATAGACGACTTCACTTGAGATAACTTACACTACGTCTTTAACATCGATTGAATTTTGTTAAAAATAATTCGACTTAAATTGTAGAACTTAAATCATAGAACATTTACATATAAAGGAGTATCAAACACGTTAAGAACATGTAAAGAGTTATTTCAAGCTAGCAAATATACAGATATTAATATAATATATTAATATATTAGAATATACCATCGGCAATTAAAAAATACTATGCTTTTCAAATATATAAAGAGAATTATTTATCATTATTTTTGAAGTTTCAGTTACTTTACAGCTACATGATCACGGACAAACTAGATGAAAAAATCATAAGAGTAATATTATATCCAAAAATCATAGTTATATATAAATATGTACTACATAAATTCTAAACGCGGGGACGAGTAAAAGAATTTCTACAATGAATTATTTTCAAATTAGTATGTGTGTAAAAAATGAATGTTCTTACTTTCATTGCTCGACAGAAATTTAATTAAGTCACGCTAAAGACAGCGAGAATATCCAGGAGGCAAAACATTGTATATTACTATAATTATCTATTACACTCAGTGAGAATATCCACTGATATTCACTTTACAATTGATAATTTAAAATTTTAAACATGAATGTCTGTCAAAGGTGCACCGAATTAATACAATATATATATAATATATATACATCTTTTTATATGTATTCTAAATACTGTTTCAAATAACCTGACATTTTCTTTGAACTCGATAAACTCAATAAAGTCTAATACCCGAGTAATGTAGGCAGGTGATCGTGTGAATGAAAATAACACTGTTTTATGAATAATTCATCGTGATACATACATACATTGATGGATTCGTGTTATTGAAAAGTTTGAAAAGCCTTCCTACATTAAATACAGTCGAAAAGTGAACCATACATATATAAATTAGTAATATATGTTTTATATTCTCTTATGAAAACGATGACAATTCTTGATATATCAAAGATAATAAATATTCTTTGGCGTAATAATCAATAATTTATTATATCAATAATATACAACAGGTAAGAATTTACTTTGGAGGTTGAAGAAAAGTTGTTTTATAAATTGTTAATCCATTAATATAAATGTTTTAATTGAATAATTTACTTTTTATAAATTAACTGAATATCTTTTGTAAACTTCTCAACTTAAAAAGTGTGCTATCTTGAAGACGATATTAATGTATTGATTTAAAAATATTAATTTTTACTACATAAGGGACACATTTACATGTCGTTGTTTTCATGACACTCAATATACGAGTACAACTCATGACTTTCATCAACATATAATTACTTCATATATTTACATTTTAATCTAAATAATCAAAAGTTTGTTTATTTAAGACGTCATTGACATTAAAAGAAACTTTCCTAAAAGAGAGAAAATTAAAACAAAGAATTAGAGAAAATCTGATATGCTTTTGTTACAAATTTATATGTATTATGTTCATATATAAAAATTTAGTCAATTTGTTAAGCACTCCATTATGTTTCAGGACATCAATTAATTAAAATATAATATGTAAATTTACATATTCACATTACTTTACATATATGAATTAACATATATATTTACTATTAACCCAAATAGTATATATAAAAAAAAATCTGTTGTCCCATTTAGATAACATCTATCTATGTTACATTATTCAATTTGGCAGTTGAAAACTTTGTATTGAAGGATTGCGGTAAAACAAAGTTTAAACAGTATCAATCCAAGTATTGATTTTTCTTTTAAATTGTTTCAACCACATATATCATTCGGAAGTTTTTAAATAATACAACTTTGAAACAGAAGCTGAAACTGATAAATGATTTGAGGTCATAATATATATTTGTTTGACGGTAAAGGTATTATACAAATTCGTAATTTAATTCAACTCTATAAAGATACCTCAAATATTGAAAACCTAAAGCATATAATGCAATCAAAATAAACTGATTAAATTTTTATTAAGATATTGTTTAAATTCCACCTATAGTCCTTACTATAGGTGGAATTTAAACAATGTATTTCAATATAACGATCATTAGTATACAAACATTGTATTGAGTTACGACATAGTATGTTTAATATATAAGCAGTACAAGTGGAGCTTCACGCTTCCCTTCATTTAATTGTACTTGGAGATTGTTTTGAATAATGACCCCGAGCCATCAAACAGTACACAGTACAAGGTCACGAGGCTCAATAAATCATTTCAGCCTCGATAGCTGCTGACACCGCCAAATTGCTTTTTTTCTTACCACCCGAAGCCTTTTATATCTCAAAATCCCCAAATTATCAAGCAAAGGATCAGCCAATCTCCTCTTAATCTGACGATCAAAATGCTATTAACGATATTTTATAATATTTTACCGAATTATAATATCACATTTACAGATTACGTTATTGACATCTGAAAATTATTTTTCTTTTGGCACATAATGGAAGTATCTACGATGTTACTTTTTTAATAAAATCCTTAATAATATGTGGAAAATATTGTGTTATATTTAATATATTTCAGTAACGAGCTCATCCTCAATCCGGTTATAAAATACTGAGTTTAAATTTTATAACAATAAAACTATATTTGATGGCTTCCGTACAATTTATATTTTTATTTATTTAATCCGACATTTTGTTTTATCGTTTCATCGCTTTCGAGTGTAATCGTTCGCAGTAATTGCAGTTCGATTCTGAAATAACTGATAATATTCCTTTCATACAAAAGAGACGACATTATATTTTATATCGCTGACTAAAACTGTTATTTTGATATTTATATGGAATTTAAAAAGACACTATCCTTATTATTTACCTTTAAAATACTTGCAAAATAAGTTTGAAATTCAAAATCTCTTAAGTCGTAAAATTCTATTGCATGTAGGAAGCGATCGTAAGCGTAGCGAGTCGAGTGTTTAAACAAGAACAGTTAAAATAGTTAAAATAAACCTCAGTGAAGCTGAGAATATAAAAACTAAGCTTTCGTAATAAAAACAACGCTTTGTAATCTTGTTTTACTACAACCATTTCGATACGAGCACTTTAAAAGAATAGTTTCAGTGACAATTCAATATTCAGCGATGTGTTTTGTTACGATGGACCAGCAGTTATTGGATGCAGTTTTCATTCAAATTGCTATCACTGACCTCTGTATAGAATTGTACTCATTTTAAACAAACGCGAACACATTGTAATAGTGATATACTTACTATTCAGTAACGTGACGCTGACTCTGTCCTGTATCTACATATGTATGTATATCTATATATTATATACAAGAAAGTTGGATTAGTTACACTATTTATTAACTCAAGAACGGCTTGACGGGATATGCTGAAAACTAGCGGAGAGGTAGTTTAGAAGCGAGAAAAGGATTTAGGATATTTTTCAGCGATTGAAAAAATATAAATTGATAAGATCCAAAATCTTCTTGTTTACTGAATAGGGTTTTCCCCGGTTAGCTATACATTTGGAATATACAAAGTAACGCAGACGAAGTCCCGGGCAAAAACTAGTCATGAAATCAAAACATTAATAATTGAAACAAAAATAAGCAACTATCCTTCAGCATATACAGTGTTTTTATCAAATCTCTGACCACATATTGTGTAAGGGTTTAGCTGTTAGCGGAGAGCATTGACCATAAATATATGCAAATCTCGGGTTGTGAATAAAGAGCATCGTTGTCCTTCAACCACCAACCATCTATCATACTCTCTCGTATATAAAACACTGAATGATTCTTTACGATTATACACTATCAGAAGTGTTTTAATATGACATAATAAGAATTATCACAGATATATGAATATCATAACTAATACATAATTTTTTTATGATATTTTCTTAAGACACAAAGAAAATGTGTATATGTATCTGAAATTCCTTATTATTACATAGCAATTTTAGAGATAGGCTTAAAAAAATCTCTTATAATTTTCGTTGTTTCGTAGGTGGTATTTGGAATAGATGAACGGAAACTAATTAAACTTAGTTGATAAGACAACTTGTAGAAAATGTATGTGCTATACAGTATCACGTTTCTATTTATTGATAATAGAGGAAAGGGTCAACAAACTCGCACTAAACAACTTGTATTAAATATTATAGAAATAGCTAAAATGATTTTTCCATAATTATAAACATTTTGTTAAGATACCCATAAATGTTCTACCATTATGAAAATTAGTAATTATCAATTTGAGTAAAATTTATTGCAAGACGATAAATTCTGCAAACTCCAAAATTTTGCACACCTGACTTAAAATTTAAATGATTAATTATGTTTTAGTGGAATATGATCCGCAGTCTATTTCACTAAGTATCGCCAAAATGGAAAATAAAATGTATAAAATAGATAACTATGGATAATATACGACCAGAGAGCTCGGTAAACAATTTTATATTGAACCTTCTTTAACAAAAGAACAAGAGAACAAAGGACGCTGCTATAGAAAAAATGATATCTTGTCATAAATTTTACTTAACACCATAACTCTATCAAAATTCAACATTTAATACATAAAATAATCAAAATAAATCAAGTAATAAATATGGAAATAAATTAACAGCGTTCATCTATCAACGTCCTACAAATAAGAAAAGTTTGAACATCTCCCAGCACGATGGATAACTTCGGTGAGTTTGAAATGAATAGCTCTATTATTATATATAACTTAGCATACTGTTTGTTAGTATTATTTTGGATATATTTTATGCTAAATTTTTGTAACACACGAGATTTCTTGTTATAATTAAAATTACTGTTCATTTATTTGGATGGCAGCTGTCAGTCGAGTGGTTTTTTCTTTTTGTCTATCAAAATTTAAACTAATAGGACTTTGAAGACAACAGGTAATCATTAATTCTCATTTCATATAAAGACCTAGACGATCTGCTGGACCTAACGGACTCGGAGTCATCTTCCTCATCGAACCCCGGTATATTCGAAACTAACCAACCATTCGTACTCGAGCTTCACGAATTAAAAAAAGACGAGCCCGCAATGGACCAAGTTCCACCAGATACAAAGACAAAGAAGAAAAAGAAGAAGAGAAATCTACCGGTCAATGAAAATAAAACTGCTACATCCTCCACAAGTAGTGTATCAGAATCAGTTCCATCAGCAGCTGATGTTGCGATGAAAGAAGAATTCTATGACGCGAACGAAAGTTATCACTTGCTATCAGGTTTGGACACTAATATTTATAGTATTAACAATATTATCGATAAAACATACAACTATACAATAATACTAGTTTTTGCCCGCGACTTTTTCCGCGTTAATTTCGGAATTTGTGATATATGTATAGCTGACCGGGCGAACTCTGTGGCCATGAGGCTGTGTTTTACAGATATTTGAGTTTATCAAGGTTTTTTCTGTTTCGATGAAACAGTACTAAATATCCTATGTTCATATCCTGATTGTAAGCTATGTTCCCAGCAATTTCCAACCATAACCTTATAACAAAATTTACTTATTTTACTACATTCTCTCTTATACCATATCTTAAGACCCACGTCCTAATAGTTTCATGATTGTTGATACACAGCCGAGGTGAGTCAAGTTAATCCTGCTGCGAGTGCTGCTCTAGCGCAGGCACACTCAGAACACGGACAGGACAAGACAGATGACAGCGAGAGACGATTATCAGCTAATAAACAATCATCCATTATCAATGTTAGTACAATCACCATTATCAATTTGCCCAATAGATTATGGTTACGCTTTGAAATGTCCTGAGACGTAGGTACTATAGCTCATAGAATTTTAAATACATTTATATTTGTCACAGAAACCCGTCGTACCTCCAAAATGATGTAAAAAGAAAAGTACGTATGTTTTTTTTTTTATAAAATCCAAAATCACTACGTAATTTTTAATAATTGATCTAGCATTTAGAATTCTTTACAATGTGTTCTGTTGCAGGTGAAAATCACTTGACGAAATCAACACACAATGCAAACTTCATGTTAATAAAGTAATTTAAATTTTATTTTCGTTTTCCTTATTATTAAAGTCACGGTACTATTGTAATGAAACGCAAACTAAGTTTCTTGTATCAACTTTAATGAAATGTTTCCTCACACCCCAACCATGACTATTTGTTTTGTGCTTGCCAAACTTTGAAAAGTCCTTGAGTTCCCTTGAAAATAGGACAAAACTTGTCTGTAGCCAGACTTAAATTTAGAGCCTTGAAGACTATTCTCTTTTAGGTTCATTAATTTTATTGTAATTTACAAATGTATATAACAGTATTCAGACAATTATTCAAAATATAAAAAGTCACGCTAGTTTTTACGCAATCGACGGTATAAATATCCTTCAATATGTTTAACGCACGATAAATTTACCAAAAAGGTCTTCTATTATTTATTATATCTATGCTCGTACATACATTCTTATATTCGCTTCTCTATGGACATTTTGACATAACTGTTTGACATGACAATGTCTTAGATATAATGAAATTATTTTTAATGTGTTTTGGGACTATTTAGGTAAATTCTAAACGACTTCAGTTACTTGGAAGTCCCGTCGACACGGGACTTCCGGAGGAAATTTCTGAGGTATCGACAGTTGTAATATAAAATAAAACATTATTTCCTGTAGTTTTGTTAAAGAAAAGGTTTAATCGCTTAAAACGAAAACAAATTTCAAATTCTATGTTTATCGAACTGTTATGTGTTAATGTTTAAAGGAAACAATCTAAAGTTTAAGATGACATCTAACTTTAATTTCTTTTCTTTTCTATTTATTTTGTTTGAAACAATCTCAAAATGCTTTTATATCGTATTTTCGGTTATACCTAACTATTTTCTTTAACATTTTTACAGTAATGGAAAAACCTGTACGTTATAAACAAAAAAATAAAAAACCTGCATCAAAACCTAAATCTGCTAAAAAACGAAAATCCGATGGTAACATCACCTTACACTTGTACACTTTATATAATATTCGAAAGGTAAAAATATGTAAGACATAACATTTTAGGCCCCACATGTTCTATGTTCCTGGCTGAACTAACAAGAAGACTCGCACACAAAAAGAAAGCTGAAGAAGAATCTAAAACCATCATCCGTAAGTGTTATTAGCATTACAATATAGAATAAACGTTTAGACGAAACGACTTCTCAGAAATAAATAGACTGAAGAAACTTAAAAAAACACATTGTAGGAGACAAAAAAATTTATTTTACAGAAACAATCGTCGACAGCATCACAAATGCCTTACCTGTGGTATTTACAAGGAAGACACCACCAAGAAAAGAATCTCCAACGAAAATAGAAACATTACAGTCATATGCACCCGAACTCCTACCGAATGATATCATCGACATCCCGCGACCCGTTATCAGTTCGTCCAACTTACCATTGACAAATGAGACACAAGTTTTAGCGTCAGGTTTCAAAATCCCTAAGATGCCCTTCGTTAGTAGCGAAGTATTCAAGCCACAGGCTTCTAAAAAAGCGAAACCAGTAACTGAAGATATGGCCGTAAATACCGGAGGTGAAACTGACGTCGCCAGTGAAATCGCAAAACATGTTGGAACCTTGCGAAAGATATCTCTGATTGCTGAAGAATTTAATCAGAAAACAGGTCCGTTAAAACGTCACTAGTAATTTTTTTAATATAACGTTATATTATAAATGATTTTTTACCAATTTCAGCGAAAAATTTAAAAGAAATAGTAGATAGCGTTCAAGAAGATTTAATGAAAAAGTTGGAAGAAATACAAGCGGAACAAAGAGCTCTGAGTACAGAAAGGCAACTCAGTATAGACGGCCGTCACGAAACAACGCAATGACTTCTAAAAGAATAAACAATCAAATCATAATTATGTCATCTGTCAAACATGGAAATGTTAAACATTTAAACTATTCAAAATTCTTGTTCTAAACATTTATAATAAAAACGAGTAATCACACAATTAATGGTTCTTTATTTGTATCGTTGAGATGTTTTGAAAAACTTTATATGTTTTTATATATGTTTCCAACTTGACGTATGTAGATTACAGAGACAATGGCCTTCTCTGTTGATCTGGCTTCAAATCTACCAACGAAGGATTATATCGTCGCATTCGGACATCTCAAACTAATAAGGAATAAAAATAACTACGGTAAAACTTCACTTGTTTCATACTCAATATAAAAATATAATTCATTTCTTACCAAACCTGTATTTAAGATAAAATCTGCCCGGATTATTATTAATTTTCTATTTTTTTAGGATATTTTGACATTTCAATGACAAAAATCTATCAAATATTGTATATTTTGTTTTGTGTAAGAAAATGTTTTGATAATCATACCTTTTTTTAAACAGGTAGAAACAGAAAAAATCCATATGAAATCAGAAGAAAATGTATGGCGACTAAAGTTCAAAAAAACACATTTTGCAATATTTCTAAAAGAAATAATGAAAGCAGCAATGGAGAAGACCATATCTCAGGTAAAGTAACAAGACTTTGGATGAAAACATTCTAGCGCCTATGAACAAATATTCCTCTTTACAGGAGACACGGCTGGAACGAGCAATCAAATAAATTCTGAAACAAGACTGGAAAATTCATCTAACAATAAAGAATCAAGTGAAGAATCGTACATAAATTTAAAACTGCTAAGAAAATCAAACACCATAGAATTTCCTACCGAGGAACCGTCAACTTCAGTCAAGGCAGGACCAGAAGAAAGTGTCATTCAACAGAGGAATGTACAACAAGTTCAACTTCTGAATATAAAACCAGGTAAAAGATGTGTTAGGAGGGAAATTGAGAAATGTTATTTGTTATGATCACTTTTAGACAATATATAATAAACATATTCTTGATTTGATTATTAATTACAGATCTTTGTAAAGAGGTTAATTCACCACCAAAATCAGTGGCTACGGCGAGACCCATACCCACTTTGGGACAGATCTACCAACAAGATCCCAATGACGACACCTCCACATTTGCTGGTAGATATAACAAAATAATTGTTTTATTCCTAATAATCTAATTATAATAATTTATCTCTTAATAGGCTGGTTCCTAGAATCTTTAGGTGAATACAGCAACTCATTTGAACAGTCTGTTGAAACAACTTCAACGTCTACTGACTGCACTTCAACAACTTGCAATGGCTTCAATAACCACGGTACATTAAATAAAATATGAGTTATAGATTTCGATTTATTCTTATTATATTAAAGTTTTCTTTCATTTAATAGATAATAATCAACCATTCAGCAATTTGAATTCTAATAACGTAACTAACGTGTCCTTAGTGACGAACACTTCACCAACAAAAGCATTTAAAACAACTAATGAGAATGTTAGTGAGTGGCTCAGTGCAGAACTAGACCATCCCACGAGAGATAACGAATTTGGTAAATTAATTTGTGTTATAACTTCAAAGTCATAATATGCATTGTATAAAAAATATACACAAACATTTTATTGATTGTCAAATATTTATTGTCACGTAAAAAGCCTTAAGAAAGTTTTTTTTTTGCAGATAATAATCGCCTAAGCCTTCCAACTTTATGTTACAATCCAAATATAGATAGTAATAATAGGCTAGTAAATAAGAACAGCAATCAACAGAATGGTCTCAAAGAACCAAACTCAAGTAATGGCATATCAAAAACTAATATTTCGGAGAAGACTTCCGAAAGTTCTCGTAATTATTCCACATTGATTTCTTGAAAAGATTTTTTACGAAATCTTAATGTTGCGGCTTATATTTTTTAGACACATCTTTGAGCGCACAACCTACAATAATTTTAAAAACGAATGAAGCATCCAATGACTCAGAGCCCGTTTATGTTTTTCCTAAAACAAATACCGATTTCAAGGAGAAAGATTACTATCCAGGTATATAATGAACAAATCTGAAAATTATTTCTAAAAGTTCAAATTGTACGTGTTATTTTTTTGTAGATTTCCATAAACCTTTAATGTATCATTCAACTCCTGCTACTCCAAAGAGAAGAGAACCCATCACTAAGAGCAGGACTGCTTCCTACGTGGAGTATCCTTCTGAAGTACTTCAGAAAACTACAAATTTTGAATCTGACGGTTTACAATTTATTTCTTTGTCAATATTCTAACCTTAATTTTTTTTAAGTCTCTCCAAGAAAATTGAAAATTCGCTCAGAATTAACTAATAAATTAATTCAATTGAACAGGTGGCGACAATTTGAGCAGTATTGTTGAAACAGACCACGGTCTATCGAGCTCATGGATGTTTAATCGTTATACTGATAGTTCTACACTGAGTGGTGTCACCTGGTCTAAACTGCAAATATCTCAGGATACTCTTAAGGAGTCGTTCAAAAACAGCAGATCGTGGAAATCAGATACTTTCGACGAAAAGCAGAAGGCAGCAGACTCAGGTGAGCCACATTCCGTCACATCAAACAGTATAAACAATTTCTTCTAGATTTTTTTTTATTGGTTGACGAAAATTATAACATATATACAATGACAAAAAAAAAAAACAAAAGTTTAATCCTCTTGGACCGTTGAGATAAGCATGAATTCAAACTATACATACAATAGAATATATAAAAAATACACGCATATACGCTGTGGGAAATGATTTATTTGAAATACTATTTTCAGATAAGAACAGTAATCATGATTATTTACACTGCTGGAAGAAGGATATTGCGAGAAAAGAAATAAATGATAAGACTGCAAGAAACTACAGAGAAAAATGCAATAAATGTCATAAGTATAGACAGTCACCGAAGAAAAGTGAGTTACTATGTAACTTAATAATTTTTATTATTTTATATATATGGAAGTAAATTGCTCTCATATCAAGGATTTATTGAGAAATGAGAGATGTCATTTTAATAAATATTGAAATTTTGACACAAAGAATTGTCCAATTTCACAGAAGGGCCTTTTAGATATCTTCGTAAACGAATGGCGATGGGTATCTGCAGACATCGACTGAACCGAGTTTGGAAGAAAACAGCTGCGAAATGGGCACACTGGTCCAAATCACCCTCCAAATTTAGAAGATGTTAGATATTAAGCCTTATATATATATAATGTCTAATATTTACTATACATATATAATAACTACTATAAAAAACACCGGCAACCAAATAATTTAATTAACATATTAAATAGCTATAAACTTAAAATTCATCTACATATACGATACACCTCAATAAATTGTTTAATATTTTTACAATAGAATAGGGAGTACGTAGCAAATAAATAAAATGAAAAACAAACCCCGAGAACAAAGTGAAGACGTCTTAAATAAAACTAAGTGTGAGAAACAAAATAAAATTGTCCTTTTCATCATTGAAGCTTTTCCGTTGATCTCATTTACAAGTGCGTCTGGAGGACAGTTGAGCAAAGACCTATTGGGAATGTTTATCTTAAATGCTTCAACATTACACACTGTTTAATTTGATTCATTAGAACCTTAATAGGGATTCCTTTTAAGCTTTCACGAAAACGTAAATTAAAACGGTTTATTTTTCAGTGGGAATGATGAACTATCTACAGAAATCCATTATATGGGACAACGCGAATGTACAGACAACGATATTCGTTTATCACGAGACTGGTACTTATTATTCATATTAAATATTACATTTATACATATACATCGAACAAACGAATTTTCTTTAAAGCATTGTTCGTGACGTAATCGGAAACAATTTATGTTTAGCCAAAAAGCCAAAAGCATCGTGATTCAACCATCCTTAAAACGCTGAAATAAGTCATAAATCGCGGATGTTCCCTTTCAATGTAACATGGTTTTACTTTTTAGGGACGGATGCGGTGGCGAGAGAGCAGAAGTCTGCGGAGATCACAGCTTCTATCAAACTCAAATCGTGTTCCTCATATAAAAATGGTAATCACGTTTTATCGAACATTTTAACTGAGAATTATAAGAAATATTATACATGTTTTTGTTTCTATGAGTAAGTTATATACTAGAATTTATATTTTTATTTCTTCCACGTAGTAAACAGAAATTAATTTGTACGTGCTTCTGATCCTTTCGTAAAAAACACTGGACATTTTAAATTACATTACCACCGTACTGAATAGAAAGTACCTAAAAACTTGTTTTTTTAAACCTTTAACTAAATTATCGTTTCATGTTATTTCTCTTTGAAGTATAAAAAATACCCTTTTTACAATACTAAAAAAATACTGCTGACAAAAACAATCTATTTTATCAATAATAATTTAAATATATTTTTTTGGTAATATAATTTATCTTAGTTATATTTATAATAAATATTCAAAGATTTAAATTATTCAACATTCTGTTTATAATATCGTGGTTAACATATTGTTCATCAATTAAATCCTACAGAACTCAAACCCTCAATTTAAATATGATGATAGTCACTGGAGGTAATTATCAAAGAGACCGACTGTGAAAGCAAATTTAACTAATTTTAATCGTATAAATGAAATTCCGTCAAGCAGAAAATATTTTATACATTAAATTGATGTCTCTTTCGAAATAAATGAACTATTTTTGTAATAAATATATAGAAAATTAGTATCGGTTAATATTGTATAAAATATGTTTTACATATTTTCTAGGGTCATCAAAGTTATTCCTACCGCCAAATAAGCACGATAATGTTGGTTCATCTATTTTCCCTTTCCTACAATATTCTTGTAAGTATAATATTATAGTGATTGTAACAAATTCAGATAGTAGGTAGATAAATAATGTTTGTGACAGAATTGTCAGTCTACGTGGAAGCAGTAAATTGTGTGCCATAAGTTCATTGTTTTATTTCATCATTACTCATAAATATAACAAATATATTTTTAATCATACGGCACATTGAAAAAGAAATTTAATGTTAACTAAAATATATATTGAAATCAGTCGATCATTCCATCTTGTCAAAACGAGTCCAACTGACAATATTAATTCATATAAATCGATATATTACAAAAACAGAAAGCAATCACGTTTCATTACAACGGTTCACTTTGGCTGTAAGCCAAAAACAGCAGGAAAAAGAGTATAATTCACAATTTTTACTTGTTTTCTTAATTAATTTAATGAACAGCTAACAATGCGGTCGTTTTCGGGAGGTATCAATCAAAATCCTCGTCTCGGGCGGCGCTCGGTGGGACCGTTAAAGAAATCAGAAGTATCAACACTCAGTGCTCACAATACTTTGAAAAAGGTATTTAATAGATTGAAATAATACAATACTTAATACTTGGAACTGATTGAAAATTGTAGCCTTAGAAGTTGTTCGCACTAAAAACAGATTCTAGCCAGTTTTTTTATTTATATACCTACGTCAATATTTGTACTATTATTTTGGGAGATGTATGACATTGAGATTTTTTGGGTTTCAGATAAATTATCACAACAAATGATACAGAATTCACATTTGAAACAAGCGGTGTCTCAAGATGCATACACGCAGGTGTTTATAACCTGCAATAACGCAGGTAAATACGACAACATAAAAATATGTAAAAGAGAGACGAGATATAAAATGTTGTAGAAATTATATGGCATAGTAACCAAAGGTTCCAGGAAAACTAGAACACTTACTTATATGTATATTGTAGTTAAAATTACATATTAAAACTTATAGCGTACACCTAAGAATACATAACCATGTAACCGCCCAGATGTTAGAATAGCAATACCATTTTATAGCTTTTGTTGTATCAGGAATCTTCTGGTTCACATGGCTTGGTGTTGGTTCCACGGAGTCAGCAGCGACACTTGTTATATGATATTTTATCTTTACCACGATATTGCCCCGGCGATGTAGGACACAACATTTTTTTTTTCCACAAATAATGACTTGAAATCAACTGTGTTCTGAAAAATATTATGGCTACATAAAATAGTATAAATATATTATAATTTTTTTATATGTATTATATAAAGTTAAAATGCTTTTCCATCAGACAGTCATAAAGAGAAAAATAAGACATTTTATTTTGACACATTAGATCTCTGCCTATTCTCAACCATGTAGACCAATGTGACGCAATTTTCTTTATAAAATTATATTTTTTCGTAAATTTATTTCACCAATAGAAAGGTTTATCATTGAGTGATAGACGTAATCTTTAATTTTTGTTACCGAATTTTATTTTCATGTAATTTAATAAATCAATTTATTTCAGATACAAACATAGTCTTCAATCCAATGAATCAGAGCTGCTGTTCATCTTACAGTCAAGGTTTTCCCTGTCACGGAGTAGATACAGGTTCAGTAACTTTACTATATATTTAATATTTAAACACTTTAAAGACTTAAAGAAACTTAACGTATTCTTCTAAAAGTATGTAACTGTCATCGATGCGTAAGAAGTCAACATATACGTATTAATATTTATTTTCATAATTATTAAAAGAAACTTTCTTCGTAAATAAGCTGTTTAAAAGTAAGATTTACATGCTATGGTAATTGAAATTACAAAACATAAATATCTAACAACAATGGACATTGGACACCTCGATCATATTTGTCCTACAAATATTTCTTACTCAATAAATGCTTACATGATCTAATAACAGTAATCTTCCAATTTATTCAACATCGTTCTCTCATATATTAATTAATCTACTTCGTGTATGTTCTCAGCCACCGATGCTATAACTCCTGACAAAACATCCCAACACTCCATAAACGTGATGACATCAACTGCCGTACTACAAAAGTTAACTCACACTGGTGCGTACTTTAACCATATTATCCCTACTAATATTACAAATACGAAAGTAACTCTGTCTGTCTGTCTATCTATTTGTTACAATTTCACGCCTAAACCAGGGAACTGATTGCAATGAGATTTGGAACAGAGATAGAGTTGACCTTGAGAAAAAACATAGGATAATTTTTATCCCAGACTTTTGAAAAGTTCTCTTGGAAACACGATATAACCGAACACCACGCGGGCGAAGCTGTGGGCGGAAAGCTAGTAAAATTTATTATCAAAGAACCTCTCGTCAAGATTATTGTGAAATCATTCGGAATTGATTTGTTATAGAATTATGATCAGTGAAAGCATTTTAATTTTATTAAAATAATATTTATTGTACAGATTCTATCACCATTCATATTATACATATGAACTTGAATGACGAATTAATGGAATGTTTTAGTACGTAAAATAAAATATATTAATTGTATGAATAAAAGTTTATATGATTTCCAATAGAATGTTATATTAATTACTATACATTATTAATTCCTATGTTTTCATCAGTATTACTTTGCTGGAATGAGAGATTTATTTGTTTAACTATCGATTTATTTTTAATATGTATAAGATATCTCACACTTATACATTGATATTTTCATTCGACATTTGAAACCTTCTACTTATTTTAATCACACATGCAAAATGAGTAGTAGACTTCTCTACTATATAGTAAGCTACTAAGATATGTATCATTACAGAGACCCAGGTATCTCCGGCTGAGTCAATGTGGAAAGTATCAACAGGGATACTTGTCCAGGAGATGTACCGTGACGCTAAGTCAAGTGTGGTTACAGGTAATACAACACAAATTCTAAGATTTAATACAAAATGTTCGATAAAATTAAACATATGAACAATATAATGTTTCTATTTATGATTTGTACCAAGATTGATAAACATGTATGTATAATATGTATATATTACAATCTAGATTGATAGACAACCCAGTCGTAAACAACTTTTATTAGTTGTCTCTATGTCCCGTGGTCTTTATGTGGATAAAATGATGTGACCTTCGTAATAAATGAATAATACGAGGACAGATGGAAGAATTTCCAAGATATTTTAAAAATTCTTTCGCAGAAATTGAATATATCAACCAAAGAGTAATTAGAGACCAAAGAGTAGTTTATTGTATTTGAAAACTTGCTACATGTTCTATGTTCAAAATAATTAAATAGAAAGTTCGCAAAAATACTAAAGTGCAAATACAATATAGATTTCATTTAAATCGAAATGTTTTATTTTATAGGACAATCAAACTAGTACAATGATTTTATCCACTGATGTTATTTTCTAAATAAAAATCATAAACTGAGCTTAATTTGAATGATCAATTTATTATTTTTTTACATATATTAGGATTTACAACACGGTATTTTATTTTTGACTTTAAACTACTTATTAATTTTTAAGAAATCGATGGCGGTAGGTGAAAAAATTACAAGACCGACTGACAGACTCTCATATCTCGTCTGCTTGTGATCACGGTTGCTGAATAGGAGCCGAAACGTCGGGAGTATGTAGTTTATAGTCAAAAATAAAAAAAACGCGTAGTAAATCCGAAAATATTAGTTTCACTCAATAATTTTTACATATATTATAATTAAAACAATTAATTATAAGTGACTAATATTTACAGATACATCAGTACCACGACGGAATCTCGACGCCACATTAATAACGGCTGATGGAAAGGTGCTAACTTGTACCGGTGAGTAATTCATAATAAATGGAGAAATGAGAAATGTTCTTTACAGGAGACTCTAGTATATTATACTACTTGTTGAATATTAAATTTCATAGTAAATAAATGTTTAGGTACTAAAATAACATCGGTATCTTCAGCCGACATACAAGCATCATCCATGTTGTCACGTACATCGAGGCAATACACTGTGAACACAGGTAAATTATTACAGTTCAAATTAAATTATAATCATTACTGTATATCAACCATATATTATTTCGATTTAACATGCATTTATTATTTCTATTCTATCAGCTACGTCAAGGGTTGTGAATGAAGATCGCTGGACCGTTCCGTCCCTTCACAGATATGATGTTGAAGATGTTTCTTTAGGTAATGTATTTTATATTATAACAAATATAGTAATATAGAAGTTCATAAATAATTTATTTCACAGAAACTGATAATATCCAAGCTAAGAGAAGCGAAAAAGCGACGTCGCAAATAAATTTTACGCAATATTCAGATATTGGTGAGTTATTTTTCATTAATAGTGTTATGACTATCAGTAATCTGTTTAAAGATAATCATTAAATACTTTTATATCTAATTGTTCTGTATTCTTTCGCTTCCAGGTTTATCTGCTAGTAACATCGTTAAGCACAACTCAATTAACTGTGGTTCTCATCAACTGACACATAGTTTTGGTGCAGGTAAACACCTTATCTTTATATTTAATTTACCTAACACAAAAGGTTCTTGTGTATCGGTTAAACAATGTGATATCATTTAATATTTCTATGAATATATTAAGACGTCGCGTCGTTATATTAATATAGATTTAACGAAAATATCGATGCGTTTCGTCCGATGAGTGAGAGAACCGGGTGCTCTTTCCTTGTTCCCACCTTTTCCTGCACTCTCTTTGTACGCACTTTTCCTCCTTCCTCGATGACAAAGGCTGACAACGGATCCGCAACATCCCTTATGTAGCGGATGTCCATGGCTGATGGTGAATTCTTTCAATTAAGTAGACCCTCTGCTATTTTACCATCTTTTTTTGAGAAAGGTGGCAAACGAGCAGACGGCCTGCTTGATAGGCAGTAGTGACCGTCGCCCATGGACATCCGCTACATAGATGTTACGGATGCGTAACCAACTTAGTTGTTGAGAATAAGCAAGGGGTAGTAATAAATTCGAGATATAGTGACTGACCACACCTAGGCTCCACCTCTAAACCCACATTTGATATATATTAAATATAAAAAAGGAAATTCAAAGCTATTTAAAAATCCCACGAACAGTAAAGTTACGTCGTTTATTAGCTCCAAGCCTTTATTATATTAAAAGAAAATTAGTGTGTAACATTAGGAGGGTTGCTTAAAACCTTTTAATTATATTTTATGTTTTTTAAAGATAGATTCAGGATTGAACACGGTTGACTATTTCCTTGTTTTATATTTATCATAATAAGAGATTTTTTGGTAAAAGAAAATCAAATAAATTGTAATCCTCCTACATACAGCTCCTAATCTCCTTGAAAATAAATGAAATACAATTTGTCTAAGTTAATCTAAATTGGTTTATTCCACATAAATGTTACTTTGTATTAAGATAATATCGTCCGAGTTGCCAAAAAAGCGTTCACTTGACAGGCTCATGTAGAAAATGGTTGTGTATTGGTAATGGTCTTAGAAAATGTCACAAACCGTTTATAATATTGAAATTTTATTATCTAACAGATTACTATATTCTGTCGATCACTTATAATTTTAAAATTTCGTATTTTATCATATAATTATCAAATGACCTGGAACCAAACAAAGAATCTAATATTTGGAAATAAAAAAAAATCTAAAAGTCACTGTGATTTTATTAGATACATTTTGGAAGAATTAATTAATGAAGAATTAATTAATTAATAAATGATGTGATACATTTTGGAAGAATTAATTAATCTTTTTACAATTTTCATATAATAAAAACTCACATTTTAACATAAACAAAACAAAGTTCTGTTTCCAGCCTTATTCTTAAAAAGAAGTCAGTGAGATTTATGTAGTAATTTAAGCCTTATTCTTTGCGAAGGACTTTGTATTATTCTCTAATGAATTTATTCTATGGCTATCTTCTAAATTCTGGATCCGCTTTCTTAGTATTTATTTATTAATTTGTTTCATGAAATCTTTTTTGTTGGTATAAGTGCTTTATATATTTGTAGAGACACAGCCTCAGTGTTACTCTGTGGTCATCAATACTGATGAGGAACCCAAGAAGCCGAGTGTTCAAGACGTGGATGTAAACAGCTGTTCCTGTTGTATGACGAATGACGACAGCACACAATACAGTAGCTATATGAAAAATGGTTTGTATACTATTGTATAGAATTGTATTGAAATAAAATTTTAATATATAGACGTAAAATTTTATGGTCGAAGAATGATATCTAAGATTTTCGCGAGTTTTATACATTTAAATGAAACTAATATTTTTCGGATATAGTACGCGACTTTATTTCATTAGATTCATTAGATCACGGGCAAACGGGATCTCATCTGTTCGTGATCACGGTTTCTGAAATGTAGCCGAATCCTCGGGAGTATGTAGTTTATAATTAAAAAAATGTCAAAATATATCAAATATATCAAAAATGTTACGCTCGATTCACACTCGACTACGAGTCGATTACAAACGATTTTACTCTCAAGGCGCTCGTAATAAGAACGTTTATTGTGAATCAGAATAACGGTAGATTTAATACATGATGTTCATGGTATTTCCAGGGTCAATGGGTGCAGGAGGTTGTCAGATAGGCCGCAGTCGTCTCATCTCTGTACGAGCTCTATTTCCCGAAGCAACAGACGATGGAACACAAGCACAGCCCAGCAGATGTAGTGCAGGTAATAATTATAATATACATAAAATAAACAATGGTTCAAGTCCACACTAACATATGAAAATGTAAAAAGGATCTCCTTATATAAAGTCATTCATACAAGTATGAATATATGATTTTAATTGTGCTTAATCAAGATGTGCTTTCTTTTCTGAATTAGATGCAATCAGATGCAATCTGATTCAGAAAAGAAAGAGAAATCATTGACTTTTTTAAAACGAATGACTTAAGATATTACTATTAATATAATCTTTTCAACATATAAAATGTTTAAAGATTTTATAAATAAGCATTAAATTGAAAAGTACAATGTACTGTTTGGCTCATTAACTTTCCGATGACATTACATTTAGATTTGAAATAAACAACGAGAGTCACGGCAATAAATTTTATAAAATTTCTATTTCACTTTATTATCCCGAAGTGGTCGGAAATGAGTTGGAAGTAAAGATTAGAGGGAAGTAGACTAATATATCATTTATCCCGATGCGAGATTTTGTATATTACCGCATAAATAATATTCCTTTAAAATCGTTTCAGTTAAATAAATGTCTAATAATTGAATATTAACCTCAAAGTCTTCCAGAAATATACATTGTAATAATTGTGATCTAAGATAATTACAATCTGTATTCTAGAAACCAAAACGTTATCTAACAAGAAGATTTCGGCGTCTATATTTACATCACAATTGGGTTTAGAACAACGCCATCCTTACGAAGCCGCCTCAGATAAAGGTGAGTCATATAACATTGTTTTGTGTAGTAAAGAAAAAATATTTAATTTTCTGCTTAGAAAATTATGTAGAAGGCAACTAGAGGTTCCAGGAAAACTATGAAACTTACTTATACGTATATTATAATAAGAATTACATATTAAAACTTATAACCTATCCGTAATACTACATGATTGACCCGATAGCAATATCATTCCATAGCTTGTATGGTGTTTGTTCCGCGGAGTCTGCGGCATCACTCTTTTTATGATATTTTACCCATACAACGATGTAGCCCCGGCGATGTTCATTTATTTTTTAATATGTAGCGCGTACGTAACAAGAAATTAAATGTTATTATTTTTTCGATTTTTAGGACAATCTGCGCCATTAAAAGAAACTGAAATACCATCCAGGGATACTAAGATAGTGTCCTGTAATAAAGCAACCGGATCAGTAACTGGCCAAGATCCTAGTGAGTAACCTATATCTAATTTTGTTAATGTGACGCTTTGAGTTCAACCTTTGATCTATTCTCTCTAATTGGACAAAGCCTTTACGGTCGAATCGGCTGCATTCAGGACTCAAATCACTCAAGCAATTGTTATTTGTGATCTCTCTGAACTATTTATATTGTATGAAACCGAACTCTGTAACTAAAATAAATACCTTTAAAACCTGTGCCACTTACTAGAATTAGGAATCAATACGATAATAATAAAACTATTATGTTTTTCTTTAAAGAAAAGCCAAGCAAACAGAGTAATAGATCGGCTTGTATAAAGACAAGTTCGAAAATGAACTCTAGAAAATCCAGCAAAATCTCATCCAGTCTCGACGCTAGAAAATGGATTAAGGAATCAGTGGAGGAACATAAGGGTAAGTCTACTTTGATACACGCGTCAGGTAAATAATACAATAAGTCGATTTACTCAGATATACTTCTAAAATATTATGTAGTTTTTTTACGACTTATTTATTTACGAAAGATATTTTTTATTATGAATTAAATTAATTCGAGGCAGTAGTATTTTATGATAAAACTGAAATAAAAGTAGAATAAAAATAATGTATTCATCCGGTAACTTTTGACCTCAAATAATTACATCCTGTAAATTGTAAATAAAATTTTCTTGTACAAATTTATAAAAACACTTTTAACGTAAGAAAGCCATTACCAGACCTTCCAGGAAGATATTTTAAATTACTTGAGAACGAACAGCGTAATTAACTTTCCGATGTGAAGCGTCCCTGTGATTTTGGTTAAGAGACATTTTTAGACATTTAAGTATGCATTAGGTTACAATTTTAAGAATATATTGTATACTTTATTTATTTTATATTAATAATGAAATATGTTTAATATTAGATATAGAAACAATAGTGAAAGTCAGCGAGGTGGCAGTAAGAGAGTCGCTACAACGAGCATCAGTCATCGCCAACTCCACTCACAGAATATGTTCCAAAGAAATTCACAAGCTGTCCAAAGTTCTTTTGAACTCTGATGTCAACTGCGGTAACATTGAGTAGTAATCAGTCAACATTGATTTGTAATTTGTATTATTGTGCATATAAATAATAAATACGTTTATCGTAATATGCTTTTCAATAATCTTATGTAGAAAGTAGGTCCTATGTTCCATGGGAACAAATAAATTTTCACTGCTATTTTCTTAAGAAGCAAAGTAATAATCAATAAATAACTATATATGACAGTATCAATCGTAATGAGATCTAAGACTTCTGCGAGTATTCATTTAAATGAAACTAATATTTTTCGAATATACTACGTGCTTTCTGCCGGCCACCAGAGCGTTATGCCAGAAAATTAAAATATCGATGGCGGTAGGTGATAAATAACAAAACCAACTGACAGACACTCACATCTCGTCTGCTCGTGATCACGCTTTCTGAAAAGTAGCCGACACCTCGGGAGTATGTAGTTTTTCATAAATATAAAGCACGCGTGGTATATCCGGAAAATATAAGTTTCATTTAAGTTTCAATCGTTTTGGATAAAGCATTTTATATACAATATTTTTCTTTAGTAACAACAAAACCATATGAAGTTCCAAATAAGAGCCCGACAAAAACTGGATCAGCGAAGAAGGCGGTAGTGGAAACTGAAATGGAAGGTTGCAAACTATTGAAAATGGACAAGATAACATCAGGTAGTTAGACAATCATAGTTAGGAATACAATGAAAACAAAATAATTAACAATTCTTTGTTCCAGATAAAGTTGTTGTGAGAGAAACCAAGGAGTCCATACTACAAGCGCAAACCAACGTCTGTGACACAGGTAGTAATATTTGATATACTTCAAAATATGTTTTATATAAAATAGTTATTATATATTGAAATTATCCCAAAAACGTACAAATGAATTTCTTTGTTTGGAAGGAAGTCTATATGATGGTTTTTTTTATAAGAAAAATGAAACAATAAAACGCAAACATAACCTATCAGTAGTTTAGTTTAAAAATGTATTTGGTTTTGTTGGAATATTTTTAGCCCAGAAAAGAGTTGCCTTTCATATTGATAAGAGGCTCACAATATCGTGTTAGGGTAGTTGTTGACTGAAGCTTATTGCTCGCATATTAAACTCCTTTACGATACGATTTTACATCGTTATGAAATTTCATTCGCTTACCAGAAGATTCCCTCATGCAGGCCTGACTTGGTGATAGATAATCATAATATTTCTCTTATAAAAAATATTTTAAAATCGACCTTACCTACGCCAGTGAGTTATAGCGTAACAGACATATAGTCGAAAAGAGAATTTCTCTTTTTAAATAATTAAAAAATAGCCAAAAACCTTCTTATGATATTACCTTATGATATGATATCTGAATGTTAAGTTCCCATCAAAATCATTTTAGCCGTTCCAGAGATAACCCGCAACAAACAGACAGACATAAAAAAAATCAAAATCGCAGATTTAATGTGTGTATTATATATACTTTGATATCCGAGTAGTGAAAATCTCATAATTTGGGATCAAAGACAAACACTCTTATTAATATTTATAAGTATAGATAATAATTTTGCTGTTCCTAGTTCCGGCAACACCAATAAAGTGCTCACCGAAAACGAGTTCAAAATTCAGTTTATTATTAAAATTGGACAACGTTTACGACAGTCATTGTGTGGTTACTATAAAAATCAACTCTAGAAAACAAAAATAGGTAGGATTTTGTTTATATTGTGATATTATTACATGTTGGTTTAATATTAACATGTTGTTACTTTCAGGGACTGACTGTGTGTGTATGAGGAGGTCGGCCACCGTGCTGACTTCACGAGATGTGCTGCCGAAGAAAACACTCTGTGTCGCTGGCGGTGAGAGTAACACAGGTATGTACACTACAGTATAATAGTTCAAACATCAAATATTCAGTTGTTCCTTCACAAACAAGGCCAGCAACGTATCTGTAACAGCCTTTGTGTTGTAGATGTCTGTGGGCGACGGTGACTACTTTCCATCAAGTAGACCGTCTGCCCGTTTACCCCTTTGGGTAATATTAAAAAAACCTACTCGTCAAAACTTGTTGCAAAGACGGTTAGGATTTGCTTAATAAGCTTTAAAATTTGTATTCCGCATTCCCAATTATTTTATACCTGATTATAATTAATTATAATACTGAACCATTACAATATTGTAATGGCAATATTAAAGTAACAACTTGTATTTGAAAAGTATGAATACTGGCTTCAGCCATTTTGTAGAACGTTAATGGAAGTAAAGCTGAACATTAAAAATGAAGTCTCAATCTGTACCTCCAACAATAAATCACGATGCTGAATCAATTATGTATCATTTTGAAAAATGTTCTCGACTTTCAACTAAAAAAGATGTAAAACTTATAGAAGTAGTGATGTATAACATCTCGAAATATAATTTATGTGATGATGCTCGGTCAGCTTGTTTAAGATTTACGACTTTACTCAGATCTATAAAATATTAGTGCTCTAATAAAGATCCACAGACTAGTATCTGATTTACGCACGTCAGCTGAAAACTTTTGACAAACTTATTTATATGCAACTTGAAGTTAGTCTGTGAATTTTGAATTTCTATTAAGTTTTGCAAAGCTCTCTGTTGTAAAGTGAATATCATGTAGTGTTATATATCTCAAGTAGTAACACCTGGCATCTGGAAGTAACAAGTTCTGTTCAAGGAAATGTTTTGGTTTGACGTATTCGTAACATGAAAACATTTACAGTCGCAGAAAGATGAAAAAACTGATACAAGTGGTGCCATCTGTACTTATTATAATACACTATAATTCTTCGAATTATTTTTATGACTAATCCTAATTAATTATAATATTGAACTATTGCAATTTCGTAATTGCAACATTTAAGTATCGACTTGTATTTGAAAACTACATATTAATACCGGCTTCAAACATTTTGTCAGACAACTGAAAGTAACACTGAACAGTAAAAATCAAGTCTGAAAATGTACTTCGAACATAAGTTTTATTTGTATTAACACATTAATTTATGTAATGTAACGATGTGAAAGGAGATAGTTTAGACTTGTATGGTTTATAATACATTAATTTACATATTTAATATGTATTTAAAAATACATATAAGTTGTTTTTTCCTCAGAGTGTCTCTTCGTGTATGACCGTCCGAGGTGTGTTGTGCATAACACTAACGTAGACGTCGCTGTTCAGATACAAACACAAAAAGAAAGTTAGTACTTATTTACCAACTTTAATAGATTCAATATTTTAAACACAAGTTATTTATTGTTTTGATTATAATTATTATTAAATTACCTGAATAACACCACATTTTTAACTGTACGAAAACTAATAATAGAGTATCCCTACTAATATTATAAATGCAAAAGTAACTCTGTCTGTATGTCTGTTACGCTTTCACGCCTAAACCACTGAACCGATTTTAATGAGATAGAGTTGACCTTGAGAAAGAACATAGGATAGTTTTTATCCCAGACTTTTGAAAGGTTCTCTTGGAAACGCGATATAACCGAACTCCACGCGGGCGGAAAGCTAGTGTATATACTCGTATATTCATTTTAAATTTCCATTATTACTTTGTCTGTTTACAAGTCATTAGTTTTTTTTATTATGTAAGCCCAAGTTTGTTTAACCAGAGTTATATTTTAATATATTTTCCAGGAGTCCGTCCAAGAAGGTCACATTCCCATCACTCTATATCCGTGGAGGCTTCGTTTCCCTGCCAAGTGTGCTGCTACCGGCGACATGGGGTGATGGGGGAGACTCTCACACCCAAAGGTCAATACAATACAGTTAAGAACTTATATAGATAGAGGAATAAAAGTACCCCATGTATATTAAGAACAAGCAATAATTGTATAGGGAATTATGATGAATAAATACGTGTCTTTATCATCATGAATCTTTATCAAACCACTTTAGGCAATCATCTGTAAGTCTTAAACAGTAGACGTAAACTGATGAATTAAAAACTCAGAACCTACTCAATATAAATGAAACGAATATTTTTCGGATTAATGCGCGTGCTTTACTATTGTAAATACTGTCTGAATGACATCTCGTCTTCTGAAAAGTAACCGAAGCTTAAGGAGTATGTAGCTTTTACAATAATAAAATACGCGTACCTAGTATAATCCGAAAAAATTGTTTCATTTAAATATGAATAATTGCTAAAGTCTTAGATCTCACATATTCAATATATTATTCATTATTATAAATTGATTTTTTCAGAGTACAAGTCACTGTACGAAGCGACCAGACTCATGATGAAGGAGGGTTGTGACTCCAGAAACTCAAAAACCAGCAGCAATTCATCCAGCTTTGACAAGACAGGTTGTCTTTTTGGACAAACTTTACATTGGAATTAGGACACGCGTCATAAGGTCACTTCACATTGATTGTATGTTGTAGTAAAGTATGAAGAGGCCATGAAGATGAGATCCCAGATGACGTCATGCCTCGAACATTTACCTACTCAGTGCTGTTGTATGAGATGTACCCAGATAGGTGAGAATTTTAATACTTGTTGTTTAACACGTGATGAATATTGTGTCTGATATAATATTAAATAATAACAAAGTTTTTGTTATCATGCTAGTTAAGAGATGAAACCTTTTTTGACATTTTTATTACTTATTTCATTGTTTTCTTATTTATTAATCATTTATATTTTTATATTAATTTTTAATTTTATATGGATATTTTTTATTTATTGTTCTCAGCCCGACGAGACAATCGCTCCATTCAAGCCGTTGAAGATTCCTTCCTTATTTGCCCAAGGTGTAACATTAAAATTACAGATTTACCAAAAGACGACCCAGGTAACAACTTATTTTCCTTAAAATCAAATTTCTTGTCATCGTTACATAGAAATTTAATGTAAAAAATCACAATACTCTTCTAGAAGGCATCGAAGATTATGTGAGAGCTACTTTAGGGACCTCGTGTAGATATTACAGCAACCTACTAGCTATGAAACTGGGACGAGTTAGGGATAATTGTGAGTAGAAACAATCTGATATGTGTGCATCAATATTAAATAATACTTCGTAAAAACTAAAAAAACAACAAAATCATGATTTCAGTCATAAGACACCTAGCGCCATCTGTTGTCGACTCGATGTATCATCTAACGGTGCCCGAATACTACACCGAAGCGTGCACAATGAAGCCAAGCGGACGGTTGGACGAAGACTGCCAAGTAAAGATCCCGATGACACAAGTAAATAATATACACAACATAATGAACAGTCTCACCAGCTCGTGTGTACTAACACCTACCATCAGCGACACCGACCTCACCTTACACGACAAGCGAGATCTGAAAACCGTCTACTACATACTGAGTGGCATAGAGGGCAGGATCAGGCGCCTCAAGAACAACTTGCATAACTAGTACACGATAACGATAATAGATGGCGCAAATAAAAAATGAACCAACTAGTTGACGGTTACCCTAATAGATGGCGCTGTTTAAAAAAATTGATCGTCAAATTCAATGTTATATGAAACTGTTTTTTTAAATATTTGTGATGCGTAAATTTATAAAATGTCCAATAAAATAAAAAACCATAATTATATCATATTGTTTTATTCAATAAAAACAGAAATACATTGCGCGGTTGAGGCTAATCTATATCGATTTGTTTGCTCTTTATATTGAAAATATTGATTGATAAAAATGTATAAATTGAATTAAAATAACATTGTTAAAGTATTTGTGTGATGCACATACTTAATACATATATCGTTTGTCATGAATAATAAAGTCAAGTATGAAACATCAATACAAAATTAAATTGACAATAAAATTATTCCATATGATATATACAGTGATCTATATACATATAATATATAAAAGCTATGAAGCTCTACTTATAACTAAAATAATTCAAACATTTGATATATAATGTTAACATACTATGTACAACGCACCATCATTAAAATACATACTGGAATTATATGACGTATATGTACAAAGAAAATCACAATTTATATACAGAAAAATAAGAATTATAATGAAAGATATAACAAGAGAAGGAAAAAACAAATAATATATAAATAGTTAATATGAAATAATAGTTTGAAAATCTTTCTCATGTAAAGGAAATCATGAAATTATAACGAAATAAAAATATAATAATTTATAACTATATAAAACTTACAAATTAGTAAAATCGATTGATTATTATATAAAGTATTACATCTATTGAATGTATTCAAACGATACCTGACCGTCACTGATAATGAATGTTGAAGAGTCTGTTGAGGAAAAATATACTTATATTAGTATGAAAAAAAATGAAAAATACTTTATTACCAGCAATAACTCAATGTTAACAGGGAACCCAATTACAAACATAACAATATTTTGCTGAAGTTATAACAGTATGGAGGAAAAGATAATGATTTAGAAAGAATTAGTAAATAAATATTAAGTTCTTATTGTTTCAACTTTTATTTAAAATTGATATAGGGAAGTATATATGTATATACTTTTAAAATTATTCTCTTTCATAACTGCTTATAACACACACATATATACATGTGTGTGTAATGTTTGAGGGGTTCCTTTTTATTTATATGTGTGTATGTGTGTGTGTATCAGAGGTATTTTTTTATATATACAGCTAGAGAGAGACGGAGATATAGTTAGAAAGAAATAGTTGTATCAGTACATGTTATTATCACGTTACCTATCGTGTGTAAGGTCACATGAGTGTCCTTGGCACGAACACGTGAACGAGCGAGTCCCAGCCGCAGTCAGCGAGCGAGCGAGGTCTGAGCGAGCTCCAGTCTAGACCGAACGTGAACTCTGAACGGTGACGAATAGTCTCTAGCGGGGACCAGCCTAACTTGAGGTCCCAGATCCTGAAAAACACAGTAAATAAGATTAGATTTAGATATTTTTAGTTTAGATGAGATTTCTAGTAGATAAAATTAATATCACTTTAATTCTATTCTTTACTGTCTCTGTAATTTTAGACGTACTTCTGGAAAAACAGCTGAATAGTCTTCCTAGTTACAGTGAGGTTTAACAAGATGAAATCCTTTCTACTGGATTCTGTTGTATTTGTGTTAAAGATGTTTTGTTGGAGTGAAAAGATTGATTTAAAATATTGTATAAATACTTTTGTGACCTATTCTGTTAGAGATTTATCAACGCGTGTATGGACGTGATCCTGTTTATCATGTTTTTCTACAGGTCCATAAATTTTTTTGATCTCCACCAATTTATGTAAAATTAGTGAAGAATTCGCCATAAACAAAACTGAACATTGATCCTTTAGTACTGTACATGATATTTTATAGTTTCTTGATTGATGAATGTCCATCAAACATATATGTACATAAATACTGTAGATATAACATGCTGCACACAAAATTTAATACTACTTCAGAAATTCAAAAATATTGAGTGTATACCGAATGATGTAAAGAATCATTACTAGGGTGTGATCTATTGAATGAATGAATGAGTGACTGCAAGAGTGAGTGAGTGAGTGAGAGTGTATTTAATTACCTGGTGGTGAAGTCGTAGGAGACGGCGGCGAGCACGGCCGGCGCGTGAGGACAGAACTGTACGCGACGCACGGCGCGCTCACAACCTGCACACACACATACACTATGAGGATATACTATGAGAATAACACACGAACCAGGGAACAGGACTTTGATATATAGGAACACTTGACCCTCTTTAACTTAACATGTTTTATAATACGTAACATAAGCCATATGATATAATAGTCTGTGATAAACCAAAGAAAAACAAACATTTTTTGTTCCATGACCTATGTTTCAGACAGTAAAACTAGTCAAAAAACTCTGGAAACTGTTCTGGCAAATCGTTTTTACACTACCAAAATAATTTATTGTGATATAAGCTGTATGCTTTCGAATAAATATATCATTAGTGTGATGTACATTTGTAGTGCCCTAGGCGTATAGGTTTTGATTTTAAGAGTTTTAGTCGGCAGTGCGACCTTTTCAGAACGAGAGTCCGACATAACTCTCCTTGTTTTACTTCCCAAGCAAAAAGTATGCATTAAGCATTTCATCACGCAAAAAGAAGGCGTATAGTATCGTAGTCGTGTAGTGTCGTAGTGTAGTACCTCTGAGCGTGAAGACGGGCGCGGCGAGGCTCCTCAGGTCCCAGCCCCTTACGAGCCCGTCGGAGCCGGCGCTCGCTAACAGACGGCTCTCAGCGCCGCTCCAGTCACACGATAACACCTGACACGGAACACTTACTGTTATAATATACATACAAGGAAGACTTAACATGTGAACACCCTGTACTAGATATAGGATTAGCACGTATGATACAGACATACTTGGAAAATGCGTTTTACTTATACAGGGTGTATGAAAAACTGTGTCAACCCTCTTAACTACGTTATCAGTATCGATAATGTAACACAATAAAACAACTTACATTTACAAACTCTTCAACAAAAATAATAAAATTAAATATTAAATGATTATTATATGTAGAGTAACAAAATGTTTGTAAGCCCTGGTATAACACGATGACACGCAATGACGTCATCACACCTGCTGCGCTACTAGTGACGACCTTGAAGTTACTTTCATATTATTGAAAATATCGATATTTAAAAAATCATAACAATAAATAAATATTTAATATTCATATTATTTCGCTACTTATTTTGATATATCAAACATTAATATTATGTTTGATTGTAAAACACCATTTTTAACAGAAATAGATTAACGATTTATCCTAATAATACAACATATGTAATTAATTTACCTGAACAAGTTTCAAATTATAATATTTATTATTAATAAAAGTTATTTTAAATGAAATTATTTTAATGTGAAAAGCTTAACTATTTATAGCAATATTGAAAATGTCGATAGAATATTTATCGATATAACTAATTTTTACACTTTCAAATCTCTATTCGAACAACTAACAGAATAGTAATAATAACGCCGGCGGCCCGGCGCCTGCGGTCAATGGTCACGCATGCGCCGTTGCGACTATACGGTGTCTTGACCTTGTATGAGTCAGATGTTTGAAACATTTCTTCGAATAATGTCGATTTAAAACTTATTTGCCTATGCACTGTAACTGACGTCTTCTTGATATTTTTTAAGTTATACTATTTTTTATAATAAGCTTATACTTATATGTATACATGCCTTCAAGGGTTGATACAGTTTTTCATACACCCTGTATATACGTATCCTTATACTGATGAGTGATGACGTAGATGAATAAAAATCAAAAATAAACATACAAGAAGGGGGGGAGATATTTGATAAAATCACCCTGTACTAGATATACACTATAGCATTAGCATGTATGATACGGAGGTGTTGCAAACACGTTTGACTTAAATATAGGTTTATACGGAAGACGCAGATGAATAAAATATAGAAAATTGAAATCAGAAATATTTATACGAGAGGTGGAGCGGGGAGAGAAAAATACATTTTATGTGAACACCCTGTACTAGATATAGGATTAGCACTTATGATACAGAGGTGTTCCAAGAAACGAGGTTTATTTATTTATATATAGTTATCCTTCCATGGAAGATATAAATTAATAAAGATGTTGAAAAATAGAATATTTGTCGAAAGTGATATATTATAAGAAAAGAAGATTTGAGAAATATTTGTTCACGATAGAGATGAACGTTAAAATTATTAAAAAACATTGTTGTAGTAGTGTAACGGATTAATTATTTTCTTTCTGCCTACATAAACATTTTTTTTAGCAAAAAACCTGTAATATGTATTGTTTTAAATTCAGCAGTAATTTTACGGTTCATAACATCCAGAACTAAATTTACTAGAATATATATATGAAGTGCAATAATTCATTTATTTTACGTATTCACAGTGAAACATGTTACAAATGTTCAGTTTTAGTTCTTCATGGTCATTATCAGTGGCGGCTGGTGGGTTATCGAACTGGTGGTGCACTTTAATAAAATATTAAAATTAGAAAATGCAACAAAAAACCAATTGACATAAAATATGTTTATTTTTTAATATTAAATCAATGCGACGACATTTTTCTGAAGCGAAATGTTCAATCACCTTTTTATTAAAATCGAGTATTGTTTGTATAATTATTTTTTTCAATACTGAGCATAGAAAGTGCATTTAGCAAGCGCATGGTATTTCGTAGAAAAGTTTTGATTCTTTTCAATTCCAATTCGTCATACATCGGGTGCTCTCGGTAATCTTCGGCCGCTCGTGCGGCGCTCGAGAACCGACTCATTACTCGGTACATTTCTATGAACTATCTTTTGTTTCACGCGCCAGGCGTATTAATGCGTATCTCATACAAGATGTATTGGCAGTCCTAGTGCGCTCGCCGAAGCGCACGATATTAGTTTAGTAAAGCGCTTAAACTTTTTGACCATAATTAGGAAATTTAATTTTTTATACGTTTTTGTATGTTTAGAAAATAAATATTAAGATGGTAATTTAAAAATAAAGATGAAGTATTATTTTGTAATTTTCAAATCTTTTGAATTGGTGGTTCAGCGCAAGAGTGCACTTAAGGTACAGCCGCCACTGGTCATTATAGTAGAATTTTTTAAATAATTTATGGTATAAATTATTTTAATTTTTCTGTATAAATTTAAAAAAAATTAAATATAATTAAGATGAATAAAAAACTAGTACATTTCAACATGAAAACGTTTTTTTTATCACGTAAATGACAAACAGTTGTACGATCAGCAAAATATTTTTTATTCCCGATTACAAAACTAATACTTACGTATAACTGGCGTCAAACCAACAACATATTTATGAATATTAAAATTAAAATTTTCTTAAAAGAAATGAAGTATCTTTAACTAGTTATATTGACTGCAACTATATGATGCTGACGTTACCATACATTCTAATACAACACAAGTTCATAGTATTCTTTTGAAAAATATACATTCCTATAAATTCCTATAAAAAAACGTAATACTGTTCAAGCAGAAATCAACCTTCTTTCAACCAGATAAGCTCTAAAGTCAAGACTATGAACGTGATCCTTTTCAAGCAGAAATCAACCTTCTTTCAACCAAATAAGGTCCATTATTAAAACTCACCTCAGCATCGTGCGCCTTAATGACAGCTATAGGTCGTTGTTCAGAACACGACCATAGCTTGAGGTGACCGTCTCCAGACACTGAGGCGAAGGTACTCGGAGAGTGAGGTGAGAATGACGCTGAGTAGACCAGTTGAGAGTGACCCGAGAATGTACTCACACATGAATCAGATTCAGGGTCCCACTAAAATAGACATACATTATGAGATACTCGATAAAACTATCATCATAACTCATATACATACATATAGATATAGGATAAGGATAGTGCAAAACCACGTAACTACCATTAGATAATTCTGTATATCTGCATTCGAAGCAAATTATCAGAAGAAAATTTAAGCTGAAATATTTTATAATTTAACCTCACACAAGAATCAGACTCGGGGTCCCACTAAAATGGACATACACTATGAGATACTCGATAATAATAATAATAATAATAATTTACTTATGAACACCCATGAAATAATGTACATAATTTGTTTTTAGCTTAATAACTAAATCTAGGGTTATTATAGTCCGTTAGACTTAAACTGAGCTTTGCATTTGTGTGAGTGAAAGTAAAAGTAGAGTTAGACAAAAAACTTTTAGAATAAAATTTTATTATATTTTAAATAGATACATAATATAGGTGCTATAAAATAACCAAACTTGTAAAATGCCAAATGGAAATATTATGAATATTATGGAAAAAAAAATAGGTTAATAAAAATTTGGAAAAAATTACACAAACTCTTATTCACTTGACATTGCGTTTTCAACATTTGATTTTGCTACCAGTACAAAAGATGAAGTGAGGAAAGTGCGGGGCGGAGTAAAAGCAGAAAACATCTGTTCAAAACTAGAAAAGAACGTGGAATTCAAAATTTTGACATCACATCTACACTATCCGTGTGCACTCACACAAATGCAAAGCTCAGCTTAAATCAAACGCACTATACATTGTCATCTTTTGTAGTATACCTCTGACTCTAAAACTAATATAAATTGTGATATTAGAGTCAGCGATTCCTCAACAATTAATTGCGCGCTAGATTTTTAGAAACGTGTTGTAAAAAAAAAATTGATGAAACTACCATCATAAAAATACATATCGATATAGGATAGTGATAGTGCAAAACCACGTAACTAGTATTAGATAATTCCGCATTAATCTGCATTCGAAGCAAATTATTAGAAGAATGTTTAAGCTGAAATATTTTCTAAATAAATCACTGCTAAAGTATTTTTTTCACAATTAGTCATTTTTTAGTGTTTAATTTACTAGCTTTTGCATTATCCCCGACGATATATACACGTCATAGTTCAATTGGTTAAAAAAAACTATGATGAATATGTAAATTTCTACAATATACTATAATTAAAACTTTTTACAAACACTATATTTTTATCACACAAAACCTAAAATATCAATGAATAATATATTTTTAAATTCTAATTGATTGATTTATAAACTTCCTAATATTTGCATGCTGTATCTGCCTTAAAAGATAATAGAATTAAGCTCATTTAGAATTAAGTTCGAACTATTATTTATAACTCATTAGCTAAACCCTTACTTGAATATTTAATAGAAGTATGGGGATCTGCACACAAAACTAATTTAAAAGATTTACAAATATCACAAAACAAACTATTAAAAACACTACATACACCAACTGGACTACCGCTTTCCGACCAAAGAACTTTACAAGAAAACTGATACACTATCTATTGGACAATTATACAAATACAAAACATGCATACTTATAAGAAAACTTCTCTCAGGATCTATACACACACAAACTACTTTTAAGACTAAATCACATAAATACTATACACGAAATATACATAAATTACAAATACCTAAGTCTAGAACTAAACATTATGGTAACAAAACTATACAATTTGAGGGAGCGCTAATGTACAATAATCTACCGAAAGAAATATTAAACGAAAAATCTTTTTTGAAATTTAAGACTAAATTAAAAACATACTGTCAAACTTTATAATATTTGAATGTTTGTATAAATAAGGTCACCATTAACTTTATAAATGTTTATTTTTGTTATTAGTTTAAGTTTCCTATGTAAGTGAACTTCGTTCTTAATGGGAAATAAGTCATCTCTAAACCTAAGCTACACTGTATTTCTTTTTACCCAATATTGTATTAATGTAATTATCATTAGTGGATCTTGAATAAATAAATAAATAATATCTACCAATAATATAAATATCAATTACCACCAAGTAAACCATATCTATACAAACCAATTTAACAGTAGTGTCCCAGCTAGCGCTCAACACTTGTCGTCCGGGCCAGTCCACAGAGCACACCTCTCCCCGATGTCCTCTCAACACTCTGAGAGGGGCGGAGCACCCCGGCCGGCAGACGAGCACCCCGCCGTCCCCCGCGCCGCACGCAGCCAGCCCCTCCGTACACCCCGACCATGACTGAAAACATACAAACTCACACTTAGGACTTAAATACACAACACACAGATACACACACACACACACACACACACACACACACACACACACACAGAAACACTCAATACATATTTAATGAACTACATACATTATGAAATACACACACATACATACTGTTATAAGATACATATATAGTTTGTTTTGAATGTCTTATGAAGGAAAAAATATTTTTATTATTTATTTGAAATACATACCATTGATAAATAATTCATATTGAAATTTAATAAAATGTTACTCAAGACAGATACATCATTATCGGTGATTGTTTTATTTACTATTTATATTGACATCTGCAATTTCTCCAAATAAAAAGGCATACTTTTTGGCGGTCTTTAAAATCAAATATTTAAAAGCATAAGGTTTTTAATAAATATAATAACATTAATTTTGAGTATAAATATATGACTATATAAATATACATGACCTTACCTATTAAATATGTAACATACCTAAATGGCTTCTTTCTTTTCGCCACTTCCTATAAGGGCTTAAAGAACTATGAAAATACATAGTATCAAAAAGTGTTTGTGAAAATCATTATCAGTACATTCATATGTACATGTTTACTAAACAACATAAGTATTACCAACTGGTTGAAAAATCATTAATTACACATAAATAGTACAGATACTTCATTGTAAATACATATCTATTATATATAATATTAAATTAATATTATAAATGTATGACAAGTATATTACATTAAAAATATTATATATAAATAAACATATACACAATACAAAACAAATATTATTTAGTCAGTGGCGGCCTAGTGGTTCAAAGGCCCGCCTCTCATGCATGAGTGTTTAGATCCTTTCAAGTACCAATGTGATTTTTCCGAGTCAAATGTACTTTCTAAGAGTATTAAGACATCACTGATTAATGCATTCCCAAAGAGGGTTGATGTCAGGCAGGTGGCAGGTCATAAAAACAATTAGCCAAAACTATTCACAACATATAAGGCAGACTCTGGCTAAAGCAGATACTATCTAAACTAGATTTGTTAAGAACTACAAGTAAAAGAAGACATTCTTCTAGTAATTTATTCTTCTTAATTAAATGCCGACAAATGAAACTGTAGAACAAACTATAAGCTTGTTTGTTGTAATATTGTATGAACACATAACTACACTTGTGGGTTTTCAGCTGTATTTTTATTATGAAAAAATCTATTATGGGATTATGACCGAGATGTCCCAGTACGGGTTGTTCTAGAACACCTTTATTGCATTACAGACACACCCACTAGACACCATTACAGTTATGAATAGTTAAAATAAGGCATTTAATTATAGTTTCAATATATGTTTTAATATGTTCTGAGTTAGATGTACTGGTTAAATGTCATATTTCATAAAATTTAGGCAAAAACTTAGTAACAAAGATTATAATAAAGATTTTGGAAATAAGATATTGTTTTAAGTCCATTGATGACCTCAACAAAATATGTTATATAATAAACTATAAACATTTCAAGGGATGTTTTATAATTACCACATCAAAGAGGCCATCGCTCCATTCAATCTTTTGTAATTCAACAAGACTGCTTCCATCTTGTGTTAGTTCCAAAAAGAATAATGTTCCACCACCAGCTAGACCATAATACTGGCTGGTAGCTACTGCTAGAGTGTCGGGGTTCGTACGAGAAAACCTTACACTGTAGCCATGCCGGCCAGGAGTCAGGAAGGTCGGCATCCTGAATGTATAACTGGAAATATAGGAACGTTTTATTAGTAATAATTTATATTTGAAATTGTAGATATTAACTGTAGCATTAAACTTCTAGTCAACTAATTAAATTACACTGCTTAAGTTCGCCGCATTTTCTAATCTCCCAAGGACAGACAATAGAACACCTACATATATCTTAATGATTAAGTAATTCTTTATTTTACAAATCGTACATAGTTTTTTATTTATTCTACTTTAAGAAAGGAGAAATCAATGAAAACAATGAAGTTACAGTCACGAAATACATAAGTTTTTGATACGAACATAAAACCTCTTAACAGATTTTTTGTCTTCTTATTACATTATTACGTTGTCAAGATTAAATTCGAAATTCTATTTAGATTCCAATTGGTTTTATTCATAGTAAAATACTCTATTTAAACAACTAAATATATAATACAAACGACAAATAGTAAAAAACCAAAATAACCCTTTCGAACTGTCAAAACAATGTATGTCATCGTGACGTATCCTTGGTCGGGTGTTAGTTTGAAAACAACATAATAGAGTAGTCACTACGATATCGATTTTTTTGCCGTCACACGATTTTAATCCAATTTGTACACCTACGGCAACAAATCAAATCTCATTAGGCCATTCTACGTAGGAAACCCCACATATTTTTCGCATATATAAAGAGACCTACCTGAGCCCAGACATTTCTGGTGAGCGCTTCACAACTCACACAATCCTATACAATACTCCATATTATAAAATCACCTTTTTCGAAAAGTATTATTTTAAATCGAGCATCATGCTTGACTTTCTATCCTTAGTTTTCGTGGTGGCGGTGAAGGTTTTCAAGAAAACCACACCCAATGGAAAGGTTACTGTTTACCTGGGCAAGCGGGACTTCATTGATCACGTTGACTACTGCGATCCTGTCGATGGGGTCGTAGTGGTTGACACCGAGTACCTGAAAGGACGAAAAGTTTACAGCCAGGTATAGGCATTAAACTATCAAGTGAAAAGTGTTTCTCGTGTCTTTGGAGTGCTAATTTAAAATATCTTATTTATTTCTACATAGCTGGTCACGACCTACCGATTCGGTCGCGAGGAAGATGAGGTCATGGGAGTCAAATTCTCAAAGGAACTGGTCATCGGCCAGGACCAAGTGGTACCAATGGTCAACTCGAAAATGGAACTGACACCTGTCCAAGAAAAGCTCCTGAAGAAGCTCGGACCAAATGCCTTCCCATTCACTTTCACTTTCCCTGAAATGTCTCCCAGCTCGGTACTAACATCAAAATTTATTATTCAAATACCGTTATAATTATACACCGACTAATACATTTCCTTGTTTAGGTCACTCTGCAACCATCTGATGAGGACCAGGGCAAACCCATGGGTGTGGACTACTGCGTACGAACCTACGTAGCTGACAACGAGGATGACAAGGGCCACAAGAGGAGCTCCGTTACCCTTGCTATCAAGAAGGTACTCAAAATTCTACAGAACAAACAAAAATTTGGATATTCAAGTATCGAAGCCTTATTTCATATTTTTTTCTTTGTAGCTGCAACACGCCCCAGCATCCCGCGGACGACGCCTTCCGAGCTCCCTTGTCAGCAAGGGCTTCACTTTCAGCAACGGCAAGATCAGTCTGGAAGTGACCCTGGACAAAGAAATCTACTACCATGGAGAGAAGGTTGCCGCCAACATCATCGTTTCCAACAACTCCAGGAAATCCGTCCGCAACATCCGCTGCATGGTCGTACAGCATGTTGAGATCACTATGATCAACTCTCAATTCAGCCGCCACGTTGCATCTCTGGAAAGCCGCGAGGGCTGCCCTGTAACACCCGGAGCTAGCCTGTCCAAGACTTTCTACCTGGTGCCCCTGGCTCGCAGCAACAAGGATATTCGAGGTTGCAACAAATACATTTACAATTTTTAATGAAACCGAAACGATATTAACTATTCAACTTTTATTTAACAGGCGTCGCTCTGGACGGACATCTTAAGGAGGACGACGTCAACCTCGCAAGCTCTACCCTGGTGTCTGAGGGCAAGTGCCCAGCTGACGCTATTGGTATCGTTGTATCTTACTCCGTACGAGTGAAGCTGAACTGCGGAACTCTGGGAGGCGAGCTTGTGACTGATGTGCCATTCAAACTGCTGCATCCTGCCGAGGGTAAATAATATACTTCAGGATGAAAATAAACATTTGTGTTAGCGATCTACAATTTGTCATACTGATTAACAGGAAGCGTAGAACGCCAACGTTTCAACGCTATGAAGAAGATGCAATCCATCGAGCGTCACCGCTACGAAAATTCTCTGTATGCCAACGAGGAGGAAGACAACATCGTTTTTGAGGACTTCGCCCGCCTTAGGATGAACGAACCAGAATAAACGACTCGTAACATCACATACATCGGCACCAAAAAAAAATTGAAAAAAATATATAAAAAAAACACAAAAAAAATATATCAAGCAACACCACGAAACTAGGCTCACCCGATTGATTTTTTCGATTCAAATCATTCTATTACCATCATCTTCCTACGAATCGGTAACATTAACCTTTGCACTAAATTTCAGTTGTAACTACATTTTATATTTAAGTTACTCTTGTGTAATCAGGATAGTGTGAGTTCGTTAGTAGTAAAATTTAAAATGTAATATAAATTGTATAATCAAAAGTGTAATATGAATCACCAGTTAATTTACCTTATTCGTTGTGAACCTTTGTGAAGATCAATAAACAGCCATCACCAGAACTTGACTCTTTTCTTTACTTTCCTTCTTTCCTTTTGATAATGACGTTACTGATAAGAAATTCAAGTTACTTCCTGATGTGACCGCTCTAACAACTTGTGCAATACTGACATCACATAGAAATGATTTGCATAAGATCTTCTTTGCATATTCTTGTATCCTTTGTATTCAGTTGCATTCAAAGGGGTGTGATAGCCCCACCACCTTAACGATGACCCTTGCTTCTTACAAGGTGTTTTTTATATTATAACAATATTATCGGTTTCTTATAAATATTGCTTTGGATGGTACATTACTAAATAAGTCGTTTTTTTCTTTAAAGAAGTTCTATAACTTTTCATATATTAAAAAATCTTTCAGGTGGTTTATAGCACATGTGAAAGTGTATAATTAAATTTCGTTTTAAGAAAAATGTGAACACAAATAGTAAAAAATTTTAAAAAAATATAAACCAGCAAATTAAATTATAAAACGGTTGCTCTTGAACAAGAAAAATAAAATAAAAAAATATTTAAAAATATTTTGTAACTGGGGTACTTATGATTAAATCCATATATTAAAAAAACACAATTACTAGCCCCGTAATAGTAAATTTAATAAAAACCAATATAAACGATAAAATTATTAAATTTTTCTATAAGTAACCGGTGTTCAGAATATAAAGAATAATAATTTTAATGTTATTAAAGGAAAGTAATAACATCACGTAAGAAAGAAAAACCTTCTTGAAACTTCATATACTGTAGACAAAAAATAAAGAAAAACCGGTCAAACGAGTTGTGGACAAAAGAAGGACAAGTAACGTCCGATGGTCCCTAAATTACGGAAGGGTTCGTCCAAAAACCTGTTTGGAATATTCCGCGTGGGAAACAAACCAGTGACCCATTATTTTGCATGACGACAAAATATACGCATACACACGGACTGCCATTTAATTTAATATTAACTCAATGCAAACCTTGCAATGCAAAACCAAATTTTCGAAGACTATCGTTTTCTAACGGGTTCGTTTTTATTGGTAAGTACATACAAGCGCTGCAGCTTGGTATTCATATTTTAAACTAGTTGAAATGGGTCAGCTGTCATAAGCACATTGTTAATCTTAATAGTATTATGAACTTTAATAAGTATTATTTTATTTTTGGTCTAAATCAAAGTAAAATTAAAATTAAAGATACTGTTGATAATTCGGGTGTACGTTTTTCTCCGAGCAAAATAAAAGCTAAGCTTGTTGTTGTGTTTATGAGTGTAAGAGTAAAGCTTGTAGGGATCCAGATTTCATTTAATTTTGTGAAAATACTAATGCTTTTGGAGGAGGAGAAAAAGTTGAATGCCGAAAAATATGACGAACCATTTTGAAAATAGGAAAAACTGTTACAGATTACATGCAAGTTTGTTCTTTAAATTTAAAAAATCCGATTATTTTTCACCAGGTAATTATAATTGTTTTATTTTTAAGTTCTTAATTATTTTTTTATAGCACAATAAACTAAAATTGTCACTTTATTATTTAGAGCTAGGTTCCAAAGATAAAAGACGATTAAAACAAAATGCAGTTCCTTCGTGCAATTTATCCTGCAGAGACAAAACACGAAGATTAATCAATAATAAAAACAATGACAGAGAAGCAAGAAAATTACGAAGACATTATGGCAGAAATGAATTATTTCCAACAGATCTATCTAATCATCAAAACCTAGATGCATCAGAGGACTTAAATACTAATAATTTGACAAATGAACCAGATGATCAATATGCAAACAGATTTATAAAATAACATAATAATTAGCATGGCTCATTGTTTTCATTTAAAATTCTCATATAAATTAAATGATTAGAATAAATGACTTGCCCGCCTTTAATAAAATTTCGACTTTTCGTTATAGAGCCCAAATTATCTAACACTTTACACATTTATAAGAACTTAAGGATCTTTTATTAAGTTAATAATAAATAAGACTAAAAACGGATATGTTTACATACAATTTACATTTGTCATTAATCAGCCGACCCGTTTTAGCTAGTTCAAGATATAGGCACCAGTTCGCGTGTTCGCAACTCCCAGTTATCAATAACACTTATAATAAAATTATAAAATAATAATTTGTTACTAATATAAAATTTGAGAGTCAAAACACTGAAAAGGAAAAATAAAGATCAATCTTGGTGTATATTAATTGAACTGTGATGATAAAAGCCTTATTACTTTATTTTAATTATTACAACGTACTCCTAAAAAATAATCACTAAACAACGTCTCTTCGATATTTTGTATCCATGAGGGACATCTTAAGGCACCTTAAAGGCACCTTCAGGTCCGTCCCACCGCTCGGACACTCAGAACCCGAATTTCAAGGGTAGGACCAATAATGGACAACTCTTTCTCCCCACTTACTATCAAAATTATTATGGCTACAAGCTATGCGTGCACTTAGTCGAAAAGAAATTAAAACTTCTATCAGGAATTCGAGTTTTTTAAGGAAGTTAATTATTCAAGACCATAAAATATATTGTAATATAAAACATAGGTTACATACTATAAATTGACGTAGACCATTTTATTTAATAATACGCAATAAATCTTAAATAGTCCAGCTGATAGTTCAATATCAAGGTACTACTAACTGTAAACAAGTTTATACATAGTTTGTAACAAATTATGCAGTTGCATTTGAAACTTGAAATGACCCCATACTATATACACCTCTACTTTGATTTTGATGTACCCATTCCATAAATGGTCAATAAAAATGATAGTACTTGGGAACACGTTACGTTTTAATTAAATCGGTACTTTTTGATAACAAACATGAAGCAACAAGTTGTACCTTTTTCAAGTATTATAATTTTAAAAATATATCAAACGAGTCGATATTTTTTCAATAATATTTTTGTAAGGCATGTTATATATATACTTATATATGCTTAAGTGTAGGTATAATGTATTTTGTTAATGTAGAATGCTTGAATCCAGTTTACTGTAAGAGTACTTTATCATTTTCTATAAAAACTCCGGCAGTATTTTTTATATATGTATCAATAGTCTTAAAATAACTCTTTGTAAAAATGTTAAAAGGCAATCCTTTCAATGAATATGTATAATATGTGTTGCTTAGACCTCCCCAAAGCAGCATCCCCAATGTTTTCGTTGAATGTCTCAGTGGCGCGTGCGCTTTGACAATGAAGCATCTCTGAATATCTCTCAGTCCCCTATAACACGCTATTGTTATGGTTTACGCTAAATACACAATATGAACATCATTACTCAGAAAAAAATCTTAAGACAATTATTTATGTTCAATAAATTTCATAATGAGATGAGGTCATAAACAAATCCTGAATTTGCATTTAATTTTTACTTTCCATTTTACTGTAACTTAATTTTCTTTTCTGTCTAGCAGTGTAGAAGTGCAGTCACCTGTGGAAACCTAGTGTTGTTATAAAGGTCTATAAAGATAACTTTCTTAAGTAACATCAATGAACAGGATTTTAGGAAAATTTATTAGGTTTTGATACTGAGGACTCATTTATTTAGGACTATTATAGTTGATGAATTTGCAACAAATACCAATAAATATTATAATGATAATTGAACAAAAATAACGCCTTTTTAATGGTAAGATCATATATAACTATTTTTAATAGATAGATTAATAGTTTCTTTTATTTAATTCTTAAGATAGCATAATAAATAAAAGACTTAAGTTTGCAAAAATAAAAGATTACAAAAAACGGTTACAAGGACAATAGTATAGCAAAACGTAAAGTAATATCGGTGAGTTCTCAGGGTACAACCGGTCAGACAAGTTGTGGACAAAAGAAGGACAAGTAACGTCCAATGGTCCCTAAATTACGGAAGGGTTCGTCCAAAAACCTGTTTGGAATCTTCCGCGTGGGAAACAAACCAGTGACCCATTATTTTGCATGACGATAAAATTATGCACACACACACGGCCTGCCATTTAATTTAATATTAACTCTATGCTAAATTGTTCATTTGTATAATACCATACATTATATATTTGCTTAGAAAAATTTCAATCCTATTCAGACACACTTTGCAAGACACGTTGTGTAAGTATTAGTTTTTTATTCCATGTTTTGGTCAAAATTATTGGCATTAAAAAGAAACACAAAAATTCTTAGCTAATAATTTTGATGTTTTAGATTTACGTTACTCATAAATTATAAAAAAGGTTAAATATTTAAAAAAAAGGAAATTGTACATTTTTAATTTTTATCGTCTCTCATTTGAATCCAAAGACTTCTAAATAAATGTTGACAGTACATTAATAAGTATAAGAAAAACTTATATCCTTTTAAAATACAGCCCCAGCAAAAGGACATTCAACCCTTGACTTCGGGCCGTTCATTCTATGCAGCAATTTTTTCAATGTTTACTAACAATGCAAGCCTAAAAACAAATTGTAAGTTTTTAAATTTCAACTCTATACATAAGATTATAGTGTATTATTTTCGTTGCTGATTATCCAGGAAGCGAACCGTAGTGGACAATATTCGGTATTCCCACGTCCAGGACTGGTCAAACTGGTTTAGAAAGTTCTTTAGAAAGGACTCTGGCCGTGTTTGGTAATAATGTTTGAATAAAAAGGACTATCATGCGGTTGTGGAACCCTTCATTTTTAAAGGTTCTTGCATTCTATAATTTTAAATTATTTTATTTTCAGTACATGGGTATATAATATAAAATTTGAAGCGTACACAAACAAACCCACATACATTTTTCAAAACCAGAAGACTTTCATCCTGTACGATGAATTAGTTCTTGCTCTTTTTATTTGATGTAAGGTAAAGGACCTTTTATTTTAATATAATAACAGTCTTGCAAAAATATCATATTAAATAACACATTAATAAAATTTTCTTAATTTTATTTTGTCATACTATCACATATCTCGGAGTTTTTCAACTCCTCATATAACAGGTATATAAGTAAGTGAAAAATCTTGTACATTACAATATTCTCATTATAATTACCGTTTTCCAGCGGTTACGTTAAGATTGGAAACCCGATATCAATCGAATGTATTGGATAATTCACAGAGAATGCTTACGATATGAAAAATATTTTCACTTGCATCATGGTTTATATAAACACAAGATTTTCTATTTCTGTTTAAATTAGTATGGTTCTCATTCTTTCAAACCTTTTATTATTATTTAAAAGTCATAATTTTAATTTTTGATTATCATAATTATCGGTAATAAGTAGTATTAAAATCACATACTTACTTTAATTAAGTAGACATAGTTCAATATTAAATTGAATGCCTGATAAATTAAAGACAGCTCTAAGTTTACAATGCTTATTAATGAATCGGCGCTGTCAAACATCATCCTCTTTTTTGTCATACCTAAGAAACCAGGTCAGAAAAACCGGTTGGACAAGTTGTGGACAATAGGACAAGTAACGTCCAATGGTCCCTAAATTACGGAAGGGTTCGTCCAAAAACCTGTTTGGAATCTTCCGCGTGGGAAACAAACCTATGACCTTCAATAACCCGGGTTCAATAAGGAATAAAGCTTCTGAAATAACTCTTCATGATTGGTTCTTACTTATGTTTGATGAACCGTGTGAAGATTATTTCTGCGAAAATAACGTAATTTTATTATTCTTTGATCAAAAATTTTATAAAACTAACCTGAATTAAAATCCAAAGTATTTATGATTAAATATGTAAAATATAATCTATAAATCGTAGCTAAAAATTACAATATTGGGACATAATTTATACATAACCCAACATCGGTTATTGTAATGTAAATAAGGGGTCCTACGGTGTAACAAGTGTATGCCAGTCACCTTGAAATTTAACAAATGACAATTTAAAGGGACACTCGACCCCTTTCACACTTTTTGATGAATGTAATAGACCTGTGAATTTTATGCGCCAACGGGCATACAAAACAGACAATGCACTTCACTGAATATGTATAGTATCTTTCCAATTTCAATCTTACGTTCATAACAATTAGATTTTTATTTGAATGTAAAAATTATGTAGGAAGTAAATTGAAGTAGTGGACATATTCCCACGTCCATAACTGGTCAAACTGGTTTGTGATCGTAGGGTGGACGAAGACCCGGAGCGTCTTCAGGTCGTGATAACGGTCGACTTGGAACCATCTTGACATGACACGTGAGAAGTAAGGATGTGTTAACGATATAAGAGCAATAATATAATAATTAATAATATAAACAGAATTATTACGTAAAGTATATGATTAATGATTATGTATAAGAAAATGAAACGTTTATTAAATTGAAATAAAGTAAACATGTACTTACAATAATTTGACCGATCTTATATTCTCATAATAAACACATTAAATGAAATATGAAAAAGCGAACGAGGAATGTTTCAGTAGTAATAAAATAATAACAGTAAATACTACAAAAATTAGGATACATACATATTCTTGTCTTTGAAGTATTTTGTTATCGTCAAACTTGAGGCATAGTGTTATTTCTCATGAGTTCCGTACATTTTACGTAAAGATAACTAAAATTATGATAACTTACATATTAAATAATCATTAAGTAGGATTATTATATTTTTTTATTCTAAACAGTAAATTTTTATTATGTATTAAAATAACTTATTCATCGACAATCTCTTCAATATAAAATAACAACAGTATTTAAAAATCTAGTCGTACATTCAGTCTTAATCTGAATACATATTCACTTTATGTTACGTGTATTAGAACAATGAAGCATCATATAACAGAGATCTTTAGATTACAACCCGCATGTAACGGAATGAAGGTAGCGGGGAAAAGACAAAACAAAACATGCCATCATCTGACAATCTTATCTGTAAGTGTGGGAATTATATGGGATTCACACATCACAAGTCTTAAGTAACGCTCAATTAGATATATTAAAGTAATAATAAAACATCGTTATGGTCAATATTTGTTTAATAAATAACAACTACAATTATAGTACCCGAGTCTTAAATTACTTATTATATTTATTTGCTACAGGTTGTAAGACGTATGCCTGTCCGGTCATTCTGTCTACAATGTGTCCCGTTTGTGTTTCTAGGAACAGTCTTGGTGCTGAAGCGGATGCTAAAGCTTCAGGGCTGGTGTGCTGCCTCACTCCAGCGCCGTCTTCATATTTAACAAATCGTTTTGGTTCACTTGGTTGTGGTTTTGTTTGACGAGTTCTATCAGGTTCTTCTTCCCTCTCCTTCTCATTAACGACAAGAACGAAATGATTCTTCTCCTTTTCCTGCTGAGGTCGTTCATGTCTATGTTCTTTTTGTTTGTTCTTACTTTTTCGGACCTCAGTTGTATCTTCTTCTTCTATAATTCTCTCACTCTTAATTTTGGGTGATTTAGTCGTTGGTTCTATGTCTTCTGCCTGGTCATCTTCATGTATTTCTTCGTATCTTTCTCTGCGGTTTTTGTTTTTGGTGCGTATCCTTTGTTTCGGTCTCGGTGGCTCTTCGTAATCATCATCATCTTCGCTTTGTTCTGATGTCTTTGAATGTGCCCTCTTAATTCTTCCTGTTTCTTCATATTGCGGTAAATCATCAGAGTACGATTCAGAGTCATAGCTTCCTGTATCATCAGGGCCGCTGTAAGCATCGCTTGGTTCTTCATGATATGAACCATCATCTCCATTATAGTCATCGCCATGGTTGTCAGTGTAACCAGCGTGGTTCAAATCCCAGTAATGTTCCCCATAACCACCATTTTTATCACCCCACCGTACCTAAATCATAGGATTAGTTAAATGTCAATAAACATAGATGAATCTGAAAAAAAAGTATTTATTTATAGGCAAGTAATCGGCACAACTATCGTACCTTTTTACTCAGCTTTCCTTTTCTAATCGTGCATTTAATATAACTAGAGAGATAAAATAGTTACTTTCACCGGAACAAAACGTGACGTTGAAACTAGATCAATACAAAACCAGACATTTGACTGTCTGAGACTTGAGCGTACAGTTTGTATGAATATTTTGCAATCTGCAATACTATCGATATTATATACCCGCGGTAGTATCACGTAACTAATTACTAACAATAATAATTTTACTGCATTGTTGTATGAAATGAGATTAGTTTCAAATTATTACTTTTAGTTCTATTCCTATTTTATATCTTGCCATATTGCTATGATATTATTTCGAAGCAGTTTTTAAATGTAACGATACTTACTGAATCACTTACTACGTACTCTTCTAGTTCAGTAATTATATCAATAAAGTAAAAGTTAAAGTATTTTTTGTTAAGAAATTAAAACATAACAGAACTTAACAAGTTAGTAACAATAGTGCAAGAGAATAATGCTGTTAGTAATGAAATATAAGATTAAAGCGAAGCGTACTTTAGCAGCGTACAGTCCTTTGGAAGGTCTGGACCTCTCGTGTCTTTCAACGAAGTGTTTCTCGCTGCCCTGACGGTGTCCTTGGTCGAAGTCTTCCGATGTCGGCAAGTGTCTATACCTTGCAAGCCAAGCCAAGCGCGACAGAAAAGGAGAAAGACAAAAGTTAGACAAAGCTATATAATAAACGTGATACTTTTCCCATATCCCTGTGGTTCTTAAAGTCTTTTTTCTCATATCTTTGCTCCCACGTGTGAGGATCCTCGCATACGTGACCGAATTCTATCTTGTATGGACTCAACTGTACCGAGAAAAAATCCCTATAAAGCAAACAGGCTATGAGATCCAATTTGATATTACTAACTTTACGACAATATTAAATAAAACATATTAATAGCGGTAGTTACTTTAAAGCGATGTTCTTATTGGAAATAAACATAATGTGGTGAAAAATATTAATTAATATAACTTATGATAGTAAACAAGATAATAAGGAAATAAAATTAGTAGCTAACATTATGTAACTGCAATAATTATAAGTTTTAATACAATCATTAATACAATCATTTGTATAAAAGCAATGACTACGAAAGTCTTACCTACTTACTGACTCGCACATAATATAAACACATATAAAAAACAAAGTAATTTTTAAATCGATATTTTTAAGAAAAATATAAGATACTAATTATAAAGTCGAGTTAATTTTGTGAATTAAATAAAATTTAATATTCCTGTTTAAATAAGATATCAGAAAAAGGAATTCTAGTTTGAGTTAATTGGAGACAACTTGTTTCTGTTTCTAATAAGTGTCAGTTGCACCACGTTTTAACAGTTGAATTGGTATGACCTTCATTTAACAGATGACCTGATAAGGTTTGATCGAGCACTGATTACACAAAACAGACGCAGATGTATACAGAAAGAGATTATTAATTACTAAGAAATGTTACAACAGATAGGACTGTACTTAAAATACATAAATAGTCCTATTACGAGAATAATTGTAGTATTGATATCGTACTAATAGGCTTGATCTTGAGAATCTTTGGTTAAAGGGTAAGCTGGAAGTTAAATGAGAAAAAACTCTTACTGGAAAAACTTAGCCTGCGCCTCGATACCATACGGCTCCTTTGTGGGCACTGACACCGTCCTCACTAGCGTCAATGATGTGTGGAATACAGACAGACAGAACAGCCATCTCTGGAAGATATTAAAAACATATATCAATCAAAACGAATATATATTTGGGGCAAGAAGAAACAGAATCTATTTCACGCAAAAATAAACCCAAAAGTCAAACACAAAAAGTATAATTTCCTAATCAAAATGAAATCAGTACCGTGGTAAAGAAGAGACGTTGTACCATCGTGGTGATTCAGTTGTTGATGCTTCGATCCGTCACTGTCGCTTGATTTATACTGAGAAACAACTTATTGTTTTGTTTTCACCAACTAACGATAGATTTTAACTTACTTAAAAGTGTATTGGAACTACTTTGTTTATGTACTTATGTATTTATTATCTTCTTGTTTGTGTTCTGCTCTTATTAAAGGTTTATCCTCGTGTATGTAAAGCTTTGTTTTTATAAATTTGTGGAATCAAATGTATGGCTCAATTATTTATTGTCACACTATATGAGAAGCGTTATTTTCATATAATACTCTACGTTAATACTGTAATGTTACAATATTTAAGATCGTAAAACTGTTAAGGCACCGTATGTAGTGTGACGATCACAACTTAAAATAAGCATAGAGATATGTTTTATACGGCAATGGTATCTTTCTCACTAGCTCCAATATTAGCAAAATAAGATTTTTTTTTAATTATTATGATTATTTTTAAAAGTATTATTTCCATTTTTTAGATTGCAATCCAATTTTTTTCGACTGTTTTATTTTATTATGTGGTTTAAAGACCAGTCGTTATCATTTCTATGATAAAAAACCAATACAGAGCTCAATATATTTTTACACATGTTTTTTATTCATCGAAGCTTTTACTTTAACAATGGTACAATTACATGTGAATATTTGTTTGTGTTACTTATCTTTCTGAATAATACGAACGGAGTTGCAAGCAAAAACTAGTAAAGAATAAACAAGATATTGAAATCTTAATACTTATTTTTTTTAACCTACCAGAAACTTTGAAAAAATAATAATATGTATATTAAATGTGATTTTCAATATAAAATCTATTGATGACGCTATTTGAATAAAAAAAAAATGTGTCTAACAAACCTATCGGTCACTTGAGATAGTATTTTTCATTTTATTTTTTATCTATCTTAAAAATTATTGCTGAAATTTTATATTTCAATCGTCAAAGCATTTGATATTTAAACTCTTATAAGTGATTTCATAAATTTATTAGACTGTAAAAATAATTGCTCCACAACAATCTGTAAAACAGGTGAACTTCGATAAGAAAAGATATGAAATAATTTTATTGCGTTAAATTAATTTATTATAAATACATACAAAAAGAATACGTAACAAGAATGGTACCAAATTATATAGTGTGACAACCAGATTTTACAGTAAAACAACGAAACATACTTATGTGTATATTATTATAAGAATTACATATTAAAACTTATAACCTATTCCTAACACTACATGATTGAACCGATGTTAGGATAGCAATACCATTCCATAGATTGTGTGGTATCAGGAATCTTCTGGTTCACACGGCTCGGTGTTCGTTCCGCGGAGTCAGCAGCGTCACTCGTTATATATTTTATCCATACAACGATGTCGCCCCGACGATGTTCATTTATTTTTTACAATATTTACTATTTCATTTTACAATTAGAACAAAAATAGCTATCCAAATATTCTATAACAATTAGAAAATGCGTATCGGGAAATAAATTAGAAAGTCGTTTATATAATGATAAAAAAATCGAATTGTCTTTCTGTGACTTCAAAAAACAACTTGAACCAATCAAAACTTCCGGTGAATAATTAGCTTTACGTAATAACTTGTAATTATTATCTTAAATTTTTTTGTATCGCACCGAAGTTAAGTAAGAAATATTTTAAATGATACGATTGGATAGATAAAAAAATGAGAATAGAAATAGATTTAAAACATATAACTAATTATACTAAATAAATAAGTTTAAAAAGACTAGCTGTTTTATTATTATCACTATTTCTCAGTAATTATACAGTCCATATTATAAAAAATCCGTTTTAATTTGACTCATTTTATTTACAATTCATACTTCTTCTTCCTGGCAATTTCCCAGCTTTGACCAGGGTCTGCCTTACATGTTGTGAATAGGTTTGGCAAATTGGTTTTACGACCGGCTGCCTGCCTGACATCAACCCTTTTTTTGGGAATCAGAATCAGTGATGTCTAAATACTCTTAGAAAGTACATATTACTCGGAAAAATCATATTGGTGCTTGACAGGATCGAACCCGCGCCCTCATGCATGAGAGGCGGGCCTTATAACCACTAGGCCACCACTGACATATTTACAATTCATACTATGTACTTGTGACTTCAGCCTCACTTCCGCCAAGTATTCCGCTAAGCATCAGTTACAAACATCTTTCAAACAGGATTCTTACGTTACGCTACATATTAAACAATTACGTAAATAATTAATATACTTACGATTAACACATATAAAACATGTATGACATAAAAATTGTATTTGACCTGGGTTACTGTGAGAAAATTCGTTAATATCAAACTCTATATATTTTAAAGTGATGTATTTCAATTTGAAGTTGCATGGGCTATTAAAAATTCCAATTTAAATTATTTTAGTATGCAATCTTCTGATTCAAAGGATTTAAATTAATATCGTAACTTCAATTTTTTTAATTAAACTGCTTTTATTTTAATTTTTTATAAAAAGTACAAAATAAAAAGCTTAAAAATATTCCTAAATTACATTTTTATTCAATATTTTAATATATACTAACACTCGTAAAACTTTGTTACGTATTTCTTTTATATGAATCAGTCAACAGTATTGTCGCTACTATTGATAATTTTAACTCTTTTGAAATTTTTAGGCAACTTTATTTCTAGTTTGTTTAATATATGCTATTCAATTCACAATGAGGTCGACGGAGCATAATGCACCGGGGTCGTAACTCGTAGGTATATTGTGAAGTACAAACTACAGAGTACAGCACGAAAGTGAAGTCAAGGACGAATGTTGACAGAACGACTTGACGCTAATAATTGTTATACAAATTAACAGACAGACCTAGTAGCATTTATAACAATGGCTAATTTATTTGAATTTAAAATGAATATGTGTAATACAATAAATTGGCAACCCAAATAGTTTATAATGCATTAACATTATGATGTTCTATAGTTCACCAATATCAATATATTTGTGACAAATTAATAAGTGTTACCAGGACAATTTCAAATCGTTTAAACAAAGTAAGTTACCTACATATATGAGTTCTTATTTTGTTTGTGATTCATATATTTTTTATCACTTCACAGTTCATAGTACTTCCGATGGAACATTTGTGAATTGCACGTTTTGCAGAAGAAAAAAAGATTTCTTTTTTTGCCGAATATACAACAACAACAAGAGGATATTTAGATTACGATCCTGCATTTTTTATTGGGAATGAAATAATATTAAAAATACTATTACCTAATTTCTGAAATATCATCATAAAAGTATACAATACTATCAAAAATACATATATCAAAGTAAGATCAAAGTAAATAAAAAGAAGTAAACAGTCTATATACTTAAAAACGATTTTTATTTTCGCTCGCTTGCGCCGGTAGAGACATATAAAGTATGTATAAATATCATACACAACTCAAATCAAAAGCAAAGAGAGATAAAATGGTAACAATTTTATTACGATTTAAAACCGCATTTATTTTGAAATATCGAAAATGTCAAGTCTCGATATATATATTTTTTTCAAAACATATCAGAGTTTTAAAAATGTTAAAGGTTTCAAAATTAATTATAATTTAGCTTCTGATTTACTTGTTACAGGAAAACCTATCACAATTTTGGTATTTTATTGTTTTAATAATCTTTTTAAAAATCAACCATCTCATCTGACCTTCAGTAACTGTCACGCATCGAACTGACATTCAACGTCAGATTAATAGCGGGCTATTAACGTTACACGATTTTTATTAAACCTTTACATTATAATTATAACAATTAATTCTTTATAAAGATATTATGTTGTAATACACAATATTCTTGAACGTATTTAGCAATGTTAGGATTTTATCGCATTGACATTGTAAATTTAAAAGTTTTTTATATGTAATAAAGCAATTATGTATCAATAATTACATACCTATTATAGATCTTAAATATTATGCATAAAATAATTATGCAAAAAAGTGCCACAAACAAAAATCCGTGCGTGGGAAATAATAGGCGAAATATTTAAAGTGCCAAGTTAACATTTACCTGAATTCGATCAATTTTCTTTATTTAGCAAAAAATATAGTAGAAATGTATTTTTGTTTGTTTTATAAATATAGATCGTTTAGTGATGAAGACAATTAATAATTTATGTAATATAAAAATGTGTTCGGCGAGTCGCCGCTCATCAAAGCGTTAAATCGCCTAGAAAGTTATCGTTTTCCATTGTACTTAAAAGACAGTTCCGAGATCTTAGCGCCATTGATCATTTGAATAGGAGAGATGGATTGCTACCATTTGGTAAGTAAGGTAATTTTTTTTCAATTATTTCGTCACATTATATAAAGCGGTGTCGCATTACGTTGGAAACATTCACCTCTGTATAAGTAACACATTACTCGATAACTTATAAGTGAATATTTTTCAATGTGTCGCAAAATCTGATCCGGTTGTAACTAGGACTGAAATGATTACGACCGCGGCCTACCAGCGTGTATTGAGTTTTATTTAATATATACCGGTTATATTATTCCAATTCACATTACGAATAAATATGAAAGTGTCCTATACGAGATAATTGTAGATTGCTATTATAATACAATTTTTTTTATTTATATTTAAAAATATGTCCTTAAAAAAAATCTCGATCAAAAATGCAATATTAACAGTATATGTATATGTATAAGATCAAACGAATGATGAAATGATCTTAAACGAGTAAAAAAATAGGTCTACCGGAATATATACTACTCTTTTAAATATTCTAATAATGCACCAATAATGCCAAAAAAATATTTTTGCCAATGAAATAGATAGTATCATATTGTTGTGGGCAGTGATTGCATTAAAATGCAACGAATTTGTATTGTAATACAGAGCACGAACGAACGAAAGTTAAAGTTATGTCACAGACTTATACTCTGACGGCGTAAGAAATACCGAGATACATACAAGACATACATGACAATATATATATATATGTTAAATGAAACTTGTGATTTTTCGAATTTTACTACGTGTACATTCCTATTATTGTAAAAAAAATCTCGTCTACGCGTGATCACGGTTGCTGAAAATTAACCGAAACGTCAGGAGTGTATACTGTATAGTTTTTACAATAATAAAATACGCGTAGAATCCGAAAAATATCAGTTTCATTTAAATGAATACTCGTTATATAGGTACTAATTTTTTAAGATACATACTCTTAACAAAATAAAAGAAATATGTATTTAATATTTGTTTTACAGATTTTATTCGCCAGTCTATTTTTGAGCGTCGCAGCTTGGTCCATGCCGTTCCAACCCGTTCAGAGGAATCCTATCATAAGATACGTGCGTCCTCAAAGACATATACGTATGTATATATTATAATGATCTTATAAATATTATTAATGTGTCTTGTTGAGTGTGAAAACACTAATTTTAATGGAGGTTAGACTATGTACCCTTTCATTTTGACAGTTGTATTGTGTTTGAAACCACGTGACACTAACGATAGATGACAGTTAGTTGACACATTTTATACATATTAAATAATAGTGAAAAAAACTTACAAAAAATACGCTTTTATAGCTAAATTAAGTAAAAAATATATATTTTAATTCATAGTAAAAAGCATGGGATGCATTTGACTACGTTTAATATATTACCTCTCATAGATAGTTGCCACTAAAATGATTGTAACATTCAATATCAAGACTTCTAGAAACTGGTGAAAATTAAACTCAAAGGTTCCGTTACATACAACACAAGCTAATAAAAGCGTGTTAAAAACATTGATATATATGAAGTCGTGGACTAAAACTAGTATGTATGGGCATAATGTGAGAAAATATTACTATTAATTTAATTTAGAGTAAACTATATATGTGTTATCGTTGACAGTTCCGCCTAAGCAGTGGCAGTCCCAGTCTGAGTGGGTGCGACTGAAACGTGAACGTGACGATCACGATTATGATCACGATTATGACCGCGACCACGATCACGATAACGCCCACGACCACAGAAGCACCAGCGGAGTCACGGGGCCCATACACACGTTCGTGAAAACAGATAAGAACGCTAACTACAAGTGGGGCGTCAGACATCACGTGGGCAATCAGTACGCGTCATAGCATAGCTTGTATTATTACTCAATTACAATATACGTAGTTTTATTCTGTGATTTTATTATAGTTTTTATATTACAGTAATATATTTTAATAAAAAAAAAACTGAGTTTTATGTTTTATTCCTTCTTTTCTGGTGTTAAAAACTATGTAATTTTATCGAGTACATTTTTGGCAGCCAGCCAAAAGTTAATTGTTAAGGTCACGAGTTCATATTTGCATATGTACCTTATACATTCTCATTAACGTTATATTACTGTGGTTACCCTATTTTAATGATTTTTTATTACTTGTACTCGAATAAAATAATGGAAGTGGAGTATACTACTATATTCAGAGAGCTTTATAGCTTGGAATAAGCATTATTTAAAATATATTGATATAGATTTAGCCTCATAACAAGATTTTAACATATTGGTATAATGATTGGTCTTGTATTCTTTTTTCTTTGTACATTATTAAAGTCAAAAGGATACATTGATAGTATAGTTGATACGTCTTTTAACAAACCCGGTTTAATATTAAATGTTACGTAACAAAGAAAGTAGGTTGCATACAGACATCAATATTTGATCCAATTTTAAAAGCGGCCTCTCACTTTCAACGTGTGTACTACAGACGTGCACTTCGGTGATACGAAAGCATCGAACGAGTTATAATTGAAAACGTCGATACTGTTGGTAATTAGTTTGACAAAGAACTTACTGTATATACCCTAAGGACGAGTTAGCGTAGTCATACTAAATATAGGCAGTTTCCAGATGTTCATTGATTTACTTACTATCATCTAACAGTATTTGTCTTGTTAAAAATCTGAGATTTCAGTGTCAGTTTTGGGTGATTAATATTAACAAGTAACCATAAAGATATATTCCCAAATGATCAATAGGTTGAAAATCATTATGTTCATTTCATGGATTACTTAAATAATACATAATATTTAGGACAAAAATAATATATATGTAAAGGTTACAAATAATTATGTCCTCATCCTTTACAAGACCTACCTGTTACTTGACCAGTACAAAACTTGATATTTTTATATATTGTACACATTATATTATATAAGGAATTAAGGTTTGCTGAATTATTATTGGTTTGCAATAAATATTACAGTGTAACCTTTTTTGGGACATTAATGGACTTTAAAAGAATGTACTTGTTACTTCATGTGTGTTAGTAAGATTCTGAAGACTACAAGCACGATATGGAGAAAATCTTCTACTGATTTTACTAAGTATATATAAAGCTCTTGATGTTGTTCGGATAGATAATAATTATGTGTATATATAATTTTAATATTACAACTGTTGATATACTTCCTCATACGTTTGTGAGCACATAAAAATCTATTCATAAGGCTATTTAGAAGTATGGTCTCAATTTTTAACTTAATAACCTAGATAATGAGATCTGAGATTTTCGCAATTCTTATTCATTGAAACAAAATAATATTTTGTGGATATACTGTGCGACTTAATTTTCAGCAACCGTGATCATGAAGACGAGATTATTCTAGATAATTTACCTATTCCTAGCAACCCTTCAGTTATATCTGAAGTAATTTAAAGTGCACTTGCAAGTAAAGTTCTTATTTCTGTAGACAGAAGTATGTAATAGTTACATGAAAACCGATACAGCAGGCCAGGGTCTGACACAGATAGGAGTCGAGTTACCACGATGAAGTTACACACGCTCACATCCTCATTACGACTGTTTGTAAACTGTAACACACAACACTGACCACACTCCTTTAGACTTACATTACAAGATTAACTTACCACAATAAGCAGATTTTGATGAAAATCTTTTAAAACTATCTCTCTTCCTTACTGTATATCTTATTTATTATTATCTTTTTTTACCTTCTGTTTGTTGTTGCTTAACTTTTATTTTGTGCATGCTATCACCTATAAGTAAGATACCACTAGTCTTATTTTTTATTCATGTACCTGGAATGTTTTTACTGTGTATTTTGTTGGTTATCTAATAAATAATAAATATCCAACATGGTGATGGGGTCAGTCTTATCCATCTTTTTCCTCCACTTCGCCCTCTAACGTCATCTTCGGAAACATTACATTTTCTCATGTCTGTCAGCAACACATTTGTCCAGGCGGTCTTAGGTCTTCCTCTAGGTCTCTTTCCGGAGACAGGCAAATTCAGTACTTTGTATACATATAGTTTTAAAATCTTTTAAAACTATATGTATGAAAAACCGAAATACAATGAGAAAGATTTTTACAATATACAGGGTGACTGGTGAATTACTATCGATACTTGAGGACGTGATATTTGACGATCATATATGACAAAATAAAAATTAATATAACATAAATATTAATAAACTTCTAAGTAAAGTTAACCAAAAGTTATGTAATTAATTACGCATCGTGTGAACACCCTACAGATTAGGTATACACACACACACACTCGCGCGCGGCGGCGTGGTGTTGTATCAGCACGCCGCCGCACGCGTCCACACTTGGAGCACTTGGAACGTGTCCACATTTTATTTATTTATACGGAAATTTGGTCAAAAATTAAGTACCTATTTTTTTTAACATAATTCGAATGAGAATCATGTACCGAGTATTCTCCTTAAATATTGATAGTAATTCACCAGTCACCCTGTATTTTGTTGATTTTGATCGTAGAAAATCATAAAGGATTTAATATTATGCTTCTGTATTGTATTGTATTATATACTATTACAGCGACTTTACAATATGCTGTTTTTACGATTGACATAACTACAAAATTATAATTAATTAATATAAATTAACAAAGATACATTAACTGAATAATCACTTAACATAAAGTAATGAAATTACTTGTAATAAAACCTTTATTACGTTCAAAACTTATTGAAACAAATATTCAATATTAGTTGATCTAAAATGTCTCATGGTCTATGTTCTTCGGAAGTAGGAGAAGAATTTTCATGATCTTAAAAAAGATAAAGAAAGAAATACTGAGAGATTTAATGAAAAGAAAAAGACGGAGGACGATTCAAAAGTAATTTAATAAGTCTTTTTACACAATTGTTAAGGTAAAATAGATTTGGGAAGAACTTAGTTATTAGGTAAGAAGTACGATTAACATAACGAAGACTACAAGAAGTAAACAGATATATTAAATATACAATTAATTAAGAAAATTAAAGGTCAGAATTTCTACAATTAATAAATTCTCCGATGGAAACATCTCCTGATTTAATTCACGAAGATACTTCTGTAGAACTAATCTTACAGTTAAAAGCTTTGTGCTCTATAACTCTAGAGCGTCTATTTACTTATTCTTCATCAAAAGTGCAGAGGTTTTGTATCGAAGGACAATTATCAAATATGACAAACGTTATGTAGGTCGAGATCTTTGAATGTCAGATCTGAGGCGAGGCGAATGTGTTCTAATAACATAACACTTACAGCATGTACCGAGTCACGACACAGGTTCTTGGCATTACTATAGTAATTGGACTAATTTATTGTAGATTTAAACCGATTATTTAAGCTCTAAATATATTGAAGAATGATTATGTCCGTCTATACTAATGAGACGAGATGTTGCCTGAGAAATAACATATAGCTACACAAAATGTTTTATGCATTCGTAAATAATATTCTTTTATTATTTTAACAACAGTAAAACCCATTTTGATCCAACCAATGATCTGCTACCTTTTATCTGAAAAAGGGGGTGAATCCTTTTCGGACCTGATTACGAATATTTCAAGTCATATCTTAATTAATGAGATTACTTTTAAAATATTATCTTTTTTGAGTAAATATAATATTTATATTGAAGAGTTCTTAATGGAATCGAATATATTTGTTAATTTGACCGACTCAAATTTAGTATATAACTTAGTTTTGTGTATTTTATAATATGAAATAGTAACTTCTGGTTCTTCTTCAAATCATCTCAAAGACTCCGTGACTGTGGTATCACGGATATACCAGGGTAATCATATTAAAAATATATGAATTTATTTTATTTGATAAAATAAAATAAGTAGTACGACCAACGTTTTATTGTAAGATGGTAAGCAACGTTTTCAAAAGTACAATAGCGAAAAAGTAGTTACTCAGGAAAGTGATTTGTAATAGAAATGTGTAGAGCAAAAAAATATTGAATAATATCATTCTAATACGAATTTTTTAAATATACCAAAATGAGAGGTTTAATTGATGTTGTAATAATATAACATATAAATTTATGCATGCATTGTTTACTAGCTTATAATTGGGACTTATTCCGCGTTTTTAATATATCTACTTATTAAACAATTTGCGTACACCAAAAGAAATATACTGACAACGGAGTGTTTATAAAAAACGTGTATTTTTTCAACTTTTCACCTTATATCAGTATTATGATATTTCAACAATTATCAAGTCAAGAGCCATGCCTAAATAATAATTTCATTGAATATAACTTAATATTTTAGCGTTAGGTAGAGGTCCCTAAAACCTACACCTGGGTCACAAGTCCCAGGCACTGTTGAAACTCCTCTCACTACAACGATGGACCCGACACACGCACGTTGAATATATTGAATTTTAAATGCTAATACTTTGTCTTTACAAATAATTGTTCCGAAAAAATAAAGAAAAATATATACGAGTAAATAACTTTATACAAAAAAAATGCATTGTAGATGAGTAGTCCAAGTTCCCATCGTTCACTACACACGACACGTTTTTCGTTCCTCATTCAACAGCTCATATTAATACTGTAATGTGCAAAGTTTGTAATTGAAAAAAACTGTCAACTGCCAACGTTTTTTTTTTTACATGGAGCTTCGGTTGTTGGTTTCAGAAGGAAAGGGATAAATACGTTTATTATAGAAATAGACGTTCTTTGTCTTCTAAACTATTCAAGCCTCTTCCCTTCTTCAAATCAAGCATCAGAAGATGCTTTTTCATGTATGTCACATATGTTTCGTTCAAGTATCAAGGTGTCAGGAAAACTACTATACATACTTTAATACATTTCCAATTTCCATTACATGTACTTTAGGATAATAATAAATTAAATTGTATTATTATAGATTCGTGAATAACTGAATAATCAAGGGTGTGTTAAAACATCGGTTCAAATTAAAACCCGGACGGGTATTGAAGAAGTCCCGGAACTTCGTCTAGTTTGTGATGACTCTCAGGAGTCGATGTGTCCTGGAATAAAAAACTGAATAAAAAGATTACATTCAAATTATTGTTCTTTATAAAACTTTGACATTTACAGTACAGATTACATAATCCTGTCTTAATTAGTTACATTTTATCTTATGTATGCATCATTGACTAAAAGCTCTTTCGCTTTAGGTATGCGTTTCAAAAATCTTTTAAAGTCTAATATTCATTGTTTACCTTTTTCAAAAAACACAGCATGAGATCTTAATTTACTTGTACACATCTTTAAAATCTATTCATGGATGTTTTAAAATTAAGAAAAAAATATATATCTTAAATTTTTAATAAATAAAATAAAACAATTACTATTTAATTGTACCATATATATAAAAAATGTCCTAACATTTATTTTTGAATTAAGAACACGTAACTCATTTAACACACATACAATTTCGATGTCCAAATTTTACAGCCAAAATACCAAAACCGGCTGAACGCGCCGATTGACTCCCGCCCTCACGTTAGAAGGGGTGTCAGTATATAAAGTGAGAGTGAGCCACACTCACTACAAACCTGAGTTAGACCGCGTGTGTGCTGTTTTAGTTAATTATATATAATAAAGTTACATTTAGTGTGTGAAATGTTCCGTCTGTGTGTCCTGGCATTATTCGGCTGTGCCTTCGCCTCGCCGCAGTACCAAATACACCAACAAGTTAGTATTATATTTTAATAACGTAAATAACGTGTGAATGTGAATTAAAAAGTCTTATATTATATTTATTTTATATTTAATGTTGTTTTAATTATTTCGTATTTCGTTTTATAATTCTCAGTGAATAAAATTTAATAAAGTGTATCACACTGTTTCTTGTACATGAAGAAACTCCATTGTGATGTAAAGGGCCGACAACATTGCTTTAATCTTCTTACAGGAGCCTTTAATATACGAATCGTCATTATTAAATCCGCATTAGATATTTGTATATAATAGGAAGCATTGAACATCACTGATTCGCGTAATACTTAAAATTTTATTTATTTATTTTTATCCTATTAGCTGCAACGATTAAAAATGATAATTTTTTTATTCACCTCTATATCATATTATTAAAAAAAACAGTATTTTTCTCAGTGAACCTTTTCAATTACATAATATTTTTAAATCAAGCCATCTCTAACTTTATATTAAACCTATTTCGTAGACATGTTGCAACTGAAAAAGTAATTCAAAAATGCACCGCGCGAAACTTACATACAGAATAAGTACATTTGCATAACAGCGTTTAAATAATAAAACCGGTGTTTACGTAACCGGTAAGTTCACGTGCCGATGTTACTTCACTTTAAATTAACCGATTCGATGCTGATGCCGATTCAGGTCGATCCGATTTATTCTGAACAATACTCAGTTAACTATATGAAGATATTTGTATGTGATCATTTCATAATATCGTGAGTATAATGGTTTATGTCGAATACAAAATGTCAATTGAGACACTGACATTTGAAGATTTGACAGGTATTAACCCGTTTTCTTAGTACAAGTTTGTCAATTACACACGAGGCGTTTGCCGTTTCTTAGTCGATACTTAGTTTATTAAAAACTGTTAAACTTAATGTATGATGGTGCGAACTTTTAAACAAGTCTTTGTACAATAAAATAAGTATAATTGATTATTATCACTCGTCTATATTGTTGGTGAATGTATTTGTTCTTTTATCAGCAGGATGAAGGTATTCCTCCTCATCTCTTGAGACAGTACATCGGTGTTCAAGGCCAGGGACAGCAGCACAGGGCCGCGCCGATCCCAGCACCAGCAAGACTCGTGAGTATCATTAATGATATTATTAGTTTAATTAAATAAATTTATTTAATAATATGAGAAAAAAGACGCTCTGATTGTTTGCATTTATATTACGATAATGTTTTCGGAAACATGTGTATGAAACAAATAGAATTGTTGACGAAATAATCACAAGTTGCAGAGTGAATGATGTAACACATTCATTCAGACGAAGTATTATTCATTCATTCACTTTCATGGAAATCTTTGATCTTATAGATTTGAACTTTGACTCATTTAATCCTTATTATTTATTGCTTCAGTTGGACGAAATTACTCCTTAAAATTGCAGATACGATTGTACTTTCATAAATATTAACATCGGTAAATTCTATAAAATTATATTTGCATTTCATCAGGCTTACAATGTTCAAGAGGAACAGTATCAACAAAGACCGCAATACCAACCTCAACCTCAATCTCAGCCACAACCTCAACCTCAACCTCAAGCCCAACCTCAACCTCAACAGTACAGACAGCAACAGCAACAGCAACCTGAAGACTTTGATGTAAGTTACATTTAGTATGAAGGAACGCCTGATTATATAACGAGACGTTTATATTAGTTTAACCAAATTAAATTAAGATCGCTTTAAGAAATTGCACTTAGAGTACAAGTTAGCATTTGATACAAAGAATAAACAATTCTTTTATTAGGATATAATTTAGGTAATAACTATTAATTATGGTTTGATTTGATCGTGATTGGAAAAGGACCTGTCTACTGTAGTGTTCTACTCATATTATAACTACGAGAGTTTGTCAGGATGTATTGTATGTATGGGTTTTTTGTTATTTCACGCAAAAACTACTTAACGGATTTTGTTTGAACTTTACAGTTATGTAGTTTAGACATCAGTACAAGACTAGCTCTAATATATTTTAGAATTATCTTTACTTACACCAGGTTTAATGTATAACATACTATTGCTATGGAGTCACGTAAACAGACAATAGATATCGCTGACGATTGGTTGTTATATCTTTTGAACCGACCGATGTTTAAACATATTATACATTTTAAAGTTCATGTGGACGAAGTCGCAAGCTAACACTATTATACACATATGTCAAAGAAAAATTCTGATTTTTCATAATACGTATTATGCTGCATTTCTATTTGGTTCAAATGATACAATAAAACATCTCTACGAAATCATATTCCATATGAACCGTAAATAGTCATGGGGTCGATGACCTTTTATTAACATCCAACAATAAACTGGAAATACTGCTTTTATAATAGTACTTGTTAATTACACACTTTACTGGGAGATCACGTGACTATACTGGCAGAGTTTAACACATATAGAAGTCAAAACATACATTACAGAAGTACAGACGTGACGTAATAAGGAAAACTAAAATGATTTAAGGAATTTTAATAGAAATGTTACATCAATAGATCGTTTAACGTAATTTCAGTACATATTAAACTGGTTACTATTTAAGTTAAATCAACTTTCACAATGTTGTTCCGGAAAACAGAGCAGTATCTAGCTCTGTATCGGCTATCAGTACAGTGGTATACTTTCACCGGGAATTTTCGCGTGTTGGAGTAATTGGACCACTTCTACAACGAATACAATCTCTGCTTAAACCGACTTAGATAGTAGCTATCGGTAATAATGACAATCTATTTACAAGCTATGATGATGATGAGAAACAATTGTATCTATCCCTACTAATATTATAAATGCGAAAGTAACTCTGTCTGTCTGTCTGTTACGCTTTCACACTTATACAACTGAACTGATTTTAATGAAATTTGTACAGAGATAGACTTGATCTTGAGAAAGAACATAGGATAGTTTTTATCCCAGACTTTTGAAAGGTTCTCTTGGAAACGCGATATAACCGAACCACGCGGGTGAAGTTGCGGGCGGAAAGCTAGTGCTATATATATTTTAATTCTGCGCTTGTTATAGATACATAAATCTTCAACTTAGGCCTTTAAGTGAATGAGATTTCCCTTCATTATGATAAGCATTTATTTGTCAACTGTTCCTGAACCTCATTTCTTCATTTCTGGATTTCTTCTTTCAGCACAATCCCTCGTATCAATTCGGTTTCGATGTGAGTGACGACCAGTTCACCAACTATCAGAATCGTAAGGAACAGAGAGATGGTGACGTCATCAAGGGGTCCTACTCTGTTGTAGACAGTGACGGGTTCATCAGAACAGTCACCTACACCGCTGATCCCAAGGAAGGCTTCAAGGCTGAAGTGAGTTACTTAATGATATCTAAGACTTAGTATTCATTGAAAGAAAACTGATATTTTTAGGTTTTACTACGTTTTTATTATTATTTTTACGGTTTCGGTTACTTTGCAGCAATAAATTATAAAAAAGAGATGAGAATGAGAGTTTAACTTAGTAACGAATTATTACATTGCGATCATACTGTAAAATATTATTATAATCTGCAACCAATTATAAAAAAAACTATTTTGCGCTACTTTAATTGCTCTTAATTTAGATTTTTTTATCTGAATGTCATCAGGCTTAAGATAATAGAAATTGATGTATATTATATTAATGTTCCCAGGTATCTCGCCAGCCCACCGACATCGTAGTGAAGATCCCGACCCCTAAACCCCAGACTCTGTCCGCGCCACAACAGATATCCCACCAACAACACCAGCCACAGCTCCAACAACAACAATTACAACAACAACAATTACAACACCAGCCCCAAGTATCCAGACAGCCATCCCCTCAACAACAATATTACCGTTACGAATAACATCTCCAACAACAATTAATGATGTTTTTTTAGCTTTTGTTATATTAGAGCTATATTTGAGCTATAACTTCGCCATAAAATATCAAAAATCATTCCTTAAATGTTGTCTTTCAAGTCATTAATGTGATCTAATGTTTTGTTTCATTCAGTTTTTCTTCTCATCTAACCTTTAATACTCTCAACTGTAGATATTGTAGATTAAATTATATATAGATTAGTTTAGAAATCAAAACTATTAGGATAGGATTTAGTTATCTAAGTCCCTCTGAAATGTAATGAAATAATAAAAATATTTTTATAATATATTATGTTTTTATTGAGTTTTTGTATTTAAGACTGGCTGAGAAATGCGACTTTGTCTGCGTTGTTTTATATATTACTAAGCATTTCATATGTGCAATATACATCTTTTTACTGACCATTTAACAAAGACCCTTGTTTCTTAAAAAATATATAATAAACAAAGATACTATGTATAACATAACAAACTATACTTTTTTAAGGTCAAGTGTTAAGTGTTAAGAAATAATTTAATTCTATCAGTGATTGAAGAACAACAGCAGGCTTATAATATTTTACTATTACTTGAACTATTAACAAAAAAAAAATTAAGGTACAAATAAGTCCCTGTGACTGCAAAAATTCTTCCTAATTTTTACACAATAAAAACTAAAGTAGACTCAACTATAACTTCAAGTTGTTTAAAAAATAGTGAGAAAAAATAAAATGGAACTATTTTGTCCCATCATTACTAAAGGATACGGAAGAAAAGTGGGGAAATAATAATATTGGACAATAAGGAATAATAAATTGACCGCTCTTCATTAAACATTTTTATTATTACATTCGTTGTCTCCCATAATATAGCAATCACATTAACTAACAAATATAATTTAAGAGCATCAAATAAATTATTCAATAAATTAATAAATTCAGTCCATACTATATAAACCGAAGCAGCCGAACAATCGATGGCATCGAATCGATTTTTCGGCGATTTCGTTGATTTTACGAAGGCCGATGCGATCACAAATACATTATAATAAAAAACACTACAATAAAATAGATCTTAATTAAATAAAAGGCCTAGAAAATGCTATGAAGTCCTTAAACACGTGATGCTTAAACATCAGTCACTAGTGTGGGTCACGACACCTAGTTGGGGGTCACGACACCTAGTCGGGGGTCGTTAAAGTGGGTCCGGACGACACACACATCCAGACTCTACGAGTACGTAGTCCTGGCCCGTGAGGGTTACGGGACCCAGAGGGAGGACCAGGAACAGATACGGAACGTAGGTCTGAGAACACGTACCTCGGACCAGGGAACAAGAAGAAGACCTGGAACGAATAGGAATAGAGTTGTCATGAGAACAATCTATACAGGAGCTTGCAAGAGAGGGTAGTATTGAAATAGAGGTATGTTAACAAGCAATGTGTTATGTGAGGGTCAAAGAAAAGTTAGTTTTTTTTGCAAGATTGGATAAAGGATTTACCAAAGAAGTGTGTTGAAAATAAAGAAGATAGGACGAAAAACGTAGTTACTATAGAAAATATGACGTAATTCATGATCTAATATGAAATGATTGAATATAATTCGGCGTTTATTTTAATGAATAATAAATACTTCTACTTTAATACTGGTAAGGCCAGTAAACTTATTCTACTTAAACAAGCTAATAAAGTAATCAAACAGTGAATTTTTAAGCTATACTATAATACTCACTCGCATACTTCAAAGACGACCTGCTGTAGTAAGTCTGGGAACTTCTGTACTATAGTGACCGGCTGACCTGACGTTAGAGACACGCCGTACATGGGCGCTGTGGTGTTGTAGCGAGTACGACACAGGCGGGACGAGCCGCACGATGGAGACGAGGAACGAGCTGGACCAGAATACATGACACGTTATACAGAACAAATACTTCACATATAGAGACTTTGTTATGATGGACAGAATTTAAGACACGCTATAGAACTAATACTTCACGCATAGGGACTTTGTTATGATGGACATCTGTCCATTAAGTGCAATCTCTTAGGAGCTTGCATTATCTATTGCAAGCTACTTAGAGATTGCGTTTGATTGTAGGTCAAGCATTGATTTTTGACGTGATAACGTCTTTAAAATCGTTTTAGTCGGGTGACATGTTTTGAACTACTTCCCAAAAACTTATATCACCAATAAGACGTTATCACGTAAACATCTCGATCGTAAACCTACTTTACAAACAACCAAATTTTTTTTAAATTTTATTTGGATAGCCAACAAAAGAAAACATTATAACATTCATTTGATTATCAAACTATTAATAATAACTTAAATGTCCTTTTAATTATAGGCTATCACATCATGCAAAATATAATAATTGTAGTAAATCAAAATTTAAATTAAAAAACAATAATAATAAATAAGTAAATTGATTATCTCAATGGTCTTTTATAATTCCATAGTTCTAGTAACCTGATTGGGCTTATTTTAACGATTGTGTGTGTCAGTAGATGTTTTGTGATGAAGGTCTTTTAGGAGCCAAAGACAGTTTTTTGATTCCTATATTCAACTTTTATCATTCATTCACAAAAAAAAAATCACTGATATCATTAATACCAATTGAACATAAATTCATATGACAATGTTTTCATTGTAGCCTGTTTCGAAGATGAGACGCAATACTGAAGCGTACTTCATACATATTTTTTATAATAAAAGTTGGAATGTGTACGTCAATATACTTCCGTGTATGAAGATAAATGATGACGTGGAATTTCAAAGCTAACTTTATATTTCTAAACAAAAAGTGTACAAGGACTTTCATATAAACATTGACTTGGAAATATATAAATCTATTTCATGAAACTTTAGCCTGTAAAAGTATGGACGAAACAGCTATGTCACACATATTTGCTGTCATTAATTACAAAGGACATGTTTAAAATAATATATGTTTTTTTCCAATCATCGTCTAATTATGAGATAATACTTTCGAGAGTATTCATTTAAATGAAACTAGTATTTTCGGATCTACTACGCGTTATTTTATTGACAAAAATTCACATCTTTTCTATCCGCGATCACGATTGCTGCAAAGTAACCGAAACGTCGGGAGTATGTAGTTTATAAAATAATAAAATACGAATACTAATCTGAAAATTTTAGTTTCGTCATATAATGAGGAGCCATACGACAAGTTTTGTGTGATGTTTTAATCCTAGTAATATTATAATTGCGAAAGTTTGTGAGTGTGTATATGTTTGTTACTTCTTCACGCCCAAACGGCTGAACCGATTTTGATAAAATTTTGTATACAGGAAGCTGACGTCCAGGAATAACACATAGGCTACTTTACATCCCGGAAATCCGCGGGTAACACCGCGGGGCGCAGCTAGTATATAATATTTCTCACCAGTTCTATTAGACGCCGTCACGATCCCCTGTGAGTATCCTTCATGCGCGTCTAGCAGAGCTCGCCTCATGAGGGACGGGTCGAGGGTGCGGGCAGCGCGACCCTGACGAGACCCTGAGGTCTTCAAGGCGCGGTTCACCAACTGTCTGGAACGATATGGTTATCACGACTATAATAATTTATTAAAATGAAAACTATAAACAGGACATAAGATATGGGTCAAAATATACGTAATTCTGTCGAAAACTATACAGTTTTTAAGTAAACTATGAAATAATGTAACTCCCACATCAGAATAATACAGAGGTCATAATAAAGCACGAAATTAAATGCAGTTATTGCGGAAACGACATCATATTAGTTTTTATTAATCACATTTTCATTCGAACAAAGTATCGTACAAAAACGATTCTTAGATAGTACTGATTCAAATTATGTACAAGTATCAATTGTCAAAGTCAAAACTAATCATGTTATTTTCAACATTTACTTTAACCTTTGAATCAAAACTAAAAGCATAGAAAATGTTTTAATGACATCCGTCATGATTCCTCATAATGATCAATAGATGGCGTTGTAACCAATTATCCCACGCTCCGTCAGTGAGCCATCACTGAATAATGTTATTTACAAATAGCACTGTACTGTGAGTTGTGAGCGAACAGACTTCACTTATGTGTCCCGAGGTACGGCCCGGGGATGTATTGTAACGGTTATTGTAATTTTCTCACGATTATGTTAAACAAAAATGATACACCTACCTTAATAACGGGACGGTACTCGCAAATGAAACTCATTTACTTAAAAATATGTTTTGTGATTCATATAAAGAATACCAATGAGATGTAAGTTAATGAATTTAATTATTCAAGCCAGGTTTTTGTTTCGATGGCCGTTTAATAAACTCTAACGGTAGTTACTCATGACTAATAAATGAGAAGTTACCGAGATTCCTCTTATTATTTATAGACATTAAACATAGGTTTAAATTGAACTATTTTATATTAACTATTTCGTAAATTTTATTACAAACATATTTTCATTTAATTATTCTGTTACAAAAAAATTCTCCTTAAATAATAAAATTGTTAGTAGTATCTACGTATTTTAGTTACTTTTTCCGATAAGTTTATATTTCAATATTACATTATCAGCTTATGAGGTGTTTTTTAACATTTTTGTCATTGATAACATTTACATAAAAGTTTATTTTAAGTTTTATTTCGTGTTTATATATTAATTCGAAAATCTTTTTAATAGTTTTCTAAAGAGCATGAGTCTTCTTTGATTGTAATTAAAGAAGTGAAATTGTAGATTAAATAGTACCTTAAAGTCGGTGTAAAATGTTGTGAGTAATCAGATACACATACAGAGGACTAAAGTTATTATCTTTTTATAACGCTTTTATATGTATCATCGGAAATTTCTCTTTATGAATATATTAACATTTAAGCAGACCTACATTATACAGGGTGACTGGTGAATTACTATCGATACTTGAGGACGTGATATTTGACGATCATATATGACAAAATAAAAATTAATATAACATAAATATTAATAAACTTCTAAGTAAAGTTAACCAAAAGTTATGTAATTAATTACGCATCGTGTGAACACCCTACAGATTAGGTATACACACACACACACACACGCGTGCGGCGGCGTGGTGTTGTATCAGCACCTCGCCGCACGCGTCCACACTTGGAACACTTGGAACGTGTCCACACTTTATTTATTTATACGGAAATTTGGTCAAAAATTAAGTACCAATTTTTTTTGACATAATTCGAATGAGAATCATGTACCGAGTATTCTCCTTAAATATTGATAGTAATTCACCAGTCACCCTGTATATGTACAGTCATATCTTTTTTTCGGTGAAATGAGTTTGAAACCCTTACAATAATTAACATAACACCCAATTAATGATAAATTTAATTTACATTACATACATTGTTCACACGACTCACATTCTCAGTATCTTCGTTTGTTTGGACCTTCGTTGGATTTATAAAACGATGACGTTTTGGAAAATACATATCAAAACATTCTTTGTTAAATATTTTTAATAATTTTAATAATTTAGCGTTTAAACAAAAGATTACGAAGACATCAATATTTTGTTACTGTTATTACTTTATTATTTATAAATTATCATTAGTTGCTGAACAGTTTATCTTAAGAAGCAATATAAAGATGCTTTTATAAATAATACTAATTTAAAAACGTGATTAAAAAATCTATGTAGCTTGTATAAATATTATGATTAAAACTAAAGAAAAGCAATAACTGAACGTCTTTTTATAAGCTGAGTCTTGAACAGTTAATTATTGATTGAAATGTCAAAAGCAATAGTTGTCATGTCATGTCATGTCAATGTCAAAAGTCATAATTGTTTTTCATAATAATTGACCAATAGTAAAGAATAAATTTAGAATCTAGTTTGACGCCGATGGTTATTTGTAGAATGAAATTTGTCTATTATTTCATTTGTGTATATTTCTTCTTTAGTACTTGCTGTAATTCTTCTATTAATAAAGATTAATCTTCTTTCAATCCGGTTCTCAGATCTTCTTCAGTCAGAGATGTTTGTTCTCTTTCTTAGTCAGGAATGATACTATTCTTATCTTGCTACAGTGATCTAAAATATATTCTTTAGGAGTTCAAAATATCCTCATGTCAAATATATTGTTTATATATTGAATGAATATTCTAACTATAATATTATTTATTTGAATTGAACCTACTTCACGAAATCTTTGAATTTATTCCAAAAAAGCGACGTTCGTTTTAGGGTCCTCCTGTTTTTATCCTCGGTGCTACAACCTTTATAAAATGACAAATAAAGCAACAAGTCCTGGTCGTAATGTTATTATATCGTGCATCACTCGTCACCGTCAACTTGATTCATCTGTAGATGGTATTCAATAGTAATGTTGTAATTTCTTAATGATTTACAGAACGGTAAATCTTTTTACACTCCTATCTTGAGGCTCCATAGTATCTATAAGATTTTACGTCTTTATTCTTCTATAATCAGCTAGTTCCTCTAAGAATTCTTCTTATCATACTTCTCTTACTGTTTCAGATGTTATTGCTATTAAGTTTTCGAACCCAGTAGAAAAATTCTTCATCTATCATGATTTGTTAACCAAAGTGTTCAATAAGAAACAGTTAATAGCGTTATAACGCGTTAGAACTTCAACTTTTCTTGAACCACCATAAAAGAAAAAGCTAGTATTTGTTGAATTATCGCGGACAATAAAATTCTTACTCGGTCTCACAGACCATGTTCCAGCTTCGTCCGTTAATTTATTTAATCCATTAACCGGTTAACTAACCACTCGGATCAAAACAAACCAATAAATGGTCAGTAGAATAAACATTTATTTATCTTTAAAGCTAGTTAATTAGTTCTCTAATAATTATAGAGAGTATTCTCCATCGTAATTGAACATCTATGGTACAGTTAGTTTAATAAATAATGTATTAGAAAGGAGGTGCGACTTAGAACATGTTGATATTAATTGGATAGAGTTAGTTATTATACGTAACTGTCTTTATACATAGAAATTTTAGAACTGAGAAAATCTGAGATGAAAAATGAACCTTATTTATATAACCAAAAAGTGCAATATTGTTTATCATTAACAAAAATCCTACTAATATTATAATTGCGAAAGTTTGTGCGTATGTATGTTTGTTACTTCTTCACGCTCACGCTTGAACCGATTTTGATCACATTTTGTATATAAGCTGACGTCCAGGAATAACATATAGGCTACTTTTCATCCCGGAAATCTACGAGTAACACCGCGGGGCGCAGATAGTTATGTATGTATGTAAAGTATATGTTGATTATTTACCTTGGGTATGGTGTTCCATCAGGTCCCGGACAGTCTGTGCCGGTCAGAGCATCTCCCCATGCATATTTAAGTCTAGGACCGCAGTCTCCGGACACACAGACCGCTATAACTGCCTAGAAACATAGTAAATAATGCTGACATACTTATAAAGTTAATTAAATGCTTAAATGAAACTAATATTATACGGATTATACTAGGAGAGTTTATTTTAGTCAAATACATAGGTACTCCCGATTTTTCGGCTACTTTTCAGCAACCGTGATCACGAAAACGAGATGTGAATTTTTGTCAATAAAATAACGCGTAGTAGTTCCGAAAATACTAGTTTCATTTAAATGAACACTCTCGAAAGTACATTCATTTCATTCATATTAGTTTCATTTAAATGAATGATGCTCATCTCATTATGAATTAAATATAAAACCTATTTGAAACGTTAAATACTTCATAAACTTTCATTTACCTAACCTAAGTACTGTAGAGTACCATATTTAGATGCTTTTAAAATTCCTAACGGCATATCAGCTGGTATCCCGAATCGTAATGTTCAGATAGACAAAAACGACACGCAAAAGCGGGCGATCGTGATTTTAGAAGCGGTATGTATGAAGTGTGCCGCGGCCTGCTGGCACACTTGGACCGATCAACAATACCTGGGCTTTCAAAAATGTTATCGAACAAAACTATTATATCGTTTTGGTTTTATGACCAGCCTATCTTTGAAGTCAAAGAATTTTCGTATAAAATATAGAATAATCTTGGTATAATTAATTGAAGAATTGAAATATTCCTTACAAATTCCATTTAACATTGCCGACGTTAAATTTTTGCATACATACAAGTGTAGATGTAGATAAATATATTTTTATGAGACTCGTAATACGTATGTGTAATATTAAAATAGCACAAAAAATAGAAAACGTAGTGCTTTCTTTCTTTCTTATTTTATATCTGTATGTAATATATTTTATACCGGAAAAGAGAGGATAGCGATGTGTAGTGAATCGTAAACGGAGTGTCGAAGAAAGTGCCAGTATCTGATTTCTAGGCCAAGTGTATGTGTCATGTCAATGAACCAGCCGGGAAACCCGATCTGTGTCAAGTGTATAGTAAATTTCATTCATTTTTACGACTTTGACACCTGACACGGCACAGGTAGAGGTCCTACGAGATTTTATACACAGGAACAGATACTCTATTAAGAAACAGGTCACGTTGTTTACATTGAAACGTTATTACATGCTATTGAATATATAATTCAGTTATATCAGCGGAATGATGGGGACTGGTCGTGTTAAATCCCAGGAGACAGACGTCGCCGCAACTCTTATGATAATCCCCAACGGATGTTATCACAATTAATAGGAAAGTGAAAATAGTTTAAAGAAAAAGCAGCGAAAGTATTGAACGGTGTGTCAAGCGTCTATTGTATGGGCGTCACGTAGCGACTTCTTGTTACTACAATTTATAAAAACAAATATTGAATGTCGAGATAACGGCTCGCCAGAGCCTCGCCGACCGGAATGACACCATTTTTTAACATTTTTATGTTTTTATAAACGGTCGTCATATGATTTGAATTATTAATATTTGGAACACCTATTGACACACTCTGACATCGAACTTTGCAATTGTTGGAACATTTATCCAATCATTTTTATATTTATAAGTAAATGAAGATAATTCCTTTGTATAATTTTGTTGATTATAAAATATACTTTCTAATTGAAATAAAACTAATATTTTTCGGATTTGACTCACATCTCGTCTGCCTGTAGTCACAATTACTGCAAAGTAACCGAAACGTCCGGAGTAGGTTGTTCAAAATAATTATTTCGATATTAAATAATAAGTAAGTAAATATATAACTTTTATTACAAAATAAACTCCTTTGTTGGACGGAGGTCGCTAAATTACAATTGCTAAACTATAATTTCGGCCGTTTGAAAGCTTTCCCGCGTAAGTGATTTTTAATCTAATGACCGATGCACCTTTTGTGTAATTCTTTTAGTTATGCCTCTGTAATGGACGTAATGCTTGAAAGATTCGAAGGAATAATAATAGTTTTTAAAGCTTTATACGTGTTCGTAGTTATTAAGAGAGAACTTTTAAACTTTACTTCTCAGCAATCATGAAACTAAGTTATATTAAAATCGTATGTTATAGCCTCATATAATCCTACTTTCTGCAAAAAAATGTAGGTTATAAACATAGTATTGTCAAAATACCTAACTGTAATCATAAAGCCCAAGAAAATATCTCTAACATATGATATAGAGGTTTTATAATGTACCTATAACCAATATTATTTGACATATTTTTTTAAATTCAACGCAAAATCTAAATACACGATACTGTATTAGAGCAACTAGGTACTAATAATGAGATAACTAAGTAGTAGTTAAAATAAAAATATCAAAAACGTGATTGGCAAGTACACGGTCATATAATCACGGTCAGCCACCTTTGACTAATGACATTGTAATTCGTTTAAGCAGAGGATCGTAAGTAACAGTACTACAATGATTACACCCGCAGTTTTTTGTTTTTTTAACTATCTCCCTCAACGGTTGCTCCGAATGCATAGGCAATGACTCAGTGGACCATGCCGGTGTAGCGGATTAATGAGGATCTTGTTCACTCGATTTTATATTACTATACATATTAAATATATGATTTAAAAATTACTGCCGAAATAATCATCAAAATCTATCGTACTATATAACTAATTTAATTTTATTAAATTCTCTATTTTTTGTTATACACGATGTCCAACATTTTTTTAATTTTTTTCCTGTGATGCAAATTACAAACATGTAAATTTCCTTTTTTTTTATTTAATTTTTTCATACTATACCCATTGCTCTTTTCAAATATTTTTTTTTTATTATTTTTCTTAATGCAATATTTAGAAATAGGAAAATTATAAATTCACATGCAATTGTAGTAATAAATTGTAACAAATAAAGAAAACTTTATTATTAACACATTTAATATATTCCAATTAAAAAAACTTTGTCAACTTACCAAATAGATATAAAACGATATATTTTTCCAACACATCTTGATTTTAAAAGTGACTATAGTTTAATTAACAAATTAGGCTCTGATGAGGCACAGTTTATTTCATTTGCAAAAAAAATTGTTGAAATACGAATGTGGTACATTCGCGTCGATGTAGGGGCGTGCGGTCGGCGCACTGCCCGCTCAGACAAGTGTTCAATGTTCATTATAACGGGAAATCGGCCGGGAGTCTAAGTGCGGGCCCGGCCGCCTACTTCATCTCCAAACAAAACTTTAATAATAGCGCCATCTATGAACTAATCGAAGCAACGTTGTGCCGAAGCCGGATTTTTTGACGTTACTGATTGTAGTGACATGTAGAGCGGCGATGGAAAAACAAAAGTACAAAAACGAAACGAAACAACATGGCCGCATGGCTCGGTGACAGCAGCCTCTCAGATATCGGTACAAAGAATAGCTTAGAAACATTTGTTAACCAACATTTTGATATTGATAGCAGTGTTGTTGATTGTGAGAAGTTTGACAGTGAGTCTGCACCTGCTCGTGTACGTAGTGTCCAAAACGGTGGCTTGTTAGATACCTTACAAAGCGAAATAATTCCCAAGGACAAAAGAACGAATCTTTTAATTGGAACAGTATCGTAAGTGAGCATTACGTGTAAATGATGCGATATAAATCATATAACATAAATAATATTCCAGCCTGTATCGTTCCCGCTCACAAATTTCACAACAAATCAGCTGTTTGTCAATATAACACGTCTCTTTCTAACTTACCAAACGTTATATCGCCGGTCCCTAGCGCACTATTTCATTTTTGGGCAGTCTATTTCGGTACATTACCATCACGATGTGGTTTGAATATCCCAAAACCCTAATGACTCGCGTACATTCCTAAGTTATGATTGGAAGGTAAATGATACCTGTGTTCTTTTTTAAACCCGACGCTTCTTATCAACCATACTGCTTTTTATCCGCGTTACTTACATGTTAGATGCTATTGATGTTTGTATAATATACCGTTGTTATATTACTGCCAATATCAGCTTGTAATCATGGGAATTGTTTTGTGGAAAAACACTAATGCAACAATACGCCGCTTGTTTGTCACTCGTATGTGAAACATTATATTTTAAGATTGTATTAAATATATTTATGTGTTAAATATTATTATTTTATTGGTACCTTAGTTCCAATAAAATATGCTTATATATTGTGAATTGACGCTATACTGTATTTAATCATTATTAATAAACAAAAAATTATTATTTTAGAGATACCAATGAAAAGCGTCGAGATGTACCTCAGACGAATATCGAGTTGCCAAAGTCCGTTATGGATAAAAGTAAACGTAAGAACGATGACAACAGCGGCAGGTATCACTGCGAGTATGATGGTTGTGAACGAACCTACAGTACTATTGGCAATCTACGGACACACTTGAAGACACACAAAGGTATATTCATGATATACACTGATCAATATATTAAAAAGATACAAAGCTATAATTCCATAATAAATTAGTTACATATTTGTATAATAAACTTCTATCCTGGCAAGTATCAATGTGACTTTTCCGAGTCAAATTTACTTTCTAAGAGTATTTAGACACCACTTATAGTTGAAGGAAAACATAGTAAGGAAACCTGGACTTATAATTTGACAATTATAAGTCTGAAATCACCAACCCGTCTTGAGCAAGTGTGATGATTAATGATCTAACCTTCTCCATGTAAGAAGAAGCAGCCCAGTGGGTTCTGATAGGCTGATGAGGATATTTGTATAATAAATATCAAAACATGTTCTAATTAAAGTCCAATATAAAATCTTATCAACATGTTAAGATTAATAGATATGACTATTTTAAGTAGTTTAATATATATTTCAGGTGAATACAGGTTTGTGTGTTCGATACAGTCGTGTAACAAAGCGTTCCTGACCTCCTACAGCCTTAAGATTCATGTCCGAGCTCACACCAAGGCCAAACCGTTTGCATGCAACATCGGCAATTGTAATAAAGCCTTTAATACTCTTTATAGGTCAGTATATATTATGTATAACTAAAGTAACCTACTGCAACTTTGAGGATTAATTATTTCATAGTGCCCCTTTTTCTCACCTACTGAAAAATCATTTTAACTTATCCTAATTAAATGAAATTACAAATAATTGCAAGCCCTGTACATAATATCCCCATTTTTTCTGTCTCCTACCACCCTTTAGGCCGGTAGCACCCACAAGAGTGTGTAATCACCCACTTTGGGAATAAATGATGTAACCGAATAATTCTTATTTAGCAATTGTAGCAGAAAATTAAAATATCTGAGACTAGCTTAATATAAATCATATTTAATATCTACTTTAGAAATTTCTCGTTCATTGTTGAAAATTACTGAAATAAATTTAAATTTTCCATGTTGATATTACCTTATAAGTATAATAATGTTGGATCTTAGTATCAATTTGAGAATAAATCAAAAAGATCCTCATTACATCAGTATATGTATAACAGAGAAGAAATATTTGTCAACATTACAGATCATTTAATTTCAAAACACTAGAATATTCTACTTCATAGATCCCATGTACCTACCAAATATACACAGCATGCATGTGTTATATGAATCACTTTAAAATAGTAGCGTCTACATTGTTAGCATTTATACTTCGATATATATGTAATAAGAATATATGTAGATTATTTTCAAACATATGTACTGAAAACGTAATATTTTTACTTGCTTGTATTACGGATAATTTTTTTTTCATTCATGCTTGTATTATATAATAATATAGTGTAATGACTTTGAAACAGTATAATCTAAACAGAGCGGCGTGTTTAAGTAACTTTGTGATTTATACGCAATTGGAAACTTGCCAGTTTGTTTTCAATACTTTTCTAGATTCTCAGTACGTACCTCTTTCCACTCTGATGTTAGACTATCGTCCTTATTATCACTGTATTAAATGCTATATTCGAGATACTATTTTTCTAGATACTAGATTTCTGTAGTTTGACACCCATTGTAAATGAGAACACTTGTGATTTAATTTCTCAGTTGTTCTTTCTAAATGATTTAAATTATTTTACGGCGTTCAATCTTTTCCCGCGTGTCACACGTCATTCATTATTTATTGCCCGTCACTAGTGATGTGACAGCGTGACAACTAAACACCTGTCACTGCTTATATTTTATTAATTCATATCGTAAATATAAAGTACTTCTAAACATTTTGTGTAATGTCAATGTTTCCGTTGGTAATTAGTTGGCATTTCAGTCTGAAATCCGTTGGAATTTGTTACATCTTTATGTTAAATAAATTAGTATAAATAATTGTATGTACCAAGGACATAGACTTAAATGGACCACTGTTATGTAATAATTCTATTCTAAAATCATCTTCGTTGCATGATAATGATAAGAATAGAACAAAATATACAATCCTTTGAATTTTTATCAATTACTGTTTTTTTTAGACTATACATTTCCTTTTCAATAGTTCATCTTGGATATCATATACACTGTCTTAATTCCCTATTTTTATTTATAAATAGTTAATGCCCTCGATTTTTTAAATAAAATAAATCTTATTTAAGTGTACATTAACCTAGTGCTTCAGTTGTGCGAGTAGACATTTGGCAGACACAAAATTGACAAGAGTTATGTAATTCAGACATATTTTAATCCGATTTTATTATTGTGCTTTGACACTGTAATCAAATTTAGTCATATGATTTTATTACATCTATTCTAAACACAGTTATTCATAACAAAAAGCTAACCAGATTCGCTTTTTGAAACGGAAATCCTTTTTAGAACAAAATATACATGCAGGACCCGTTGAGAATTTTTCAATCGCTCGTTACCATAGCGTGTCAAAAAGTTTATTTTATAGTTTTGCTTGTTTAAATACATATATCTACGTACAGTGCCGGCGTCAGTGGGACTGACACCCTGGGCAAGAATATTTTGGCGCCCACTTGAAGAAATCAAAATCGAGTATTAATTTTTTTCTGAACCAATGTGAACACTGAAGGTGTATTAAGAATTCTATATTCCATCTACCATCTTCCATCTTTCCATTAGCGTGACCCAGAGCTAACGACGTGGACGTAGTAAGTTATGTAGCTCCTATTTTTTTTATTTTTTCATTTATAAGTTTCCTACCTCCACTAATCGCCCCCACAAATTTGGCGCCTTGGGCCGTCGCCCCATCTCGCCCCCCCAACGCCGGCACTGTCTACGTGTTAGTTATTAAGCTCAACAACAGAAAGAATAACATTTATATACTTATTTACTTATGTATTATAATTTCAGACTGAGGGCACATCAGAGACTCCACAGCGGCGACACTTTTAACTGTAAAGCCACCGGCTGTAGCAAGTTCTTTACAACGCTCAGTGACCTAAAGAAACACATACGAACACACACACAGGAAAGACCTTACAAGTACGGAACGGTATTCCCATGCTGTTTGACGGGAATATCTACATAATAATAACTTGCGCTTAAATTGACTGTTGATGCTGCAACGGCCACAGAAATCGCTACTTTTGATATCTTACCTTCCTTTATCTAGTGTAGAGGGAACATTAGTTTATGGATGTTATATATATGTTGTGTGATCCAGGTGCGTGACCACCGGTTGTGGCAAATCGTTCACGGCGTCCCATCACCTCAAGGCACACGCTCGCACACATGTCCCGAGACACGCCACACATGTTACACTTGCGACACCAGCTGTGGCTCAAGTTACGCCACAAGTGACGCCACAAACCACGTTACAGGTCTTGCCACAAGCTTCGCTCGCCACCTGTGCCTTACAGGTACGGTTATCCAACCTCTGGTATGGTTAATAAGATTTGGTTTTCGTATATTTAATTTTTTAACTGTTTAGTAATAAGTTGGTAATTTGTTGTCTTTTGTAATTTACATTTTATATTATATTATTATTAGTAGTATTTTTTGTTTCTCCTTTTGTATAATTGGAGTAGAAAAAAAAAGTTGTGTTAGGTTAATAGAAAATACTGTCCTTTTCCATGCTGTGATAACTTTAAATTGAAACAACACTTAGCTAAAAATGTAATTATCTTTATTTTAAAACCTATAAATGGCGTATGTTTTGTAAGTTGTCCTTATATAAATAAATAAATATATAATGACTCGACCTCTCTATTTTATAGATGAAATCCGAAACATCGAGAGTATCATCAGATAATCCGAAATCGAGCCAGGAGATGAGCTGGGACAGTCTGTTGGAGTCGTTCGGTCGGATCACAACCGAGTCCAACTCAACAGACGACGGCTTGGAAGATATTACCAGCGTGAACGCGCTCGCCAACAACAACTTGGACATCAACGAACTGCTCTTCGACAACACACACACGGACGTCAACCAGAACATTACGAACAACTGGACAGAGGTCACCGACTTGGACTTAGTGATACCCTCCAGTAAGATGGAGGTGAAAACTGAGGCGATACAACTCGCTCTGGCCAACGAAGTAGAACTCCAAGCGCCCTGGATAGACGTGACCGCCCTCGCGTCCTCCATACAAGAAGCTCCTGTCAGCATTAGAGACAAAACACCAGAAAACATATTCACCCTAGCAACGTTCGTGCCCACACACATGCAGAGCTACATGGACCTGAACACGGACACACTGCCGACTGCGAACATCATCTCAGAGGAGTTCCTCGACACGCCCAACATACTGGACGTTAGCGACAAGGTCTTCAACGATAGCGAGCTAGTCACTAATATTGATAAAATGGCGGACTTCCTCAAAAACGACGACCGGTCTCTGAACACTCCCTCTCCCAAGATACAGCACGCCGTTGAAATAAACCCGTCGAGTTGCGTCCTCTTTAATACTGACCTAACACTAGAAGACACTCTGCTGTTCGACAACGAACCTCCGTCAGACATGTACGTGGTGCAAACGGAAACCGTGTTCGGTAGAAAAATGGAGAACCCTTTAAAGAAACTGACGTCGGATGTGGGGATATGTTCATGTGATAGTTGTGAGTGCGGCGCCGACAGCGGCGAGTGCAGATCGTGCGGGGCGAAGGCCGAGGGCGGAGCACCCCGCGAGGACAGGTGCTCGTGTGTGGTGTGCGAGTGCGATCAGGACAAGATGAAGTGCGTGGCCGGCTGTGGGAAGGCTACGGACACGCAGAACAACACCTTCCTAGACTATCACAAGCGACATAACAACTCAAACCTTGAAGACTTGGGGGTGTTCGTTCATAACTGTGACAACTTCGCTCTCATCGACAGTATCAAGTGTTCCTGTAACCATGAACAGGACTCTGTAGAGGCAGGGGGCTGCTGTCACGCTGGAGGGAAACAAGGAACATCAAGCAAGCCGTGTGGTACAGCCGAGCCGAGTCAAACAACTAACAAAACATGCTGTAATAAAGATTCCGAGCACACGAACTCATGCTGCGTGACGATCTGCTTCAAGAAACTAGACGCCTTTAAACAGTTCTTAAACAGTAACGATCTATTAAATGCTCTGAAAGGGAACGGTCTCACCAGCAGTTCATGAAGCATCGCATTTAATACCATCGGGTCCTTCACACGTTATTTGCCTAATTTATAATATTTATTAATAATTTTTTGATATCCTTTACAAATATTTCTATTCTATTAAGATAATAATTATATTTGTTAAAAGTTACCGAGCAATATTAGTTATTTAATATATGAAGACTTGAAATGTATAGTAAAATTTATTGAAATGTCGAGTTAGTACAAATGTTTTAATATGAAACAGGTGTCGAGTGATATTTATTACCAAATGAAATTAAATTTCAAATTTTATATGAACATTTATACTCATATATAAGAACCCAAAGAATCTAGTGATGACATTATCTATACACTTTAAATTATGTCTTGCCTTAATAAGATATTAATGTACTTAAATATATTAAATGTGCCATGATGATTAATATATAATGTTACAGATATATATATGGTGCTACTTGTATAAGGAAACTGGTGCCTTCATATTGTTTTAATGTAGCTTAATAATGAGATTTTAGTTATACCGAGCATAACATCTAGTCCTTATAACAAATAAAACGCTTTTTAAATATCTGATCTTTTATTGAGTTATAGTTTTATGAGATCAATACAACACTAGTCACAGTTATTTTATAGGTATTGTAATATATTGAGATGAAAAATTGTTCAAGAATCAAAAGTTTGTATACAATACGAAAATACTACAGATGTTTTGAGATATAATGATATCCTAGTAAAAAAATATTTTGCTGAAAACTGTTATTTCTATCATGATTAATATCACTATTTACTGAACTTAAAAATATAATTAAACAAAGTAAGCTACACACTGACTAATATGTGTGAGTATATGACTTCTAAGAGAGTAAATGCAAAGAATAAATGCTGTAAAACATTGGACTTACAATTAAATATTTGCCACTGAGAGTATAAGACTACTGAATTTTCAGAAATATTAAATTTCAAATAAATCATTGAACATAAAAACATGTATTTAGAGAAATTTAGATGACAATAATCAAATACAACGAGAAAATTCACTTATAATATAATAAATAAAAATTGGGAAATAATGTCTAAATCTTCAAAATTTGAGAGTTGTTATAGCTTCAGTCATTTAATGACTTATATCATAAACCTTAACATAAACGAAAATACAAGTTATCATTAACAAAAATACTTAATCATGGAAACTTAAAATTAATCAGTGATGTAAATCTACATCCTAACGACGCTTTTTCTTGTCATGTCTTCTAGCTCGGGACGTTGTAGCTCTGTGACCAGGTGAAGACTGCTCTGAACTACACTCGTCACTGTCGGTGTAAGCCTAGAACAACAATTTAAGCAGATACTATATAAACCACAATCACACAACACTTGTTTGTAAACATTTTAATCAGGCATCACTACTTGAAATTACAGCGAATTGTCTTTCAGCTGTTGCATCATAAGATTTGTTATGATATTATGTATTAGGTATATCAATTAAAAGAGTACCTTTTCATAAGGATGGGACTCGCTTTGTTCATCTGTGAGCGTCACACAGGCTAACAAACATATAATCTGAAAAGCAGCGCCAATGTACAATCCGTATCGTATTACAGTGCTCATCATGTCTTCAGCAAAAATTTCATTTGGTATCATATTAATAGATTTAATAGGCTTCGCTTAGTAAAAGAAGTTTCTTCGACAAGTCCCGATCAATATTTAATTTACAATAATATGCCGGTTGAAATTGACACTTGACAATTGACAACAAACGCTCTACTCTCTCTGTCTAGCTTAATAGTGATGTGGAAGACAACAAAAACACAATTTAATAATCGATAGAACTGAAGACAAAATAATGAATATAAAGAATTTCCATATTGTAAGTCGATATAACAAACTCAAAATTAATAAATTATTATACTGACCGATAAACAGATTAAAATATGTTCATTAAAAGTGAAAAGTAATATTTGACTTCTACAAACGGACACGTAATGGAACTATTAATAGTTATTTAGTAATTTAGTTTCTGAAATTTCTTACTTAGTAGATAGATTAAAAATACAAAATCTTAACTAACATACGTTCAGCAAGCAGATTGTATCGGTTAAGTATCATTATGATTTCAATGAAAGCTGTACTTACAATATTTTAAATGTATAGAAAATATTAAGCACCAGGCTCAAAGGTACATATAACTATTATTAATTATTTTAGATATATATATTCTAATTAGCCACGTTTTCTATGTCAGGATATAAAATTCGCAACTTTAAAGAAACATGATAAATGTAAATTCATTAGTACCTACTACACAAGGTTATTTTGAATTGACTTCAAGTAGAGGAAGAGGTTCTTAATTCCGATAAACAATAACCACATCTTTTTAAGCAGTTGATAAGGTTTGTGGTCTAATTGATTCCATATCAATTTTATTAAGATCCAACAAAACAGTCAGTTGTGGGAAATATTTTTCTCGTTAACATCTACATAGACCTACATCTTGGAATTCCTAACACTTTGTTTGAATTTTATTTAATAGCGTTGGTGACCAAAAAACTTTCGTTAGCATAACTATTTCATTCTTTTAATTCCTTTTTTAATGAGAAATAATAATATTTCAGAAGTAAAAATAAACGTGAATCATGCAAAAATCTGAAGAATATACGTTATTCAAACAATAAATTTTGAATGAGTATTCAGTGGCATGGCCGATATGGATAATTGATTGTGAGAGTCATCTTTAATGGTATTCAAGATTAATATTAACGTTTAATCCGTGAAATTATTAAATAGCTACTTGTTGGCTGTTTTATGATGATTGTTACCGGTTGATATAATTAAAAATTGTTGGTATTGCAAGTAGTAAAACTTATACTCTCATATGTAACGATAAGTTGCAATAAGTAGAGTAATATTATAATAAACATGAAATTATTATTGTTAATGGGTGAGTACTTTGTGTGTTTTTAGGATCTTAAGAGAAGTGTTGAGGAGGTGGAGAGGTCATTTGTAGGTGCAAGTATAATATGCATGTTTTACAACGCTGATGAATATTAGCATTTCGTGAATGGTACCATCTGTACTATATTTTACATTAAACTCTTCGTGGTCTAATGTATATGTGTGTTATATAAGGTGTTGAGAGAAATTTCTTCCCATTGATGTAATTAATTAAAGTGTATTGGATAAAATACAACTTTTTTTCGTAATGAAATGAAGTAAATAAGTCCAGTTGTAAGTTCAACTTATAATGTATTAGGTAATATGCAACTACGATCAATTAGATAATATTAAAGTGTTAGGAAACATACAACTTCAGGAACTTTTAACATAGTATTTCTATCTACTTTTGTTTTTTCGCCAGCATTTTTGATCTCGATATGGACGTCTACGATTGCAAAACGACACAAAAAACATAAAACCGTTAAGTTTGACGGTAACAGTACTGATGACGTCACTCAAGACGTGGCAGTTAACGAAACAGATTCAACCATACATATGGATTTAAAAGGAGATCTCAGGAAGTTATTCTTTGTGGTAGGTTGTAGTTATCTTTGTATCACAAAAACTAATTATTGCAGAATTTGTATTTAAATCGGACAACACAATAGGTTCATGTATTTATATTTAATACTACTTTGTGCCGAAGACTTCTTTCGCGTTAATTTCGGCATTAGTAGTATAATATGTATAGCTTACGATTCGAATTCTATACCGCACTAGAGATTGTAAATAACCAGAAATTGAAAATAATTAAGTATTTTATTTTCTTTTTCGATCGAACAGAATTAAATATCCCATGTCTATCTCCTGGTTCTAAGCTACTCCTCATCAATTTCAACCATACCCCTACAGCAGTTCTTAAGTTATAAATAGTGTAACTGACACAACTATTTTATATACATTTGGTCGGCTATTTTTAACTGTTTTTACTTCTAATTGTTTCAGATAAGTGCTGAATCTAAACCGGATTCTAATACACTATGCTCGCCAATATCAGCCATTTTGCCGCTTGCTAAATTGGCGTTGGGTGCTGAGGGGGACAGCTTGAAGGAGTTACTATCAGCTATAGGCGTTCGCAAAAGAGACATGGTTTGATCACATCCTAATGAGATCTAAGGCTTTCGCGAGTATTCATTTAAATGAGCAAATATTTTTCAGATTACTACGCGTTTTTTATTATTGTGAAAGTATCTAAAACTTCGGGAGTATTTATTTTTTATTTATTTTATTATTTAGGCACACAAACAGAATATAATGCGAATTTCATAGGAGTTACAGTTTAAAATTATTTTTAGCTTCATTACATTCCTAAGTATGTGTACACTGTACACGGCATAATCATGACAAAAAATAGTAGCAAAAGATACATTTGATACATTCAATTATAATTAAAAAATTAAATCAAATCAAAAAATTAAAAAATTAAATTAAATTAAATCAAAATAATATCTATGTAGGTTTTACAATAATAAAACAAGCGCAGTATAATCCGAAAAATATTAGTTTCATTTAATTGATCTCGTTCTATTATTATGTATTCACTTAAAATTCTATTGAAAAAGCGTGGAGAATTAAGATTATTATAAGACTAAGATCATATGAGATAATTCTTCTCCATATTTGCTTCTTCTTCTCAGATTGGTGAACAGTTCAAGTCTCTCTTAATGCATCTACGATACCTTCCCGGTGTAAGGCTCGACATCGCTAGCAGGCTCTACGTGTCCCAGACCGCTCGTCTCAACCGAAAGTTTGTTGATTTATCACGAGATATATTTGAAAGTAGTGCAGCCAAGATTGACTTCAATTTCCCTACGTACGTCGCCGAGGAGATAAACGCTTGGGTATTTATTAAAAATATGCATTATTACATTACAATTGGCTTGTTGTCTTTAAAATTACAGAAATAATATTAGATCTTCAATCGTCACATTGTCTGAAGAGTCCAGAATTTGTCTTGTCATATACTTTATTGTTATTTTATATAACTTATTATATATTAGTAAATTATTTTAGTGATACCATTTTAACTAATTAAAAGCATTGGTTACTACTTTTATTATTTTTATTCGTGTGGATTTTTATTCATTATTATTTGTCATGGTCTCTTCACCTATCAATAGTTGTACATATATTGATAACTAAATAATTGTCGTTACTCTGTATGAAAATGGATATGTAATATAGTTTCGTTTTTATATCTGTACGTACATAATCTTTTTGACTGAAGGTATCCTCACAAACCAATGGGATCATCAAAGACATGTTTCAACCGACGGACATTTCTCCCGCCTCTTCACTAGTACTTGTTAATGCGGTGTATTTTAATGTATGTATTTGTAGATCTTTTTATTTAGGTAACTTGACATATTTAATTTATACTTATTTTTTATTTCAAATATAGGGTAGATGGGAAACTCCGTTTGAAAGTGTTAAAATCGGAACATTTCACACAATGACCACACAGAAAAGCACACAGATGATGTCTCTGAGTGGGGAATTTAATTATACATCCAGTGAAGCTCTGGGATCTCAGGTAATAATATAATAATATAAAAAATCACATAATTAATATAAAAAACAGTTTCAAACTCAGAAAGGTAGCATACAAGGATTAACAAAGCCTAATAGATTTGTACTCCCGTTATATAATGATTAAATATACAAAATTCGCTATCCAATACCTGTTCTGCAAGATGGTTTAATTCATCAATCGAATGTAATACGATGTTTCAGAAGTATTTTCTTTATATATCTAGGTCAGTCTGTAAATGAGGCAGTGTTTTTTTTTTACTTTTATTGTATAATTAATCTGGTTACCAGCTACGAGTAACACATCTTTAGGTGACGTCGGTGTGCGTTCCAATATGTATTTCAGACGTTTAGTCCTAGAAACAAAGTCAAAAACAAGAGCATTAATGAAAAATTGGTATAAAAATTTATTGGTTTTATTCACGTGTCATAATGACGATGAATATATTTGTAATTTAAGCAATATGTAAGGAATTTTTGATTGAATATTCAGATAAAGTTGTTGCTCTTTTATTGGTTTTTATCTGAAATCGTCTTTGATTTAGAGTTTGTATGACAGCAATTGATTGCTTAATAGTTTTTCCAAACTTCCAGAGTAAACATAACATACATCCTCATACGAACTGGATTGTGTTAGATGCCACAAAATGTTTTCTATTTATTTAATCAAGATATTTTTCCAACCTTATCTAAACATGTTATACAGGGTGACTGGTGAATTACTATCAATATTTAAGGAGATTACGCGGTACATGATTCTCATTCGAATTATGTAAAAAAAATAGGTACTTAATTTTTGACCAAATTTCCGTATAAATAAATAAAGTGTGTACACGTTCCAAGTGTTCCAAGTGTGGACGCGCGCGGCGGCGTGCTGATACAACAACACGCCGCCGCGCGCGTATGTGTGAGTGTGTGTGTATTCCTAATCTGTAGGGTGTTCATACGATGCGTAATTAATTACATAACTTTTGGTTAACTTTACTTAGAAGTTTATTAATATTTATGTTATATTAATTTTTATTTTGTCATATATGATCGTCAAATATCACGTCCTCAAATATCGATAGTAATTCACCAGTCACCCTGTATACCCATAGGAATAAGTGCATTTTATTTTCTCTATGCAAAACTTTAAAATACAAAATATTTTACGTGTTTTCATACGTTGGTTAAATCTGAAATAATGAATTTTATGATTGGATTAGATCAAGAGATTAACCGCAATAAATGTAAATAATTAGGAGTGTCTAATTAACAATGATCTGTGTTCAGATAATCAGCATCCCATACTCGGGAGGTCGTGCATCCCTGGTGCTGGTTGTTCCTTTGTCCCGGACCGGTCTGCCGCCTCTCCTGAACGCCCTCAGACTCGCTCCCTGGATGCTGAGAGCTGTCTTCGATGAGATGACCCACACGCGGGTACACATCACCATGCCGAAGTTCAGCGTCACCTCTGAACTTGACCTCGCTACTGCATATAAAAAGGTATCTAATTGGATGTACATAAATATCATTGCAATGTTTCATATATCAAGAAGTCAGTATACATTATATAAATAATGTATATTTATATATATGTCATCACTTACTCAATACTGCTAACAGTAATTAAGAAGAGTGTTCACACAACAAGTTCTTGTTTAATGCAATAGTTAATCTAGTTTTTTTTTTTATAATTTAAGAAACATTGTCAAGAAAATAATTTCCATGAATTGTTTAATATTAATTTTAAAACCTTACACTTTTATTTACAATTAAATTGTAATAGATTTCACAAATGAAGTTTGAATAGGGTTTAGTCATATCTATCACTTTTAAGTACTTTTATTTTCTTCTTTATTTCTATATAAGATTACAGTTACTTTTATATAGAATTCTATAGTAGGTATGCATGATATGCTTTAAAATATGTATCCTGTAAAATATATGACGCTTTAAAAATTCCTTTGAAGCATGCTGTGCTTGTGAAAAATTTAACTAAAATTTCGAAGCTCCTGATTATATTCCTTTATTCTTTGAACAGTTTCCCTTCTAATAGTTCATCAACAAAACATCTATCGTTTTGCTTATAAAGTATTTCATTCATATATTAATTGCAATTGGGCTATTCTATGCGTATTCTAAGTAAAGTTTATTTTTTACTTTTATATGAGAATTTTTTGGATTATGACTTAAATATGAAGCACGGATGTAATGAGTTATATATGTTAATAATGGAATAATCAATAGCACTAAAACGTTACAATATCAGGGACTATTGGTCTGAATATATAAGAGAGTAGCATATCACTTTTACTTTATAGTACACTGTACAAGTGATATTATTACTTTATAGTAAAAGTGATATGTTACACTATATCCTAACCTCTATAGGTTATATTAAATCATGGTAAGAAAATATGATCTCTTGTCTTTAATCTAAGTTAGAAAGTAAATAATAAATTTCAAAGGCAAACATTTAAGATATCGCAAAAAATCTGACATTTTGCAAATATTCCCATAATTCATTCGAATAAAGTCGCAGGCAAAAGCTATGGATTAATAACTATATAATGCATTACCAAATATCTTTCAGTTAGGCCTCAAAACAGTTTTCGATCCGAACCTCTCAGGCCTGATCAGGATAATACGAGATGAGAAAGTACACATTACAAACGCGAAACACAAATGTTATATAGAAGTTAACGAATACGGGACGGAGGCTGCAGCTTCTTCAGGTGAGAATAGTTTTGTAATATATAATATACTATAGGTCGTGGTGGCCTCAAGGTTAAAGGCCCGCCTCTCATGCACGAGGGCGCGGGTTCGATCCTGGCAAGTACCAATGTGATTTTTCCGAGTCATATGTACTTTCTAAGATTATTTAGACATCGCTAAGAGACGGTGAAGGAAAACATCGTGGGGAAACCTGAACTTATAACTGAAATAGCGTAAACAGATGTATTTATAATAGAAGTAAACATACCTGTTGTCTTTCCATTTCATTTGTATAAAGGAAATAAATAAAGATATTGAAAACAATATAAAAGATTTCTTGCATATTTTTCGAGAAATATGATTATGATATGGAAAGTTTAATCAAATTAATAAATGAATTATTAAAATATAAAGTAATTACAGGTAGAAAGAGAACTAAGTGTAACAAAACTGATATTTTTTTTGCCCTTAACATATTTTCAGGTACACTATTAATGAAGCTGTCTCCTGCCAAGCCGATAGATTTCCACGCTGACCATCCGTTCTTGTATTTCATAATGGTGAATGATCAACAGTTATTCTCCGGGACATTCGTCGACCCAGAAACAAAATCTCATTAAAATAAAAGTAATAAAAATAAATATTTTATTTATAAACCGCCTTTTATTCTACAAGATATATGTCAACCCATTAAAGATGCACGCCAGAAATTACGCACTCATCTAAATGATAACGTATTCATTCTTGTGTAGCAATTGAATGAAAAAGACAAATGCGGTAAATCACGTACGACATCAATCGCTCTAATGACCCTCAAAAGCTTTTAAACAACGATTCATCAACATTCATTACACAGCAACTTCCCTCAAGTTTGACGCATGCGTGCAAAACTTTGTCGGAATCCACACATTTCCATTCACCCTTCAACCCCTATTCTCAGTCGAATTTCTCTCGCGCTGACGACAGCACCTACCCCAGCGTTAGCTCGTCTGTCGTAAACTTTTACGTCTTTACAGTCGTCGTAAAAATATAAGTGATTGGCTCTTCGTGGACTCTATTCTAGTTTTAAATGCAAATGACATTGAGACTTATGAGCCATAAACTAATGTTTTAATTTATGATAAAAAAAATAATGTAAAAACAAGAACAGTTATGGAAAAAAATGATGCATTCACGAGATTCGGTTCATTGATATATTTGAATATAAATAAGTTCATAAATGGAAGTGCTTATGTGGAGTTTGGTTTTTATCTTGCAAATAAATACGGCGTTTTGTATAAAGGAACAGGAGGCGGGAAAAAGTAAGTTATAACTTATAAGTTATACTTTGGAAATAGGTTTTATAAATCATTTAAGAAAGTAGAATAAATTGTAATATTAATGAATTTTAGTTAGTGACGTCATTAGCTATAATATTTAAATATTTTTAGATGCACACTCTCGGACAAGTGTTGTATTACCCGATGTAGATAGTAATGGCGACACCAACAGACCTTTAGACCTTCTATCAAGTCCAAATGAAGCGAAAGACTACTTTCTCCCCCCGGTTTTCCCTCACAACGATGACGTAGACGAGGATGACGACGAAGAAGAAGATCACTCTTATTTAGATTACGATTATGATCACAAGGAAATCAATTACAAAGATTCACCTGACATAGCAACAGTTAAAAGCGACTCTCAGGAAGTACTACCGATAGATGATAAAATACCGTTACATACCGCTAAAGATAATTTGCCAGTTTTTCTTTTGGAACCAGAAAATACCTACGTCGTTAAAAATAAACCGGCAACGCTTAAATGTCGCGCCGCTAATGCCTTAGAAGTGAGTATTAAAATTGTAATAACAATATATGTATATTAAAAATATACGTAAAAGTTAACGAGCGGAATGCTACGTAAAGTTAAAATAATTTGAAGTATTTTTTTACCTTATTATTGACAAAAATTTTATTAAGAACACTGATAGATATATTGACAATATTATTTTATGTTATCATTAGGTATATTTCAAATGCAATGGCATTAAAACCGAAGCTCTTAATTTTGAATTCGTGGATCCCCAAACCGGCGTCAGGATTATAGAAGGCGAGTATAAAGTAACGAGAGAACAGGTCGAGGAATACTTTGGTACGGAGAAGTACCAATGTTCCTGCTTCGCCTGGACGAGTCGTGGCCAGATAAGGAGTCAGCCAGCGACTATAGAACTCGCTTGTAAGTAAGGTGAAACTGAATACATTCCTAATGTAATTATAGAGCGGCTCTCACTATACAAATGTAATGCAATTAACAAAGAACAAGCGATTTAATCTTGTAAGAAGGATTAAATTTTTTTTTTTCACAATGAAGACACGGAGTTTGTTGAACTTTGAGAAATTTATTGCGGAACTTCGTGTTCGGAATTTAAAATAGATAATTTTATTTTTTGTTTATTAAAAAATATAGAAACTTTTTAATGAAAAATATTATTGTGAAGGGAATTAAAGTTTGGGCGTTATTTAAACGCTTCTTTGATAAGAATTCCGAAAATTTATATTTTGCTTTACGATAGTAGATATCGGGGTTACTTACACGATATGTTTCATATTATATACACGACCAAAATAAAATAAATAATTCAATAACAATAGTTTTAAAAACGTTAATATTATGATTTTAATTATACTTAAAAATATCTTCCCTATTTTAGTAATTGTTTCATTTCGACTTACACATGTCGTATTTAAAATGGCTTTTCCCTCGTAGATATAAAGAAGCACTTCTCAGCGTCTCCCCAATCCCAGTTGGTGAAGCAGTATTCTCCTGTAACATTTCGTTGCGAGGCTCCTCCAGCGGCTCCCTTCGCCCAGGTCTACTGGCTGAAGAACGGAGCTCCTATAGCCGTCGATGACAACGTGCATATCAATAAGGAAGGAGATCTTGTTATCAAGCAGGCCTCTCTTCTGGTTAGATACTCATACTATTTTTATCTTCAGTAATCTACATATACTTGTGAAAGTGATAGTAAAATTCTGTATGTATTACCTTGTATTGTACTAATAGAATATTAATCATTTGTTTATTGTTCTGATTTAAATGTCGGATAATCTCTTTTTAGTTGTTTAATGTATTAATTCCTGTATTAGTTCCTGTTTAATGTATTAATTTCTGAGTCTTTTCTTTATGTTGATATTAGGATATGGCGAACTACACGTGCGTCGCTGAGAACCTAGCCGGCAAACGGCTATCCGAGCCGGCTCTCCTCACTGTGTTCGGTGAATATTGCATTACTACCTACAGACTTTGGTTTTGAATTATTAAGTTGCACTCATTCGTTCAACGTTGGCTTCATCTGTATTCCGAGTTCCCTTCCCGTTGATTGTTTTTTAATATTAAGTTTCATGACTGTAAGAATTGTATTGTTATTTACATTTTATATTTTGGGATATCTTTTAAGTGCTTTTATTGTACATCTTTAATAGAGTAGAAGTTTTTAAAAGTTTGTTTTAGATGAATCCATTAGATTTTTTTGCAAGCAACAGTAAAGTAGTAGAGCGAATAATATGTACATACAACTCTAACTTGAGAATCCGATATTTTTATTCTATTTTAAATAAAGGTTATTAATCAAGAGATATAATCATATGGTAGTCACAGCGTATCCTACTTAATATTATAATTGCGAAAGTTTGTGAGTGTGTGTTTGTATAATACTCAAACGGCTGAACCGATTTTGATAAAATTTTGTATACAGGAAGCTGACGTCCAGGAATAACAAATAGGCTACTTTACATCCTGGAAATCCGCGGGTAACACCGCGGGGCGCAGCTAGTATTAATATAATTATATATAGCAGACTGTTTCAACGACACACATTCTTCCTTTATTGTTCCAAAATCCTTCATCGTGTCAATCTCTGGTCCACTTTCTCTTACCCAGTGAACGGCGGCTGGTCCTCATGGTCCACGTGGTCCGAGTGTTCGTGTGCTGGCGGTGGCAGGCGTCGAGAGAGGACCTGCACCCACCCTCGCCCTCTCAACGGTGGACAACCTTGTTCTGGACCCGCGGTGCAAAAAACACCTGACTGCACTCATTGTGAATTAGGTAACATTGCTGAAAATACTTATTGAATGTCATTCCTTTCAAACTCTATGTTATAATTGATTTATTTGATTAAATAATGTATTGTTACAGATGTCTACGTCGATACTTTAGATGAGTTGGCTGATGAATCAGCTGATGTCGTGTTAGGTGGGTTTTATAAATAAATTACAAATAAAATAAGAAGCGTTTTACTACGAAATTCTGAACTTTTTTTTACCTTATTTATACATATTAGATCGTGTAACCCAAGTTAAGGAAATATTATGAACACTTCTTGAGTATCTATATGGTACTAAGTCCTTTACTCAAAAATCAAGACTGGTACTAAGTCCTCTAGTGGTCATATTAATGAGATGAGTTCATCTCTGTCAGGTCACTGGTCACAGTGGTCAGAGTGGTCATCCTGTGACACGGACTGTCTTCGTTCTCGACGTCGTCGTTGTGTTTCTGGACCCTGTCGTGGCCGCGACGCACAACTGGCCCCCTGCCCGTTATGCGTACGGACTGCTAATGCGCATGCGCATGGTATGAACACTTCAATATATAACATAACTTATTTAAAGTTTTTGGTTAAATAAAATAGTCCTTTTTCCAGGAGCATCATACTGGCCGCTCCTGATTGCCCTGTCAATAGCGTTTCTTATATTCGTTGTGGTTGTTGTACTCGGAATAAAGTATATGAAGATGAAAATTGCTGAGAACTCTCCCTACGTGAAGCCTCCTCCGGGTGAGATATTTGAATTAAATTTAGCATGACGAAGACGATACATAATTAATGTGATAATGAATTTAGGTACGAATTACTTCGGTAACGTTATAAAGAGGACTCTTACAAATCAACCGGACTTGACGATACACGAAGAGTTTCACACGATGGATTCAAGACGACCAAACAGACAGAATACCATCAGCAATAGAAACGAACACTTGTATGAGGTCCCGCAATTGGCTAACAGGTAGGATATATTTGATAATAGTCAATACTAATATTCAAGAAGAAAAACATTTAAGGGATTTATAAAGATAATTATTGTCATTACATCCATTATATGGAGTTATGTTTAAATATTAATTACCAAATATCAGATATGAAAGATAACCATCTCGTTATAAATACAATTCGTTGCAGTAAACCTTTGTTATAATACAATTATGCAAATTGCAAACTCGTTTGGATTAAAATATCAATTGTTTATGATATGTATGGACGTGATAAAATATTATGATGGAATGATTTTCTGATATGTTTTGGGCATTATATCTGTCAGGTCGGAAACAGTTGAAATTATTATAATGAGATTAATAATATATGCAGTAGGTATATTGAACTTCTATTCTATTATGACAGGAGATGAAACATGATGTATGTGGTAATATTTTTTGCAGCTACATCGCGCCAATAGATCACGAGGTAAGAAACCTTGGAGTGGAGACATTCGCTTGCAAGGACAAAGAGTCAGACCGCTCTGACTCAAGCTGTTTCTTAAGCTGTGAGTTCATAGCACGTAGGTCATAGTGGGACATAGAATAACTAATAACTGACTGACAAGAGTGACTTATACGAACATTGCAACTTATTCTAAATGGATTCATCTGTTGTTGATAAATGTGTTGCAATTTGTTGTTCAGTCGTCCTAATAATTCATAGCTTTTTACAAATAAATCTATTTTTTCCATTTATCTGACGGTTTATAATTATTATTTTATTACAGCGGGCTCGTCATATGGAAATGAAAGTGTAGAAATGTCACCATCGCTCAAAAATAACGCGTCTGTTAATTCGAAATTTTTAAATTGTCAATATTTAGAGACTGCTACGTCCAAAATTGTAAACGGTGACGGGGATTGGCTAAATTTGGATAAATGTGGGGTCAGATTATATATTCCGGACGGTGTGGTTGAGAAAGGCGAAGAGTTATTCTCTATTGAGGTCACAGACGAAGAGTGGAACAAGCCGCTTCTACAAGAAGGTTAATTATAACATATTTTAGATAGACTTAATTAAATTGAGACACAAAAATAGAAGAAAAGAGGTCATTCATTAATCGTATATATAAACTGTATTTATTATTATCTTCTATTTATTCTTTATATAGTTGTATTAAAATATCAATAGACTGCATTAAATATTTTAAAATAACAACAAAATCTTAAACTATATATAAAATGAAATGGTCTACTTTCTAAAGATAACTTTTATTAAAAAATATTCTCCCGTTTAGATTGGATATACATAGAAGGTTAAGTGTATACTGAAATTTCACGAATATTGTGCCTTCGCAGGTGAAACACAACTAAGTCCAATAATTCGATGCGGGCCGAAGAATGTACATTTCTGCAAGGCAATGATACTCACATTCCCTCATTGCGTAGCCTTGAAGAACTCTAGCTGGATACTGTCAATACTTCAGAAGCCCGAAGAAATCAACTCGAGAGAATGGAGGAAGGTCCTGACATTAGGGCAGGAAACCCCGGGAAGCCCCATATTCGCTCAAGTCGACCCTTTAAAAGTGTACATCGTGTGTGAATTTCTTAGTGACTTCGTTCTAATCGGTAGAAGCTTTAATGCTCTGGATGCCAAATTGTTGAAAGTAGCTCTTTTTCTTGGTAAACGTTCTGACGGCTACTACAACCTGCACGTACACGCGTTTCATGACACTCCTTATGCCTTGTACGAATGTTTCGAAAGTGAGAGACGTACGGGCGGGCTTCTTCTCTGTGATCCGAAAACTATTTATTTCCAAGAGAATTGCTCTGATCTGTGTGTCAATGTTCGGGATGTGGGAGTGGGATGGAAGATTCAATCAGGAAATAAATATCAGGAGCTTCCCTTTTCCCAACTATGGAATATGAATGTCCGATCTCTGCATTGCCTTTTTGTCTTACAGCAGGTTGATGCTATAAATTGTTTAGATTTAAACGTCACGGTATACCAAAAACAGAGGCAGTCGAATTCGGTAAATTTCAATTTGAAAACAAACGATTTTAATTCGAATCTGAATTGTAATAAACGATTCAGCTACTCGGGCGTAGAAATTGGTTACAGCGTTAATATCCTCGAGAATCCGTTCAATTATTCATCGTTATCGAAAAAAGAGGCCAGATATGATTTCGTTTACAGAAACAGTTTGCGTAGGAACAGTTACAGTTTGGATAATAATTGCTACAGAACAAACGTTCTGACCAAGTCTGATAGGGTGATACTCTGCAAGTTGTTAGATTGTCAAACGACTAAAGGTAACGACTGGAGGTTGCTCGCGGAAAAACTAAAGTTAACGTCCTTCTATTATTATTTCTCTAACACTTGTTCTCCGACTGAGAATATATTGAATCTTTGGTTATGTAGAAACAACGATGTCAATATGTTAGTTAATTTATCTCGGATATTTAGAGAGATGTCAAGGATAGATTGCGCGACTGTTATTGAAAGGCGCTGTTTTCCTAATTAGACTGATTTTTATTTATATTTACGACTAATTCTGTCAACCTACAGTCCTATGTAGCTCAGAAAAAATTTTAGTTTCTTGATTTTTTAATTATATTATGATATATTAACAAGGTTCGTTGTGTTAAAAATGTCACATTGATTTTTTTTTAAATATTTATGCATCTAACGAGTAGCCTCTAGTCATTTATTTTTACTTTTTAAAGAATGGTAATTAACAATGTTTTTAAATAAAATAGTTTATTAAGAAAATTATTTAGAACAGGATTCGAATGAAGTTTTAGTATAGAGTACGTCTATTATGATAAATATAATAATTTTCGTAAATCACATACATACATTTTGTATACAAAGTGTGAATCTGATTTATTGAATATAATACAACGATATTAAAAAAATCTGATATAGCTTTAGAGGACAAATCGAGTGTAATTATGATTTGTTTAGAACCAAAACTATTGCCACTTCTGTTTATACATATTTTGATCGTATGACTGTTGAATAGAATAACGTATAGTATTTTTAGAGGTGCAAAACTAAAATATACACATTAATAATTTTAAAAGTCGATATATGTATGAGAGTGACGTTTTTTATAAAGTGTCAATAAATATGTAGAGCGCTTCATTTATATGTAATGTTTTGAAAACATAAATAGTTGTGTATAGTATGAACTAAATATACGTTATGATTTTGGTAAACAGATGAAAATGATTTTAGTAGTAATTAAAGATTTTTTGAATAAATATTTTAAACGATACATCTCTTTATTTAACACCACCTTAATGATTTAAACGAAGTTTAGATTTAAATTATGTCTATAATACTTTGTGATAAGTAACAAATATAAACAAGAATTATTTCATTTTAAATCATTGAGACGAAACTTCTCAGCATTCTATGGATTCACCGTGTGGGCGCCAGGTCCATCGCGTTGTAGTGAGAGGAGCTTCAACAGTTCCTGGCACTTGAGACCCAGGTATAGGTTTAAAGGGACCCTTATCTATCGCGCTTTATACGCTCACCTCCACTGTCAAAGCTCCTCTCCGTACCTCATAACTTTTAAATTATTTATGATTTAATTAAGTATTAAATGTACTAATTTAATGATTTATTTACCTTCATTCAAAGTAATATTTAATATTGTAAATGATGAATATTATAAGGTACATACAAACATCCCTCATGACCTAAATACTAGGTATTCAAGTATTAACGATACCGTACGAACCAGCGATTGCATTGTTTAATAATAAATAGAACACCTTCCGACATTACTCTGTACTGAGAACCGGTATACAATATACGCTTGCAGCGACTCATATAACATAATCATATAAAATCATTATGTATACGTTGTTCTGTCAATGAAAAACTATAAATATTTAAAAGTAAAGTATAATAATACCATATATATTTATAAAAGTCCATACAAAATTATGGGAAGTAGAAATAAGTTTAAATTCTATTAAAAATAATTGGTAAATCTAACGTACATGTATGATAAATTAAAATGCGAGTATAATGTTCGTAGTTCATATAAATTGTGAAGTATATTTTCAATTTTACAGCTGACGTCTCATCGCTTGAACCACAATATTTGTGAAGGTTCCTTTCCGTTGTATTAAAGAAATCCCTCAACAAACACGAGGGTGTGTTCTGAATGTACGCGGGTCGAGATACGAACACACAAATTAATTATTTTATTATGACAACGTCCGGTACGTTAAGTAGCTTTAATATACTCCGGGTTTTGTAACTCTTTCAATCTATTGATGTCTGAATATATATTGCCGAAATTAATATTAGTGTAGGTACTAGGTTTTGCCCGCAACTTTGTCCGCGTTAAGTTCAGAAATAGTAATATATGTATAGCTGACTGGGCGAATTCAATCTAAAGGCCTAGATCCGTAAATAAACAGATATTGGAGTTTATTAAATATTTTTTTCTGTTTCGATCGAACAGAATTAAATCTCCTATGTCCCTCTCCTGGTTGTAAATTATCTCTCCACATATTTCCAACCATATCCGTACAGTTGTTCTTGAGTTATAGATAGTGTAACTAACACAACTTTCTTTTATATAGTATATAAAAAGATTCTTTACCTTGTCGACTTAATACACCAAAAATTACTATATATAATGAGCTCATTAAATGAAGAATTAGTAAGTGTATTTCGTCAGTAACGATATGTTATTATTAAAAGAATTATATTTAAAAAGACAATGAAACATTGCGAAAAATTCAATTGCAAGGATTTCGACTCAAAAGTATGTATTTTACTTAAATATACGAACACTATTTTTATAATACTTTAAATTTTTTAATAACTATCAACTTATTTTGAGTAACATTTAACACTAGCCCTTGATAAACTGTTACATTAATTCTTGTTATGATCTGTGTGAAGTAATTGAAGTCTTAAAGTTTTAAAACTTAATCTTGAACTTCCTTAATTTAGTAAACTCCAATAGAAGTTCCTTTTTGCACAGGATTTCCCCACGAAGAATGTTAGATGAAAGATGTTGTACACCGGTTCGCATTGTAATTAGTTGAAGCCAATGACGTCTATATTGTGTACGATATAAGGGTTGTAATACGAATCCCTAGTAAATCATACAGTATATGGATTGAGAAGCGTACATTCAAATAATGACTATTGGCAAGTTAATTACATATATAAATAATTTTTTTTAACCTACAAGTAGGAAAATGGTTAACGATAAATATTTTTATCTTGATTCATAACTCTTTCATGTTAATAATATTGTAAAATCTCTATTTGATGTCGCGTTTAGATTAAAAATGAAATAATTACCTCTGAGTTTCGTTTCAAAATCACTCGTAAACTAACAGCTAAGATGTAGGGGTACGCTTCAGTATTTCAAAACACTTTCCTAAGCTAAGGGCGGCATCTAATTGGAGAGCGCTTACTTCGCGAGCTCTTAAACGCGTCTTATAAAGACGCTGTGGTTTACACGGCTTGTATGCCTTCACGTACTTTTATCCGCAGATGACAATTAAAACAAAACAAACTTACACACTGTGGCTGATCTATTTCAAGAGTTTTATAATATTATCCATTATATATTGTATTATCTCCATAATATATTATACGACATGCCATTTCATTATTAAGTTTATAATTAAATTGTACGAAAAAAACAAAGAGAAACATATCTTTATAAAATAACCACAATCTTTGAACAGTAAGGGAGGTCCGTTTGTGTTCCTATCGCCTCCTCGATCGACACTCGATGATGTTAAGAGAAATCAGATTGATAAGATCATTTCAGAGACAAAACGTCTTCAAACAGGAGATAACAAATCGGGCTTTTAACACGTCTCGAGTAGTTTGGTTGATGTATGCTCTCATCAACCGGTGAACCGAGAAATGTGCGTCTCTACAACTGGGAGCGTCAAAACAATATATAAAGTACACCTGTTAGAAAGACGTGACCTGTAAGGAGAATCAGCTTGTTGTTTTGAAACAATTAGTTGGAAAGAATTTAAATATACATTAAGTATGCAATATTTTAAATATTCATTACCTATTTGAAATCTAATTTAGCTACCAATATAGTTTGAATTAAGACTAACATGTGTGTGTTTTAATCTTAAAATTTTTCAAAATTATAAAATAAAAATAATATGGTACATAATAATTCAACATGATTTGAGTTTGTATATTACTATTTCCATTTTAAAAGTATTATCCCTAAAATACTTATTATAAAACACTAATAATGACAATAGGTCGTAACAAAGATTCCATACAGACTAATAAAGTTATAGACGTATAAAACTAATTAATGAAGCTCCTACTTTTAAGGAACATCGCTAGAGCTCGCATATATTAATCGGTCTTAAAGTTGGACAGTAGTACAATAAGGACCATATGCACATTCAGCTTTAATAAGGCTCGGTTCAGACAGCGAGTTTATTCTATCTCTATGCAAATTCAATCCTTAACTCCCATTCGGTCGATTTAATCGTTCAAATTTCAAACTCGAGAGAAACTTGGAATCGAAGGGTGAATAAATTTAAAAACCTCTTAACAGAATACTTAGTGGGTGCCAAAAAGTTTACGTTTACGCAAAACCATATTTTCTCTCCTAATCTAAGTAAGTGGTTTCACCAAGTTTTTTTCGGGCTGTTCACTGAATCGATGGTAAACCAGAAGCGATCCTCCACGGGATAAACTAACTCTATTCGTGTGTTAAATTAATAATTGACTGAAGTGCAGGTTCACTAATGCACTGTAATAATTCGGAAATTAATCATCACATAAGATTAGATGTTTTAATAAAAAAATTTTGGCTATTAAACTGAATTTTTTTACCAATATTTAAGGAATATTACATAAACCTTATAAAAAGTACAATAATTTTTATGTTTCTCAGGATTAAAAATATATTTATTGAGGACGTCTTCAGTCTTCCTAAACACTTAAAGATACGGTGAAACAAAGAGTTGTTGGCGTGTTTCACGTCGTATGAACAAACCTTTATGATAACGTGTTTTTTTTATAAACATCGCTAGAGACTGCTTTCCCTTTTTCATTATAAATATTGAACATCTATTATTAAGACGCCAGAGACCCCTAAGTGACGTTCGCACCTCGTTGCATTACTTAAAATAACTTACAATAGCTAGGGTTAAGCCTTCATTTAATATTGATTTTTATTGAAAGCGTTTCAGCTAACTTAAAAACTTTTTCGTTTTGAAATACTATATTTTATCGCCAATTTCATATCTTATTTGAATATAATGGTAAGGAAAAAATGTAAAATTACACAAAGAGGCTAAAACAAAAAGTGATAATAAAAATACTTTATGATTCTCCTTCCTTGTAAACAATGTAGAATGGGAGCGACAGAAAATATATGAGCAACAGCACCATTCATAGCAAGTTATGAATCTCAAAAAAGAGAATTATAAATGTACTTTTCTTTTAAAAAATAGTAAAGAAAAGTGAACTACTTAATAAATTGATATCTCT